ATAAATATACCTTATTCTATATAGGTCTCCGTATTAAATAGAAAGCGGGTACGGTATATAGCTTCTACTATACTCGTCTCTATTTATCGCTAACTATATAGACTTAATAGCTCGCTATTTATAACCGTTATAGAAGAGATATAAAGCTACGGTCTTAGTATTTTTATAAAGATATCCGACTCGGCTTAAACTACGAGTATCTAGCCGAACTCGTAAAAGAATACTTCGCTTCGTAGAAATACTAATATAATAGGATATTTTCTCGAAATGCTAGGCGACCGAGATATAGTAAGTATATATAATAATCTACGAGTAGTAAATATTAACTTTAGGTTATAGGAGCCTCTTATATTAGTAGTAAGAGTAGGATATTAGTTCGATATTATAAAGTTATTCTATCCGTAATTACTTCTCGACCGGAGTATCGAATTCTATTTATTCTTCTCTATAGTCGAGAAGTCTATATATATACGCCTATCTATAGTAAGAAAACACTATAGGTTCTCCGCTAGGAGCTCGTTAAGATAATAGATAATATAAATCGACGTTCCTTTATATATAGTAAGTACTCGTTAATCGCTATATAATTATCTATACTAATAGATATAGGGGAATTCCGACGAAGCTCTTAAGTTTAAGAATAGCTTTATAAATACGATATATCTACTCTTACGGACCTCTACCTAAGTCTAGATAATCCTAATCGTTTACGAGCTTTAATATATCGTTTACGAGCTCTCGTCTATCTACTTAGAAAGAATTTTACTATAGTTAAGTTTAAATATAGTGTAAAGTAGAATATCTATAAGTTCTTAAAATATATTAGGTATATCTTTAAATACGAGGAGTTTTTTACTATTATCTACTTCCTTTTCGTATAGATAATAATCTTTAAGACCCTTCGATCGATTATCCTCAATATCTTCTATAAGCGAGTATAGAGTAATATCTCTAAGCTCTTAATCGTCTATAAAGATATACTCGATAATATATAGTTACTTAGTATAAGTTCTAGCTTATTATAAGTATACTAACTAATATAATAGTAGTATCTATTACGCGTATCTTTCTAAGTATCGAGATAACGAAATTCTACTATTATACTTTCTACTAGCTCTTTTAAGTCGTCTTAGAGGTTAATAAGAAATCTATTATATTCTATTATATTTACGGAAGAGGGCTACGATTAATTATAGTTAATATAGATATAAAGTAGGTAGTAGATAAGATATGTCTAGTTATAAATATATACGCCTACCTAGGCGGTATTCCGAGTACTCGTATATAAGACTAACTAGTAATACTCTAGGTTTTAGATAATTTCTATCTAATATTAATACTTCTCGTATCTAGAAAAAGTATATCTAGTCGATTTTTGTCTACTATACTATCTACTTCTACCGCGGCCTTTAATAGAAGTATAGTATATATAGACTTTACGAGGCTCTCCGCCAAATACTAGTTATAAGTACTCGCGAGGACGTTAAGGATATTCTTAAGGAGATAAGAAAGAATAAAGAGCTCTTAGTCTAGGCTTATTATAAATAGATACTATAGATCTTATTAAGACTTAACGTTAACTTTACTCGAATAGATATAGGATTCTTCGCTAGTAGTATTCGAGATACGAACTTTATCGAATTCTTCTACTAAAGATCGTATAATTATAGAACGAATCTCCGCTTACTTAACGTAATATAACGGTAAGAGCTCTTAAAAAGACTTACGAGTTATATTAACTACTTACTAGTAGTCGGGATATTAATTCCGAGATTCTAGCTTAACGTACGGTAGCGCTTAATAGATATACGATTAACTATCGAATTACTAGTCCTACTAGTATTCTAAGTCGATAAGATTAAAGAAGTTAAAGTACTAGAAGAAGTTAAAGTACTAATTACCTATAGTAATCTATAAGTATACTAACTATATATAGACCGCTATCGATAAGTTTAGGATAATCCTATTCTATTCCCCTTAATATCTTCGAGTAGAACGCTAATTCGTAATAGAAGCCGTTTAGCTAATAAGCGACTACGCAGCGGCTCCTCGATATTATATATAATAACTTAGAAACGATTACGGGTAGATATAAGTACTCTATAGAACGAGTTAGCTATAGCTAAAAGGCTAAATCTTATACTTCGAGAAAATCTTAAGCTCTAAGGTCGTCTTACTCGAGATAAAGAATATAAATTATAGAAAACTAGATAGTAGACTTATAAGAATAAAAGAGAAGAAGCTAATTAGATAGAAACCTATATATATAGGTTAGTAGAGGATTATTATAATTACTTACGAGGATTTAATATATCTTAGGGAATATTATATAGTACTAGTACTTAATTCGAAGGTATTACTTTATACTCTTTTACGAAATATACTTAAATGTCGATAACTAGAATAAATAGTATCTATAGTAGATATTAATTAGTTATATACTAGAAGTAGAAGACTATACTTACTATAATTCCTTCGCTTTACTCGTCGATAGGCGGTATACCGAGACCTTTCTTATTGTATTTTAGAGACTATAGATATAGGTTATTAATCCTTAGGTAGGCACGACTAAGACTAAGTACTCGCGCGCACTCGCGAGGGAAGCGGAGTACTCGGACGAATCTATAAGCCGATACGACTTCGCCCCGTTCTTTATAAGCCGATAAGAGTCGTTAGAGGTTCTTAAGAGGTATTAAAGACTATTTTATACTAGCTCTCTAAGATCTGGCGGATATTAGTCGACTTCTTAATAGGTACTGCTATACCTATAGTAGGGTATAGAGATACTTAATTAGTTAGTAATTCTATCTCCTCTACCGTATTAAATAGGGAGTTATCCGCCGAGATTATCGAGCTTATACTTATTCGTAATTATTTATAAGAGGACGGGACTGGTCGTAAGAGTTCGTCTTCTATATTAGTTAATTAGTATATATATTACTATAAATTGATAGGCGAACTATTAAGAAGAATAATCGGAGCGCTATAGATATAAGTTTAGTATTACGAGTAGTACTAAGGATCTATTAGCTTATCGATTAGCTTAACTTCTATCTAAAATACTAATAGAAAGTCGATTCGAATTATCTAAATATATAGTATTATTTTTATTTCGTATATAATAGCGTCGAATATAAAGACGAAGTTAAGATATACGAGTCTTCTCGATTTATTATAATTACTCGTTAGTTTTTAATATTTCTAATAAATAGTTAGGATACTTATACCGTAGAATTCGTATCTCGTTATATAAGATAGAATATCTACTATATCCTCCTACGGCTAGGGTCGATACGCGCGAGAGTCTCGTTCTAGGTAGTTACTAGAGAGTTTATATTAGATTACGAGTAGTATTATTATCGATAAACTTACGGCTTTATATAAGCCTAGCCGGTATATTTAAAGCGCCGGAGTATTATAGCGATTAGGTTCGGGATAGAGTCGATATTACTTATCCGTTATCGTAGACGTTTATAAGGATACCGTAGTTTAGAGACGGAACGGAAGAGGAAACTAGAGAGAGGTATTTATTTTTATAAATAATATTAAACTTGAAAATAACCGAGTTAGTAATAGGGCGCTAGTAAGTGCTTATAAGTAGCAATAAATACTCGCGTACGTATATATAGCTATATGCGGGTACGCGAGCGCTTATCGTCGCTTTTGTACAGTCGCGAGTATCTCCCAGTATAGGCTTAGTAATTATTTATAACCAAATCGCGTACGCTCGCGTACGTCTTCGACTACTAACGTACGCTCGCGAGCGCTTGTTATTATATCCGAATAATTATATACGCTCGTAACCGCCGTCGTATACTTATATATATTCGTAGTTAATCGAGTATATCCTAGTATACGCTTAGTAATTATTTATAACCAAATTTCATACGCTTATATATTCTCCCTACTACTTTAGTACAGTCGTAAGTATATCCTAGTATAGGCTTAGTAATTATTTATAACTAACTCGCGTACGCTCGCGAGCGTTTATTATTATACGCGAGTAACTATATACGCTCCCGGCCGCTGGTAAACGACTGCGTATATTCGTGGCCAACCGCTGGCGCTCGCGAGCGTCTAAGAGCACTCGAGTGCGCCCGATAGTATATATAGATTAGGTATATATATAATTATTCGTGTCTAGTTAGCTATAACCTCTTCTACTACTAGCTAACTTTATCTAGATATTTATAATTACTTATAAAGTAATACTACGAAACCACTAGCTTAGTCTTATTCGTATTACCTTAATACTTATATATTTATATACTAACTTAAGTACCCTTCTTCGCACTAGCTTTTTCTTTCTTCGCTTTCTCGGGAGTACTTACGTTCGTATATAAGTATTTACGACTACTTACGCTATAAAGTTACCGTTCTTATTACCTATAACCTTCTAAGGTTTACGGGCGTGCTTAAGTATTCGTTGGTATTCGCGAGCACCCTAAGTACTAGTACTATAGGTACTTACTTTCTAGTACGCTTCTAATCGATTTCTGCCTAGTAGTAAGTACTTAGCCTAATTTGTCCGTATACTCTTCTAGCTCGCTCTCTAAGTACTTATAATTATTATCTTCTCTAGTCTTCTTAGGGGATAGATATAGCCCGGAAGCCTCGCGTTTAGTCGCTATAATACCTATTAAATCTTCTTAAGTAATTAGCTAGGTTCTTCGTCGGCACGGGTACTCGTATATGCTCGCGAGGGCTTGCGAGTAATCGCGTGTACTCGTATATACTTGCCTCGGAACTCGGCACGAGTAGTTATAAGGAGCTCGTACGGGTTGCTACCTAGGTAGGTAGGGTAGCAAAAGAGGAGAAGAATAAAGGGAAGGAGGAGCGTATTGGTCCTATATAACGTTATAAGGTAATGTAAGTAAAAGTGTATACTAGGACTGATACGGCGCTAGTCTACTCTAGGTGTATCGCCAAGTCTCGCTTAACGCGGAGTTTGGGCAGCATCATCGTGCACCTCCACTTGACCTCACATGGCATTGGGCATAGGACAATAAGGCATTTTACTGTTCAGTTCATTGTAGTCTCCTTGGTGAGATTGTTATACTATGTACTAATGCCAAGGTGTTGCTTCGCAATTGTCTCGCTTTTGTGATGAGAACCAGCATTTTTTACGTACCAGAAAGGAGTATAGAGCCTTGTCGTTAGGAATAAAGTGAAGAACAATTGGACATGGTATAGCAAGGGGTGTTGGCAGTACGTAACCTGAGGCGCGACAAGAGTACCGTCGAGCTCGGCCAACCACAGACAGCAGAGAAAAGTGGCTGAAGCAGGATCAATTAATGATTGCCAGAACATTCTCGAAGTGGCAGGAAGGTATAGCGACCCAGCTGCGGCGGCAGAGTGAGGCAAACACGGTCGCCCGCCTTCGCGCGGTGCCCTGCGACTGGCCCTTGACTTTTTTTGGGCGGAACTCGCAGGCCAGCACTAAACTGGAAAACTGGCATCTGACTTTTCCTGTCGCTACGTTGATGTACTGCAGTGCTGCCACAGTACTAACTTAAGCGTACCGCCGCAGTGACGAACGAAAGATATTGATTCTTCACGTTGATTCTTCCGACGCTTGGCCACCACAACACCCATCTCACCACATTCATATTCTTGGTCGCGTTTACCTCCTCCCTTCCTTCTTGCTGAAACAGAATCAGCACATCTGCGAAATCACACCGCACTTTTCCTAGACTTCTTCCGAACAAGATCCGCAGACATGAGCGTTGTCGGGATAGATTTTGGTGCTCAGAGCACAAAGATTGGAGTTGCACGCAACAAGGGAATAGACATCGTAAGTCATCTGCGGACACTGCCTCTATCTATCCAGAGACACTAACGTGTGCCAGATCACGAATGAAGTCTCGAACCGAGCCACACCGTAAGTGACCACCGCAACATCAGGACACAGTCTTTTGTTTCTGGATCAAGCTAACCATCCGCAGATCTCTAGTCGGTTTTGGACCGAAGAGCAGATACCTGGGCGAGGCAGCCAAAACCCAGGAGATCTCCAACCTCAAAAACACCATCACCTCCCTCAAGCGTCTCGCCGGCCGGACCATCGATGACCCCGATGTCGCCATTGAGCAACAATATATTACCGCGCCGCTGGTGGATGTCAACGGCCAGGTTGGAGCGGAGGTCACATACCGTGGGGAGAAGCGTCAGTTCACTGCTGTGCAGCTGATTGCCATGTTCCTGGGAAAGATCCGCGACACCGCGAGCCGAGAGTTGAAACTCCCAGTTTCCGATGTCGTCGTCAGCTGCCCCCCGTGGTTCACCGACGCCCAGCGACGAGCCATGCTAGATGCCACCGAGATCGCCGGCCTGAAACTCCTCCGTCTCATTAACGATAACACCGCTACTGCTCTCGGATGGGGTATCACCAAGTCAGACCTGCCGGAAGGCGATGCGAAGCCGCGTCGGGTATGCTTTGTGGACGTTGGCTACAGCGACTACAGCGTCTCGATCGTGGAATTCCGCAAGGGAGAACTGTCTGTCAAGTCGACCGCTTTCGACCGACACTTCGGTGGCCGCAACATCGACAAGGCGCTGGTCGACCACTTCGCCGCTGAGTTCAAAGAGAAATACAAGATCGACATCACCACCAATGCCAAGGCGTACACTCGTGTTGCAGCTGCGGCTGAGAAGCTCAAGAAGATTTTGTCGGCCAACGCTCAAGCACCTATCAGCATTGAGTCGTTGATGGAAGACAAGGATGTCAAGGGCATGCTGAAGCGTGACGAGCTGGAAGAGCTGATCAAGCCTCTGCTCGACCGAGTCACCGCACCCTTGGAACAGGCCCTGGCCGAAGCCAAACTCAAGGTCGAGGATATCGACGTCATTGAAATGGTTGGCGGCAGCACTCGTGTCCCGGCCATCAAGGAGAGGATTGCTCAGTTCTTCGGCAAGCCGCTCTCTTACACTCTCAACCAAGATGAGGCCATCGCTCGTGGTTGTACCTTCAGCTGCGCCATTCTGTCGCCCGTCTTCCGTGTCCGTGATTTCTCCGTCCACGACATTGTCACCTACCCGATCGAATTCACCTGGGAGCAATCTCCTGACATTCCAGATGAAGATACCAGCTTGACTGTCTTCAATCGGGGCAACGTCATGCCATCCACCAAGATCCTCACCTTCTACCGCAAGCAACCGTTCGACTTGGAAGCTAGATACGCCAAGCCCGAACTGCTGCCCGGAAAGATCAACCCATGGATTGGCCGCTTCTCGGTCAAGGGTGTCAAGGCTGATGAGAAGGACGACTTCATGATTTGCAAGCTCAAGGCACGCATGAACCTGCACGGTATCCTTAATGTGGAGAGCGGTTATTATGTCGAAGATGTCGAGGTCGAGGAGCCGGAACCGGAGAAACCAAAGGAGGGCGATGCTATGGACACCGACCAACAGAATGGTTCCGCCGAACAGAAGCCCAAGATGCGCAAGGTCAAGAAGCAAGTTCGCAAGGGAGATTTGCAGCTCGTTGCTGGCACTTCGTCTATGGACGAGGCTGCCAAGGCTGCTGCTGGCGAGCTCGAGAATGCCATGTTCATGGAGGACAAGCTGGTGACCGACACCGAGGACAAGAAGAACGAACTGGAGTCGTTCATCTATGAGCTCCGTGGCAAGCTTGACGACGTCTACTCGGAGTTTGCCAGCCCAGAGGAGAAGGAGAAGATCCGAAACGTCTTGGAGAAAGCAGAGGTAAGTTACGATCAAGAATCACCGGTAGTTTCTGCATATGCTAACATACTTGGTAGGACTGGCTCTACGAGGATGGAGAAGATGCCACCAAAGCACAATACATTGCCAAAATGGACGAGATCCGCTTCGCTGCCGGTCCCGTGATTGGACGGTATCAAGAAAAGATCGAGGCGGAACGCCAAGCAGCCCTCAAAGCACAGGAAGAGGAAGCCGCCAGAAAGAGAGCCGAGCTGGAGGCCAAGAAGAAGGCTGAAGAAGAGGCTAAAAAGGCTGAAGAGGCCAAGAAGGGCGGCCAGCCAGCAACAGAGGACACGGAGATGAAGGATGCTGACGGCGAGGCTGTCAAGCCGGACTCTGTGGAGGAGAAGTAAACGGCTTCTTCTTGAGTCAAAGTTGTCACGAACGGGACGAACCGAAAGCGAACCCATGGATTCTAAGTTCTAGTAGATGATCGTCGTTGAAACGGGCAGATAATGGAACGAAAAGGGCTTTATGGATCGACGTGTCGACATGTCATGCATAGCGGATGGAACCGATTTTGCCGGCGTTTCGGAGGCAACAAATAGATAGACGATGGATGCCAGTTGTGCTGATGACGGTGTTTTTCTGTTCCTGTTCCTGTCCCCGTGGTCTGGTTGGAATTACAGTGTGATTTCACCGACCGGCTAATAAGTCCTCGTAGTAGCAGCCAGTCTGGCATACTGCAATGAAGTGATTGAGGTGAACTCGATGTTCAATGATGACTTGCAGACAAACATTGCCTGAACCTTGTTCTAACGCGGTACGAGTCCGGGTCCCAGTATGGCGGGCGTTAACCGAACAGTAGCCAGGACCTGGGGAAGTCAATTATCGCTGGGTGGGCAAGTCATCGGCCCATACATTCATCCATGTCCGCCCGTCGTGATGTCTGAAATGCTATTTACTGAACGGCAGCTATGCAGGGAGAGTTGGGGGTGGCGAGCAGCGTAGAATACTTGTAGACCTACGGATGGTGAGTTTAAACAGAGTAACCAGTGTCAATAAGGGATTGGGTTTGATCAGATCCAAGTTCCGGTGGAAATGGCGAATACAAAAGGAGTCGAGTCTCATGTCCTCAGCGGTGTTAAGGCGGCGAGGCGAACATTGGCCCGGAAAGAGTCGAGATGCCGAGGCAATAATCAACCCCAGACATCAACCGGAGTCTCTTGTCTGTGTCAGCACAATGGGCGGCGACAGCAATAAGTAGACTGTCCCGCCGTTGTTTCTTGTCCTGACCGTCCCAGCTTTGCCAATTGTCTCCCTGCTGCCATTTCTCAGCTCTCAATCGTTGCCAGAACAGACAGTCCACCATGGCCACCCAAAGACTCGGCTCCATCTTCTCCCACCTGACCCCTCACAAGAGCGGTGTTGCGGCCATGTAAGTTGTGATCTTGATTCTGCGTGGCAATGGTCGCTCACCATTGGCTCTGTCCATCTGAGCTCCCATCCGCTGACGTTTTTGTCATAATTAGCACCCAAAAGAACCCCGACGACATTGTCATCACCCTCGCCATCCGGACACCTCTGGCCAAAGGCAAGAAGGGCGGATTCAAGGACACTGATCTCGACTACATCGTCTATGCCCTCTTAAAACAAGTGTTGGACAAGAGCAAGATCGACCCTGCATTGGTTGAAGATATCTGTTTGGGAAATGTAAGCTTTTCCCTTCTCTCACAAACATATCACCAACAGCTAGCTTACATCTCTTTGTGTTTTTAGGTCGGCGACCCAAGAGCAGCATACAAAGTCCGAGCCGCCATGCTGGCCGCCGGATTCCCAGACACATCAGCCGCCAGCTCCGTGAACCGATTCTGCTCAAGCGGTCTGAAAGCAGTGCAAGACATCGCGAACCAAATCTCCAGCGGCAGCATCGACATCGGACTCGCCATGGGCGGCGAGAGCATGACCAACAACCGGGGCGCCGACACTCCGTTCTCGCCCGAGATCATGGCCAACCAAGAAGCCGTCGACTGCACACAGCCCATGATCCAGACGTCAGAGAACGTCGGCAACGACTTCAACATCTCGCGGCGCCAACAGGACGAATATGCCGTCGAATCTTTCCGGAGGGCCGAAGTTGCGCAGAAGGCTGGCTGGTTCGAGGACGAGATTGTTCCTATTACCACGAAGATCAAGGATCCTAACACGGGAGAACTCAAGGAGATTACGCTCACCAAGGATGAAGGGCCACGGTATGGGACTACTCTCGAGGGATTGTCGAAGATTAGACCTGCGATGCCGCAGTTTGGCGATAAGACGACGGGTGGAAATGCTTCGCAGGTCACGGATGGAGGTAAGATAGTCCACTCCATCAGGGGCATGAACCGCACCGGCAGGCCGTCCATGCTACTGTTTTGTTTCCCAAAACCACAACCTTTGGTTTACTGGTTTACTAATTTGTGTTTGTTTGTTACCAGCCGCCGCCGTTCTTCTAATGAAACGATCCAAAGCAATCGAACTCGGCCAACCCATCCTCGCCAAATTCTGCGGCGCCACCGTCGCCGGCGTGCCCCCTCGCATCATGGGCATCGGTCCCTCAGCCGCCATCCCGAAATTGCTCGCCAAGTTCCAATTGACAAAGGACGACATTGACATTTTCGAGATCAACGAGGCTTTTGCCTCCATGGCCGTTTACTGTCTGAATGTGTTGGGACTGGACCATTCGAAATTGAACCCTCGTGGCGGTGCTATTGCCTTGGGGCACCCGCTCGGCGCTACTGGTGCCCGGCAGATTTGTACGATTCTCTCCGAGGCCAGACGGACGAAGAAGAAGATTCTGGTTACGTCTATGTGTGTAAGTATTCCCCTGTTTTCTTTTTTGTTTTTTGCACCGAACATGTGTACATTTCCCTGTCGAAACTATATATTCTAATTTGGAATTCTTTTCTAGATCGGAACTGGTCAAGGTATGGCCGGATTATTCGTCAACGAGCAATTGTGAAAGGGGAAAGCGAAATCGAAAACGGAAAAAGGGGATGCAATTTGAAGGAGGTTGCACTTTAGTGCCTATCTAGTTTTTAAGCCATCCATCGTTTGGCGGATGGGTGGTCAAAATTTGAATTCGAACTCCCTTCTCGCCTGTCTTTGTTGCACTCGTCTGGAGCCAATTGTGTCTTGTCTCGTACTGTATCATCCTTACTCCTCGCACGGTACTGTGTCGCATTGTGTCCAATCAGCGGCTGAACACTGGTCACTGTCACAGATGGATAGTGGATGGATGCGAAGGTCAGGGCCAAGAGACTCTACTCTACTCTAGGTTCCCAACATCCTTGATATCAGTCGGGTACCTAGGGCAGTGGTTTCACTCCATGAATGCGATGGATGGATGCCTGTCATCGGTGACGAAGGCATTTTTCCATTCTGTTGTTATGAGTACATCATTCTGCTGGAGGGTGGACAAACCAACTCAAAAAGGAAATCTGTCCAAAAGTATCTTAGTACCTACATGCATGATCCTAGTCATCCCGACATTACCTGGTCGCCTAAGCATGGTAGTAGGCGCCTAGGTAGGCCTCTGCATTACAGCCTAGTTGAGACTATCGGGCCAAACCCTGCTCTCAAGGTATCTTCGCTTCGCTCTGCGAGGCCTCGACATGACTTGTGCGCAAGGCTTGCCGTGAAATATGGGACTGTGGACCGTATAATAAATGTGGGGAATGGTCCAGTCAGCGAGACCTTGTCCTGTTGTGCCTCGCCAGAGGGAGCATGTATCACTCAATCCCAGGTATTACAGTGTATTACAGTCTTACATATTCCACCTCATTTCATGTCCACGTAGTTGTACAGTGTATACCGCTCACCGCAGGACTCGGAGTACTCTACTTTGTTCAGTCGGTTCCCAAGAGAGAAGCAAAAGCACGCAGAAAGAATATAATACCAGGTACCCGCTTCACTCACTCCCTAGGACCCCTATAAAATCCCCTGTCCTTCCCATTTGAAATCCACCGCCAATTCATCCACCCGTTTCGCTTCCTTTTCTATCCTCTCAACCACCCGCTTGACCTCCTCTGGGAGCACCATGATATTCCTTTCCAACAGACATGCAATCACACCATTTAACCAAAACCACCCCGACTCGGGCTGCGTGAGCCGTATGTCAGACGTATTGCCCACCCAATAATGCGTCATTCGGGCCAGTTCAAGTGTATCTGTCCTCTTGTCGCGGTACATTCCACCGTTGAACCAAAACGGTGCCTGGCCCGAGTGATCCAGATGTAACATATGGTCACTACACAATTTCTCTGGCTCGGGCAGGACCACCGACTCTTCCTTCTCTTGTCGTCCCAATCCCGACGCCCTCTGTCTGTCACCTTCGTCCCAATCTTCTCGGTCAGTGATCTCGCCTATGGCTCCGGCGTACCATGGGTCAAAGGAGTACTCGACTCCACTCAGTTCCATGGCAATCCAAAAGGTCTCTTTGTCTCCATGAAACATGGTGTAGGTGACGGCATCACGGACTTTCTTGGTATTCATCCAAGTAGCAAACATAAGTCCAAGAACAATTGCGGGCCGAGACTTGTCCAGAGCAACGACGCCGCTGTCCGCTTCATAATCCACTTGGCCACTCCAAAAGAGTGATTCGTTTGTCAGATGATGTGAGGGCGAGATACTCGCTGCTTGCATTTGCTGTTCAAGCCACTGTTTACCACGGGTGGACCCTCCGGATCCGGCGCCGCGGTCATGGAAAAACAAAGCCCCCGTGCGAGAGAGGCCAGGATGGGCATCGAAAATGCTATCGGGGTTGCTGAGGAAGATGGCATCCGCATCAACCAGGATGGCTCGGGGGCAGGAAGATGCCAGAAGAGCAAACGGCTTCATGGCCCAGCCACCACCAAGCAGATCGGATTGGATGGTGGGGAACACATCAAGCAGGTTAATAAAGGACAGCTCTGGATCTAGAGTCTTTAAAAATGCACGCTTGCCGGGACTCAAGTCATCGTCTCCAGCGTAAGCGACTTCGATCGCTGCCTTTGAGTCATGCACTCGACGGAGACTGGCGATGAGATGGCCGGCCATGTGGACATTTTTGGATCCGACGCATACGACGATTCCGAGCTGCAACGAGGATGTTGTTGAGTTGGTTGAAGAAGACCATGGCTTGTAGATTGATCCTTCAGTGGACCGCAGAAAGTCGAAGAGCAACAACAAGGCGCTCTCAAATGCACTTCGATCCGCAGACGGGTCTTTGATAAGTGATGTGGCCCAGTGTGACAATTTCTTGACCCGTCTACCCATGCCGCCCCAATCTGTAATGTTGACCTCTTGGTATAGCTCTTCTACTGTGAAAGGGTTTGGTGTCGGCCTGATCCTGAAATTCGAACTGATTGCCAACCATGACCGCGTTGTCTCTGTGGCAAGGGTGATATAGAGTAAGAGAATCAAAGCGATGCTGATCAAAGCGCCGATGGCCCTGTTGTACCTGCTTGACAGCAGGAGCATGGCTGCTGCCTCTCGGTATATGTAAGTGATAGAATCAAAGACCGAAGTACCGATATAGCGGGTAAGAATGGAGAGTGAAGTGAATTGAGCAGAGCCGTGGTGGCATATTCATACCCGCAACGTTGAACGCAGACCCGTTTTGACGGTTCGACCTTATGATTTCCAGGAGGTTCCTACCGTCCTTGCCGCTGTCCCTTTCCTGACCATTAGGAAGGAAGGAAGGGTCATGCTAATCATCGCAGGGGGTGGCGACCATCGGCTTAAGACAGTTTCTGAAGAGGCAGGCTGTAGCGGACTCGACGTATGGGAATTGTAGATTGCGGACAGACCATTATATCACCTACAGGGACTCTGCCTCGGGCGTTTTGTAGCCATGTTTTGCCCTTGTAGCCATGTTTTTCGAGTTTGCGACACAAGCTCACCTTTTAGCCCTGGTTGAACCGCTGTACAATAAGTGCAACTTGTCCATCCGCCCAATTGGAAAATATGACAGACCCCTGTCGTGGACGCCTGAAGGCTCACAGGACCTACGGTCACCTACCTTCCGTGCCCCATGCGGACATTCGTCGCCATATGTCAAGGGGACTGCTGATCAGATAGAGCCAGGGTGGCCTGAGAAGACGATGAGGATGAAACTCATCCTTGACACTCCGCCGATGAACCCAGCTCAACGTGAAGACCCAGGCAGGTAGAAGACCGACAGGCGGCCTCGCTCGTCCACGGACGATAGCAGAGGCTTGACACTTCGGGTTGATCAGATGTGGTATTTATCATTCTCTGGTTTCAGCATCTCCACCTTCACTGAGCGTTATGATCCTCCACCACTGATTGCACCACGAGCAGCCTGGCAACTTGCCAGCCAAAGTCTTCGAGATGGGCTTGGGCTTTCTGGGCAGTGGTAACGGCGGAAGTATCCCATTGATCGCATTTCATGATGGGCGAGGTTTGGCAGATGACATGATCTTGACTGACTCATTGTCACATCACCGTCGTGAGACTATGAACAGGTATCCAGGTAGCGGAAAAACGAACAGCGAACACAGGGGGAGTGTACTTGAACACAATCCCATTCATACCTTATTGTTAGTCCCGTACTAGTAGCGCAACATTGTGTTGGACCCTATTGGAACTAGCACCAATCCAGTATGGCCTGTGAGTTAGTGCTGGTGATAACAATGCTAGCCAATGAACAGGCTCCTCAGCTCCACTCTGAATAAACTTCACGTCGACGGCCAAGATTCCGGCCCCGCAGAAATTTTGGCTGGAACTTGAATCAGATGTAAGTATTCAAGTTGTCGCAGGCCTTCACTTTTGAGAATTGAATGAAGTTTCCACTCGGCAGATTCACCCACCTCTCCCTCTCCAAATATCCTGCTCCTATCTATCACGTCTCATCATTTGGCGTATTCTCATTACCCTTTAGCCCGTTCAATTTGCGAAGAAACATTACCAAATATCCTGTTTCCTCGATAGTCCCGAATCTACAGCGATTCAGCTGTCCACCCTCCAAAATGTCTGTCGAGGAAGCCGTGACAGACGCATTGCAAATTCCAGTCGATCAGAATGCGCAGGCAGCCGAAGATGCTAAAAAGATGCTCGCTGAACTTCGAGGCGATGCTGAGACTGCCGGGAAAGAATTAACCACGACATCTGACGCTACGGAGTCAAACAAGGCCGAAGCGGAGGCCAAGCCTGAAGCAAAAGAGACGGAGACTTCTTCTGAAAAGAAGGATGATTCTGAAAAGAAAGATGACTCTGGGAAAGATTGGGAACCTCGGGAGAGGTCTGGCTACGGCGGTCGAGGCCGCGGTCGTGGTGGTCACAATGGCCAGCGCTCTCGCAACTACCGGGACAATATCAAATCGGACCTCACCTCCCAGGAAACCAGCAGCGACCCGGTCGCCATCCGCAAACAGGTACATTCAACATGGTTCGGAGCGAGGCGAATTGCGCAGCTGACACATCCTACAGGTTGAATTCTATTTCTCCGATTCCAATCTCCCTCACGACAAGTTCCTGCTTGGCAAAGTTGGCGGAAGTCAGAACAATCCTGTGGAGCTGAGCATCATCCACTCGTTCAAGCGCATGCGTCATTTCCAACCATTCGAGGCAATTGTCGAAGCCTTGCGGGACTCAACCTTCCTTGAACTCACCGAGGACGAGACGGCTGTCCGGCGAAAGGAGCCACTCCCCGAGAGTCTCAACAATGGACCTGACCCCAATGCGATCCGCATCTTCGAAGACCGTGCCATGCCCCGAACCGTCTACGCAAAGGGATTCGGTGAGGAGGTTCCAAGCACGCAGTTTGACATTGAGGCTTTCTTCGCCCCTTACGGCCCCACCAACGCTGTGCGTCTGCGACGTACGGATGACAAAATCTTCAAAGGCAGTGTCTTTGTGGAATTCGAGACCGAAGAGTTGGCCAAGAAGTTCTTGGAGCTTGACCCCAAGCCTCAATTCAAGGGCAGAGATCTCCAGATCATGAGCAAGAAGGAGTACTGCGACAAAAAGGTCGAAGACATCAAATCAGGCAAGATCAAGCCCAACAACCGAAACGACAAAGGCCGTCGAAATGATCGTGGTGGAAGAGATGGCAGAGATGGCAAGAGAAAGCGTGACGGTGACGACAGCCGGGATTGGAGAACACGGAGGGACGAAGACCGTAAGCACGGATTCAGAGATGACAAGCGACGTGGTGGCAACCGAGACCGGGGGGATTTCAAAGGAGGCCGAGGTGGCCGCAACAAGGCTCCGGAAACAGATGAGAGGTGGGCGATACTACAACTTGAATACCGAGATCATACTAACTTGTTATAGGGGTATCCCAACTGTCAAGTCATCCGCCTCCCCGAAACCGAAAAACGACAGTGGACGTGACGAGGCTCTTGCCAAAGCAAAGGCTGCAGTTGAAGCCGAATCCAAAAAGGATGCCGACAAGCAGCAGGCCGCGGACAATGTTGAAACCACCGAGCAAAATGGAAACGCCGACGTTTCGAAAAAGACGGCCGATGCTGTCGCTGAAAGTGTCCAGGCTGACGTCGAGGCCACTGCAGGCAAGAAGCGTGCGAGAGAGGATGACGACGGCGAGGCTGAAGCCGGGCGTGAGGCGAAAAAGGTTGACTCCAAGTCCGAGTCATAGCCTGCCTTAGCCGTCCAGGAAGAGAGTCTTGAGCACTTGACTCCAAGGCTGGCCAACCCGTTGGCAGACATCATGCCGAGGGCTGTATCATTACTCTGACGAGCTCCATTGCATTGTTCCCGGCGTCTGGATGAATGGGCATTGAAGCCTGCGAGGCAGGTGTGGTGGTCATGAGAGCAGAAGCTCTGCGAGTGATATCATGGTGAAATGTTTCTAGCAGCCCATAAAAGTAACATTTCGTCGAATTGTGCTTAATGAGAACACTTGATAACATGTTTCTGAATCGCATCAGTTCATGACTTTGTCCTATTGTTGCATTGCGCGAAGCCCAGCCTTGACTGTAGTCCACTCTTGCTACAGCTGGTAGCAATTGCCTGGGTATCTCTTCACACCTCTGTCCTATCCCAAGACGTGAGTCCTGTGGTGGGTGTACTTGAAGTCGGGGATGATATACAGTACCTGGTACATTCAACCGTATCCTATGCACGTGACCGGCCTTCACGAGGCTGCCAAGGCCAACAAGTTTCTCCGCTCCGAGTCGTTCAAATGGGCTCCGCAATAATGCAGTGTTACTACAATTGTACTGGACGAGATTCCGCTCCGACTCCCACTCCTCGAGTTCAAGACCGTGAATCCGTCCAGAGACTCGGAGCCACCAAAACAACCAGTCCTCATTTTCATTTCGAAAGAGAAACCAACTCGGCAGACATACATTGTGCGAATGTGGTGGCATAGATCCTCATCCTCTCAATCATCAATCCACGATGAACGGGGCCGGCAGCGGTGAAACCAACACTGGGACCGGCAGGCGACGTGGTCCCCTTCCCAACTTTGTCCAAGTCGCCAAAAGTTATGTCTTTGAGCAGGAGATTCAAACTTGTCTACGTAACACGGGAGTCTCCCAGGCCAGAGAGGACAGTATTAGGTTGGCGGGTGTGCAGTGGATTGACAATGTCAGACGAGCGTTGAAATTGTGAGTGGAAGTCTTGCAAGATATTGATATTGTCATCACGACCGGCCTTTGTTTTTTGCTAGTCATGTTTCGTCTATCCGATCTCCCTTGATCTCGTGGCTAACCATGCCATGCGTACAGACCAGTCAAAACATTCAACACTGCGGTGGTGTACTATCACAAGTTCCGTCTGCAGCATTCCGATGGCGAGTACAGTTTCGTGGTAAGTCGTGATCCAACCCAAAGAATGGGCGACGCCGAAGACAGAGGTGTGGTTGAATGATCTGATCTGACAAACGTCACATTGCCCTACAGGACGCTGCGGCCGCCGCTCTCTTTACCGCCTGTAAGATCGAAGACACACTCAAAAAGTCGCGCGACATTCTTTGTGCGGCACATAATATCAAAGTTCCCCGCAAGGAACATCTATCGCCAGACGATCAGGTACGTAACGAAAACGCACAAGAGTCGCTTACCTCGGGACCTGGCCGGAGAGGGAAACACAACCAGATGTGCTGATACTTAGTCTGTGCTGGACATCAGGTCTTTGAACATCAATCACGCACCATCATCGGGCTTGAACGCTTGATGCTCGAAGCCTCAGGCTTCGACTTCCGCAACCGCCATCCCCAGGAATTTCTGATCAAGCTGGCGAAATTCTACAATTACGAAAAGACCTCGCGGGTCGTCAAAACTGCATATGTCATGTCACTGGACTTGTATCGGACCTTTGCGCCGCTCAAACAGCAAACGGCCACGATGGCATTTGCGTGTCTCGAACTCGCTGGACGGCTGCTAGGCGAAGAAAACAAGGACCTTTGGCAGGGGAAAGACTATGCGGCTTGGCGAATAGATCGCGGAATGGTCATGGGTACGTGCAATCTTATGTTTTTATTCGTTGCGGCAGCGCCGGATTTTCGATCTACCAGTTTCCCGCTATGCTGGGGGACGCCGCTCGGCAACGAGGATGTGATCCGCGGCTATTTACAGATGAGAACGCATCTTCAGAGACAAACTAACTCAATCTGTGTGCGATAGAAACCCTTCTCGACCTCCTCGAACTCTACACGCACCACCGCACAATGACGTCCGTCGGACCCGATTTCCCCGTGGATAGGTTCCTCGAAGTCCGCATCCCATTAAACGTCGAGTCCGAAGAGAAACGTTTACCGCGATACACGGAATGGATCGGCACCTCTCCCGAAGACGCGTCTTTGGGTCTCCTCGGCCAGGCGGGCGGCTTGAACGGAGGCCCGGGCAGAGGAGGACTGAACGGGTCGCATTCCCGTGGGTCCAGTAAGAACGTCAGTCCCAAGGACGCCAATATCACAAGTCCCAATAGCACGAATAGTAGTTCTGGCGCTGGTATCCCGGGAAGTGGAAGTACCGCTGCCACGAGTCTGCCTGGGGGTGGCGGCGTGAGACAACGTGCAGGCGAGAGGGGCCGAGAAGGCTCTGTTAGATTCATCCTCAATCCAGACCGAGAGCGGGACGAAAGGGCGATTGTGGAAATGTACCGCGGATCTTGACGGTCAACCACAATACAATAATGGGAATCACGGAAAAGGGATCTTTGTACAAAAGCGAGAAATTGATGAATAGGGGTTTGCGACTGGATTTTTGACAATTCCGTACTGGGTATTCTGCGTTCTTCATTTTGCGAACCCTTTGTGTGGTGTACCAATTGCGAGTTTCGGTTCGTCTGGGCCAGGAGTTGAGATGTTTTGGGGTTTCAGTGCCAGTCTAAGGTAATCTGACTGGTGAGGGATAGGGATTTGATGTATATGAAAGCAGACCGGCGTATTGGCTGGGATGATATCAAGTTTGGTCAACTATGTCCGGCATAAAATATATTGATTCAACCTGCTTGGTACGAACTGAGCGGAGGCAGAATGGTTTTCCGTTGCTGGCCATGGGATATACAATATTGTGCTATACCATGCCTGCTACCGTTTGTTTCATGATCGTGTGGCCCTGCACACTGCAACGCTCCGGTCTGGTCTGATAAGATACCTGTGCCACAGACATTCCAAACGCCCATACTGATAGCACGGTAACCAGCGCCCTGCTCCGTCTCCTCACGATGGGCCAAGGTACCTTATGCTAGTAGTCTACAAGCTCGCCAGCATAGCAGACAACTCGCCCTTCGAATACTTGACAACCTTCCCTTTCCCCTTATCGACTTCATGGTACCGATCCCAGAACCTAGCATAAAGCGGTTCGATCATGGCCTGGATCTCACGGCTCATGGAGCTCCTGACCTCATTCTCCATATGCAGGGACTTGTGGCGGACGACGAGCTCATCAAAGCTGGCATTGAACAACTTGAATTTCTCCTTAATTTTATCCTTGTCCTTGGACGACAGCGACTTGACAATCGACGTGCTATCGATGGCCTGACCAGACAGCGGACGCGCCGCGCCCGAGGTGTGGATAGTATCCAGCAGGTAAGTCGACGGGTCGCGCCATGCCGACAGGTACAGCGACGACCCGGACTTGCGGAAGGCCTCGAGTTTCGCGTTGTGCGGAGATATACCCAGATATTGCGCCAGGTCCGGCGACGACTGCACCGCCCGCGTCAGCACGGCCACGTTGTTAAGTTGGAAGATGCCCTGGAGCGATTTTTTCGAGTGCAGCGACTGCGAGCGTGCGTTGAGTGTGCTGAGCAGTGTGTCGACAATATCTAGTAGATAGTGAGATAGTAGTGTTGGGTTTTCGGTCGATGGGGTTAGTTCCAGATTCAAACTGGATTGTGAAGACATGCCACCAGTGGTAGTGGAGGACATATTTTTCCACTTGCCATCGCCGATGGATGATAACAGGACCAGAAGCGGTCGGTCGAATGTGGCGAGGTTTTGAAGTCGTTGCGCGGTCTGGGCCACCAGTGGGATCGTCTTGCCGTCGGGTGGGAGCGTCGTGATTGATTCCGCTTGTTTTCTGGTCTGGTTGATCAGTTCGCTGAGCGACGACCGCGCCGTTTCCCGTACAGGTCGTAGTGCGTCGGAAATCTGGGGTCGCAGTTGTCCAGTGCGCGATTCGAGGCGGTAGCTGAGCGGGGTGATCAGGTCGAGGATCTCGTATGCTAGGAAACAGTCGGTTAAAATGCGTGATTTGATCACGCTGTTTAGTTCGGATAGCGTCCGGCTGAATGTCGACAGAGCTTTGGCACATGTCATTGACAATACTTTGCCGGCGTCGCCGCCGCGGAAGACTCGAGATGTGTTCTCGGCTTCCGCCAGAAACATGGCTTCCATGGCATTGGCGTATGCCCCGATCCCGCTGGACCCTTCGCGGTAGACGGCCGAATCGTTCTCGCGTCGTTTGGATGTGCTGACCGAGGCCATGGCCAGGTTCTGCAGGCTGTTCTGGAGATACTCGCCTCTGATCTCGGCGTAGATGCGTGCCGCGGCGTCGTCGTCCCGCTGCCCTAACCGTGCTGACTGGGCTCCCGCAGAGGCGATGGCGTTCGCTATTTGGTTCAAGTACTGCACCTTTTCTTGCGCGATCGTCGGAAATGGTATTTGTTTCGTGATGTAGTGGAGAGGCTCGATCGGTTGCGCGTCTTCCTGTAACATCTGCCGGTATGTGTCGTTTAGTTGATTGATTCCGGTTAGTAGTAGATTGTGGAATTCCGAAATTGCTTGCTGGTTCGATCTCAAGTTGGTCGATGTGAGGTCTGTCAAGGCCTTGTCTATCCGTCGCAACGCGCCGAGATACTGTGGTAGTCCGGAGTTCTTGGGACCTGCCCGAATGATTCCTTCTTCCCGCCCGCGCGCGTCAAGCGGCTGCCGGAGTCGCTCAATTGCTTCATTGACCTTTTCGATGTTGCGACTTGTGACTTGCAGTTGTTGAGTGTTGTTGTAGATCGGCCCGATCGCGTCCTTCACAATCTTGCCGCTGGCGTCCAAGCGAGCCAGACTCGCCGCAATACGCTTCGTCAAGTCTTTGGTTTTGGATAATGATGCTATTAGCACTTCCACTTCCGCGCTTTCTTCTGCAAATGCTGCATTGCGAGAGGCCGGCATTTTTGATGAACTGAGATGGAGGCTCCACCCAGCGGCGCGGAATCCACCTCGTTATAAACAGGAGCGTCCCCTGGTGCAACAGGAATGTCCTGGGACGTGTTACAGCAACTGGTATTGGCTCATTCGGAGTAGACGGTTAAGCAGCGCTGAGCCTTGCACAACCTCTATGATCTTCTCAGTCCGGAGTCGTGGATTAAATGCAGAGCAAGATAAGTCATACCCTTGCCGGTGTAGGCTGGGAAAGTAGGGTGTCGTTGAGGTTCTTTTAGTGATATTTGGACAAGCATTAGGAACACTTTGTGAACAGCAACACAGATACTGCTTCAGGTCTAGTCCAGGCACAGACAGATGATAGACAGATCGGATGCCATTTCCGCGACGTCATCATCACCTCAGGCTTCCAGTGGTCGAACCCAACAAAATCTTGGACTTACGTGAAAAGCACTGGCACGAGCGCAGCCTCAGTGGCATGATGAGATGCTACCTCAACCTGAACACAAATCAATCCATCCCTGCCTCGAGTTCAACCTGCTCTCCTAGTATGGAATTCGACATCTGTTGACACGTCCTCCTCTCTGCAGCGCTGAGGTCGCGATGAGCGCTGCAAGACTCTTCCTCAATGCTTCTCGCTTACGCCAGACAGCTCTGGTTGCAGCCGCTTGCGCCGGCGTCCACAGCCTTTCCCGGCCGAAAACTGTTGTCAGGCTCGACAGCCCTCCAGACGCTCGCGTACCTCAAGATGATCCTCTAGTATCCTACGCGCGCCGTAAACGACGCAATGGTGCCCAATCCGAAGATCGCGCCAATGTGGAAATCATTGGCAAACCCGATAGCAAAACTGACCGCTACGCCCCTGGTCCCGAAGCTGAAGCCGACGATGAAACCGCATGGGTATCTTTTTCGCGACACTTTTACAACCTTCAAGATGCAGTTACCTCAGTAGAATGGAGTGCCATTCCCGACAAGATCACAGATTATGTTGTGCCCGGCTGGGCCAAGGTGCTCCCGGAAGGAATTCAAAAGCTTCAAGCCGAGTTGTCCATGCTGCCAGGCTCTCTGGCGGACGAAATATGGCAAGAAGCCCACGACCCGGAATTAAACCCCGAAATATTGTGGGATGCCAGAGTTCGTGTCGGCGATACTTTGGGAGAAGGAGAACTCGAGTTCCGGCGGAAAAGAAAAGAACATGTAGTGAAAGCACTGGCAAAATACCTTGACCTGAACGAGGCCGATGTGCACCCGGACGACGTGCCTACGATCGCCATCTGTGGCAGCGGTGGTGGTTTGCGCGCAATGGTAGCTGGCACAAGCAGTTACTTATGTGCGCAGGATGCTGGACTCTTTGACTGTGTTACTTACATGGCTGGGGTGAGTGGGAGTTGCTGGCTTCAAACACTTTATTTCTCTTCGCTGGCAAAACAGGACCTCAGGACACTCCTGAAGCACTTGAAGGCCCGTCTGGGCACTCATATTGCATTCCCGCCTCCGGCACTGAAACTGGTGACCAGTGCTCCCACAAACAAGTTCATTCTCAGCGGTTTTATCGAGAAGCTGAAAGGAGATCCGGGATCCTCTTTTGGCCTGGTCGATATATACAGCCTTTTGCTCGCTGCTCGTCTGCTGGTACCGCACGGTGACCTCGATGTCCATGCTGAGGACTTGAAACTGTCAAACCAGAGAATGTACCTGGAGAATGGCGAGAATCCGCTTCCGATTTACACCGCTGTCCGTCATGAAATACCCGTGGATGAGGAAGAAGTTGAAGAGGCAAAAGACGATTTGGCAATGCAACAAAAAATCAAAGACAAGGCACGGAGAGAGGCATGGTTCCAATGGTTCGAGATGCATCCCTATGAAGTGTGGTGCGAAGAGTTCGGCGCTGGGATCCCGACATGGAGTCTGGGCAGACCGTTCAAGGACGGCCGGAGTCAGCTGCTTGACAGTGGAGTAGCCTTGCCGGAAATCCGACAAAGTCTTCTGCTGGGGATCTGGGGCTCCGCGTTCTGCGCGACGTTGGCTCACTATTACAAGGAAATCAAACCAGCTTTGCTCGGCATCGTTGGCTTTGCAGGCTTAGATGGCCTCCTGGAAGAGAAGAATGAAGATCTTTTGAAGATCCATCCAATCGAGCCCGCGACTATTCCAAACTTTGTCTACGGAATGAAAGGCCAATTGCCTTCGACATGTCCGGATTCGGTATTCAAGACAGACCATCTTCAACTCATGGATGCCGGAATGAGTAATAACCTCCCAATATATCCACTACTTCGACCGGGACGAGATGTTGAGATTCTCATTGCCTTTGACGCTTCTGCCGACATACAGAAGGAGAACTGGCTCTCCGTCGTTGATGGGTATGCGAAACAACGCGGAGTGAAAGGGTGGCCTGTCGGCGCGGGGTGGCCGAGGTCATCCTCGAAACCACAGGAGAATGCACTTGTTCTGGACGAAGCGCAGGCGACGTCGCCGCAGGAAGCTGCCACGAAAGTGGCCGAAGCACGAGAAGAAAGTCGAGAGAAAAAGGCCGACGAAGAACCCATTGGCTCCAGTGTTCCAGAAAGCCCAACAACTGGCAATCGCCCTGATGCAGAGACTAGTCTTGGTGCGTGCAGTGTCTGGGTTGGCACAAAGGCCGAGCGGTCGGCCGTTGAAGAACCACCTCCGTCAAAACGCCTGGCATGGGACAGTGAGGAGGACTCTACCTTCCACCTAATGCAGCCTGAAGCCGGCATTGCCGTCGTGTATTTTCCCTTGATCCCGAATCCGAAAGTCGAAGGAGTCGACCCCGACAAGACAGATTACATGTCGACCTGGAACTTTGTCTATACGCCTGAACAAATCGATAAAGTCGTGGCTTTGGCAAAGGCAAATTTCGAAGAAGGCGCCGATGTCACGAAACGTACAGTGCGCGCGGTATATGAGCGGAAGAAGAAGCTGCGTGAAGAGCGCGAGGCAAAACAGGCTGCAAAAAGGTGGAAGATCAAATTGAGGGAATACGGCGACAGTTTTACAGGCAGTGAAATACGTTGATATTGCCGTTGTCAAGATTGTATGTGCACTGGTGACACATACGGCACAAAAATCTGCCTACTACCGGAAGACACCGTGTTGCCGCCTGTTGTCGGAAGGGTGGCTGCACCTCAATACGGGCAATTGGATGCTCCGGGCTCATATCATAACCTGATATGGCTTTTGACACGGACCGCAGTGACACCATCAGATCTGAGCACCTTCCGAGGTGTGGTTGATTGCTGGTTTCACAGGGTCAAGCGATATGGACCAACGGCTTCATGGGGTCAGAAATCAGGGTAATATACGTACCGCATCCAACCACCTGATGAACAAGACGCATCTTGCGTGATTCGGATGAATACCTTGGCACGCTCTGGAAGGAGTTGGATGTACAGGGGGTAGGATATGGACCATCAGGTTCTTCAGTGGCCTGTATGGGAGGACTTTGTGCAGGTTGTATTCCAAAAGCCGATTGCTGGCTGATGGAGGGATACCCAGATGCCTGTGCGACACATCCGCGCGGCTGTAAACCCTATACTCGTAGTAGTATTGGCAGTAAAGAGTGTTATCACCTCTGTGAGTCCGTACTATCGGATTTCGGGAGTATGAAGTCAATCTTAGGGCATGAAAAGATCCAACAGCATTCTTCGCGTTCGTCTGTGCTCGTGGCTATGCTCTCAATGATGGTTGCACTTCCCGGCCACAGAGAACCGCGCCGCAACCATGCACTGCTTACAACAATCGAACCAAATGACTAAGCACAGCACAAGATTTGTCTCCCACGTGACATGCACCACCAGTCTGGCCGATGACTAATAACTCCACAGCCCGATTGACGTCGTCTGTGTCCGTTGCCGTCCGGGCGCAGCGGTAAATACAACTTGAACTTGAAATGATACCTTCGTCCAGCAACATTACAGATTCATCCTCGTTGATTAGTCTTAGTGTCTAGCATCCAACTACGGCAATAAGATAAGGTACATGAGTATCATACCCACAGCAAGATGAGGCTGGCGCGCCCACCGCCAGGATCGAAATGGCACGAGCGCGCCAGGTGGTCTTCCGCATTTTCTACAGCACCTCATTCACGATAGTGTTTTTGATCCTTATCAGTTTCATATGCATTACGCCGGCGGATGCGCTTTACGAATCATGGCGACGGCACCGGCTGCTCGACATCTTCCTCATCACGGGCGCCTATGTACTGACGGCGCTGATCGCGGCGTTGATGTACGCTTCCCGCCTCTACACGAATCGGTCGGTGCTTAAGGACATCCCGAAGACGTTTATGCCGATTGAAAAGGAGGACTTGCCGGGCCGCCGTGTCCATCGCCTGATACAGGATTGCCTCGACCGAAGCGCCGTGATTGCGTACCAGGCTCGGCCACGCAGTAAGCGGATCGAACACGAACCCGCCGCTTCCGCAGGGGCTGCTCGGATGCTGGCGTTGACGAAGTCACCATCGGCTTCATATACTGATCAGAATGTACAACCGCCGTGGGGGAAGATAGCACATCCAGGATGGTCGAGCCCAGCGTCGAAAGAGATGCCGAATTTGGAATATGCTACGGTCGTGGACGAGTTGACGGATCTGATTGAAGCAAAGGCCGTCAGTCTGGTGCCCGTGGACCCAACGGCCGCCGAACTGAGTCCAGATGGGACGGTGACTCCGATGCCCGATCCGCGTGTGATTGACGAGCTCGCTCGGCCGCCGGCAATGGGAATGCGTCAGTACCTGAGACATCTGATAGAGAGGGATGTGGTTCCAGACACGACTCTGACCGTGGCTTTTCTGGCCGCATATGAACGAGCACGCTTTTCCTCGCAGCCACTCACGGACGAAGACTTTCAAGCCTTGATGCGCATGTTCGCCGAGCTGCTGCGCAACATGAGATCGGTCAACGTCGACCTACTTGATCTAGATGCCGATGACTCGGCATCCTATGACCCATCTTTGAACTCGGGAGAAGTGTCCAGCATAGCAAGCGATCCAGGCCCAGATCCGCGCCGTGACAATCTGTTGCCTTCATCTTCGTCTTCGTCATCCGCCGCATCGACTTTCTCGAACTCCGGCTCTGTGCGGCACCATCGTCCTCCGCCGCGGCGGATCTCAGAGGACTCGGCGGCGCCGCCTTCACTTTCGTCTTTCGAACATGATGACCACCACCACAATAACGACAACCAGCATAATGGTGTTACACAGGGAGATGGGGGAACCGAAACTCACGGAAACGACACAGACATAAATACCAACTCGCGGCCTACTCTTACGGTGCTGCCGCCAACGACAAACGCGCGATCCAATTCCAGATTGACTCTGGGCTCCAACTCGCGCATGGTCTCCGCCCGGTCCCGAGTCAGTCTCCATTCTCTGTCTTCGGCTTCATCCCGCGAATCTCTGCGGTCCCGAAAATCGAGACCAAGGACAAGAACAAGAACACATTCGAGCAAAAATAATGGAAATATTCTCCGTTTGACCACGGACGACGAAGGCCATGATCTGCCGTATACCTTTCAGCGTCCATCGCATTAGGCCAGCCCCATTTTACAAGAGACGTCGTCCCCTTGAGGAGTCATTGGAGAGGTCTTCCTACTTTTGGATGCCAGCCGTAGAATAATCTTTTTTTGTATTTCAATTCTTTTAATTAATGCCCATGTCGGTGCGGCCGAGCTTATTCCAATTGGCAGAAGAGAGATATGAATGTACGACTACTAGTACCTACTATGCTTCTACTACTAGTACCTACGATGCTTCTACTACTAGTATTCCTCCTCGATTACAAAAGAACCCAAAGCAATTCAATGCACACCACAGTGGTCGGTCTTACAGTAACACGATATGCAGTGACGAGTGGCCTGCAGTTCAAGTTTCAATTGTTCAATTTGACATCAGATTTCGAGGGTACTCGAGTTTGATCAAATTTCAGTTTTGTTCAATCTTGATATCACATTTTGAGTTTGAGGGTTCTTCCCTGATAGGCATCTCATGTTCAGTCGTTCCATTTCTCCTCTGTTTATTTTCGTAGCTGAAAGCCAGCGTACGTTGTAACGATATGTCGCCACAGCAGGTTCGATTCCTCTTTCCTGCGCCCCGTTTGGATACAGTACATGGTCTTATTTAGAGACGGATGAGATGATCTGTACAGTAATAATAAATTGTGGGAAGTGCCAGTGCCAGTGTCAGAGGTCCGCAGCCTTAGACCCAGTCCACAATCCACACTGGCAGTCCTTACCAGGTAGTCCACACCACACACAATAAAAATCAAATCACGCCCGTCTGCGACTTCAGAAGCATCGCGCGGAATTGATCCGGCGTTCACTTCAAGTTGTGCTCACTGCAGATCTGGGTTGACCGAGGTTGGCTCCAGTGCCTGCTACTGTGACAGCAAGCAGGTGCTTAAGGAGGGAAAAGCGGAGCTTGACTGCCAGCGTGACGGTCGGGTCGGTTTAGGAGGACACCTCCTTCTGACCGTATCGCAGTGCGCGGGAATCGCTGCCAGCGTATGGCACTGTATAGCACTGGCATGGATTCGGCTCCATAACCGGCATTTCTGCCCAAGAGCAGTAATGGACTTTTTTTTAATAATTCCAAAATATCTCAATCGAGCTCCATCCCTCCATGCGAGACAGCAACTGGCTGGACCTGAACCTGCACGTTGTTCAATCGGTTATAGTCTGCCCAATTCTCCATCATGGTGCCGTTGCTTTGCTGCTGAACTCTGGCGGCTTCCGGGCCAGGAGTTCTCTCCGCTCTTAGAACCTCTTCTCCTTCAAAGACGATAGGCTGAGACTTCAAATGCCTAAGACAAGTCTCCCATGTTCTGCCAACCAGTTTGCCCTCGAGCAAGTCTTCGGAGAACAAGAAATAACCTTCCTGGGCACCCACCAGATACGCATTGAGTCCAGAACTCTTGAGTAGAATCTGGGCACCGTGAATATCTCGGGCATAATGGTTGTCTAAATATCTCGCCCAGCCTCTAGCAGCGGCTTGAATCGCCTCGTCTTCCGAAGACATCTTGGTCCATCCGATTCCCAGTGCTAGGGTAGCTTCGTCAAACTCGGACCGATGGTCTACGGCTGTCTTGGGAGGGCTCGCCGGCGCAGAAGCAACCCCAGTATCTAGGGGCAAGCGGATCGAGGTTTGAGATAGACGCATGGATTTCCGACTCATGGGCATCGTGGGTCTCGGCTCCGCCGCGGCGGCAGCAGCCGCAATCTCTTCTTGCTTGACCTTCTGTTCAACCTTCTCGTCGTACCAGGTTCCGGTCTGACTCTCTGCGGATATGGCTATTCCTGTTCGCGGGTTGATGAGAACCATGCCTTCGCCGTAGATGGGTTCCTCTTCAGGAGCTGGAGCCGGAGGAGTGAAATACGACCCCGAGTCACCGTGTTCGTGTTCGTCGTCGCGTGACCTCTTTTTCGACGGGTTTGTAGAGATGGGTGTTATGCTGTCAACGGGCGTCCAGCTGGTGGAATGGTTCGGATAGTATGAGGCTGGAGAAGGGACGTCTTGGTCCATGGCTCGCGGCGTGTCGGAGGGCGTGGGTAATTGAGTCGGCGCGAAGGACATGTTCGGTGTTTGCGACGATGTGAGACGCTGTGAGGTAGTACGGTAGATGGCCTCGACTAGCAAGAACTATAGTGATGGCGAGGTAGGTATGGAGAATACGTGAAATAGTATGAGGTACAAACGTGTAAGAGACGTGAAATAAGTGAATGAAGGGACAGGTATGAATTGAAGATACGGCTTGAGGGTGGGTAGAGAGGATGTGAAGGAGGGCGATTGAGCGCGTGGGAGAGGGTTAAGTAAGTGGTAGGAAGAGACGAGAGCGAAGAGATCAAGGATTGAAGATGCGCGCAAAACACGAGAGAGAAAGAGAAGAGAGGAAGAGGCGAGGTCGCATGCCGGGGGAAGCTGAGAGACGACGGATGAGACCTGCGATTGATCAATTGCAGTATGGACCGCGACTTTCGCGAGTGGCAGGCGAAGACTCGGATCAGCGAGCGTTGCCGTTGCGCTGTGGTTGCGGTTCTTGTCGGTAGTAACAAGACACAAGAGGCTCCCGATCTTCTTCTCTTTCCGGGGCCTGCGACGTCGATGGTGGATTCAAGTGGAGGGCATCTCGCTGTGTCCTGATTCGTGGTGTCTGGGTTGCGCCTCAGGCCCTACAAGCCTCCTTCAAGCCTCCCGGGCAGCATGCGGCGCTTCGACGTTGCCTAAAGAACTAGTGGCACTAAAGGTGGACTACTAGCCTTACATTGCACTAGCGGACCACTAGCAGCCTTGGAGGCTACCGCCTAGAACAAGGAGTCCAAGCGCAAACAGGCACTCCCAATCGGCCTATGTTGTATGGCAACACCAACCAGCCAGAACCACAGAAAAAGCTTGCATGTGGGTCTTTTCTCATGCACATAAGAGGCTAGAGCAACTCAATTAGGCGATAATACAGAGCCACTGACCGCAATACAGGGTTTGGACAGACTCGAACGCGGCTCAAGAAAACCGGCCGGTTGGCTGCTAACGACTATTTTGCACAGACCCAAGCCTCAGGTGCTGCCTAACGACGCCACTACAACATTAGTGATTGCGCATAGTGTGGGGAAGATCAGCCTAACATGAACCAGCCACCGGTTCACCTGCCAGTCTGGGCCCGGCACGGCACGTGATCTTGGACCCTAGTTCCATGGGCGCATCATCCTAGCCACGGTCTATCGTTGCCCATCCGGTGGACATTATTTTAATTGTCGTACAATGTAGTAATAATGCTTTGCATGCTCTCTTCATTATTAGGTACTGTAGCTCTATTTACAACTGTCCGTTTTTTGCAGCTGATTCCGGGTGACGTCGAGCCTGATATGGCCTGCACCCTGCATATTCAAACACCTGAAGTTCCATCTATCATACAATTCATATTGTGAGGCCTGCCCAGAAAATCCCAGTGATCGGATCCAAAGACAGACGAACCATGGAATGTCCGCTCCCGAATATTAACACCGTGTCGGATATGACCCTCAAAATTTCCATACAGGCTGGCCGAATAGCGTCAACCTGCCTTCATTGAAAAATCTCGCGGGACTGAGTTCACCACTATCCTGTGCATGTCGAATCATTCATGCTCCGAGACCGGTGCTGAGCATGTCTTTCAGATTCTTCGTCTGAGAAGGTGCGTAGGTTGGAGCCAGTCCGCCAAGGAGGACGAAGAGAGTGATCAAAACCAGTCCCAGGACCAGAGCTTTCCGCATGGCCGGTCGCTGAACACCAAACTCGGACCAGGAACGGCCTGCATGAGAAACGTATTGTTTGAGCTGCTCGGAGCCAAGCTTGTAGTACAGAAGTCCACCGAGGGCGATAGAGTAACCAAAGAACTGGGTCTTGCTGACAGGGGTGCCCCAGATCATCATTGATGCCGCGACCAGGAGAATGTCTTTCAGGATACCGCAAAGCGTGAGAACCAGAGACGATGTTTTTCCGATCTGAATGTCGCTATGTTAGTCTCCAGATCAAGCAAAAGGTCTACACACTGGGAACATACCAAAAACACCACCGATACGTTCAACATGAATGCCACCATGGCATTGGCAATGAGCATGAAGATGCCCACATCATAAATGGTGTTCATGGTCATGTTGGGGACCTCCACAATCAACGCCGTCAATCCATTCATGACTGCACACACAGGCGCAAAGTAATAGAGTGAAACAAGCGGGTCCATCTTGTACTCGGCAGAGCTGAGGAGGCGTTGGACGAGCACCAAGCGTGTGGCCTCAAAGGTGATGCCGCCGGCCTGATACAGGAATCCGGTCAAGTTGAACTCAATCTCGCCATACGATGCAATGACAACGCCGATCACAATGAAAGAGACATTGCCCAGGGTCTTCAGACTCGGAGGCGCAACTCCCATGGACCAGCTGGTCAGAAGAACTGCAACCGGCATTGTAGCCTTCATTCTGTCAGCCAGATGAACGGCAACATTACACCACTGTTAACCTACCTTGAGCATCTGAATGAAAGCCACACTCAGGTAGAGATATGCCTTGTTTCCACAAATCAAGCTCAAGCTGAAGAAGAAACCGATGGGGAGGATTGCGCGCAGGTAGACTCGTCCAGTCATTTTGACATTTTTGCGTCCGTCAAGCAGGGTTGTAGTCCTCGCGAGAACTTGGGTCATGAAGGTAGCGAAAATCATGTGCCTGATGTATGCGTCAGTCGAGATCGGCGTCACGATGGGAGGTGTTGTTGGCTGCTTACCATGCCGTGAGGGTAATGGGGAATTCTACAGCCACATGTCAGTATACGCAGACGAAGGCAGCTGGAAAGAGGAGAGACATACTGAAACCGAGCGTGTCCAGCAACCACTTGTTGAACAAAATAACACCACCACTGAAGCCGATCCATGTCCTGTAAAGAACTGTCAGTCATGATTGTCCTGTCCCGCCATGTGCAGAAAAACGAGCGGCATACACCACGTAGAAGGCCGGATGAAGTGAAGGCGCAGGCGGCTGTTGTTTCTCAGGCGCAGGTGTGTTGTGAGTGGGCAGGATTGTTGCAGGCTCTGCGGTTCTCGTCTGTTCACCCGACAGACGGGCTTTCTTTTCAACGTCGGCCATTGTGAATGAGGGTCGTTGAGGACGGGCAAGAAATTCCTGAATGGAAAAAGGCCGCGGCGACCTGGAGAACGGCTGTGGCTGCAGCACCTTGACGAGATGAGTCTCACACACACATAAAGCGAGTGAAGGTCAACCAGCGTGAAAGCCTAGGACGATGCTCTAGGCGAGAGAGGATAAGGAGTTCTTGATCGGGAACCACGCGATAAAGAACAAGAAGGCAAATAGCGGCGGCGATGTGAATGGTGATGGAGAGCGGAACAAATTAACGGTTGAGGAGAAAGGCTTGCGTGCTGGCTGGCTGGCGCAGGTTGTCTAGACGCAGAAGGACGGAGCACTGCAATAATAATTATTATCGGAGACAAGCGCGGGAGGGCCCCTCGGGCCCGAGGCGGCCTTATTACTAGGAGGCTACAATATAGATGCACCCCCGACTGCCACTGCCAGAGCCACTGTTATTTCTTACTACTGACTGGCACCTGCAGAGCATGGCAACGACACGCAGCCAGCGGCGTCTTGCAGTAGTGGCACACTGCAGAGCTTGAAAAAAGGAGAGTGCCAGTGCCAGTGCCCGTGTGGCCCAACGAGGCCCCAACATTTAATTGCCCGCCGCTGGAGACAGCCCACGGCATGGAAACTCTACCGGCAATGATCCGGATTATGTCCAATGACAGCCTATGCCGATTTTCTGGCTTGCTTTTCTGACGCACTAGCTGCTGGTCAAAAGTGGAATTGTAGTCCTTTAGTACTGTGCTTTTCCCACCTGAACGGGCCAGACATGAGGCAAGAACGGAGCAGGACACGCGTCGGGTCCTTGATATACGTCCAGGACTGTCTATCGAGCATACTGACAGCCTCAAAATGGTGTTTGGAAACCATGACAGAATGGACCCGGCCTGGCCTGCCATCGGCTCAATTGCCCCCTGCCAGGCCCTGCTTTTACCAAGCGCAAATAAGAAATGCTGTCCTTTTTCCTCCGTACTATGGCTGGACCAGCGGAGGTCCGCAGCATCATTGTATGTACGAAGTACCTTGCTTTTTTGGCAACCCAACAATGAATCTTTGTGTTACACGACTTACAGCCATTCCATTGCGATAAGGGGCAAGCCATCAACATGGTGTAGTGAGAGGTACAAGATGTCATCGTCATTGACATGGAATTAAGCGTGGCAATCAATGGTGTGGTAGCTAATTTTATATCGCCAATTCTACATGCAGTGACTGTCGGGCTGTCTTGAGGTGCGCCCCTGATTGCGATAGGAGGCATCTGGCTAAACCAAGCGGTAGCCTCCCACCCCCGGAAGTACTACGGTCCCTAGTATGTACTATAGTAGCAGTAGGACTCCGAGAGTGCACCGTAAGGAAGATGAACTGAAAGCCACACATTCTGCCACGCCGCCCATTGCCGTGCCCATAGAGGTACATGATTTGCCCATACTAGTACAGCACTCACAATGTACACTGTTTACCTGGCTAAGAGTAGTCGCCACCTTGTCGTTGTTCCAGCCTTGTATGCTACGAGGAAGTTGAAATTGAGGAGAGGCTCCCCTGCCAAGAAGGCCCCTAAGTCACTCCCTCCAGTCCGATAACGCGAATTGCGGTGCCCGTGCGTAGCTTATCGACTTTTTTTCCCGCTGGGGTTGTCGCAACACTGTAGTGGAGAGATTCAGACACCAAACACCTGTCTCTTTCAAGGTTGCAACAACCACGGAGGAGTTATCCTTGTGATCAGTTTGTCGCATTTCATTTTCCTGAACATAATCCTGTTCTGCACATTTAGGTCTACACGATTCGCTTGACTTCAGACCCAACCTTTCGTCAGCAACATGTCGGAAATGTATGCATGCGCCAGTCCCCGTCCACCCCGGCCTTCTCTACTACTCATTTTCTAACACGAATTCATATAGTTCAGTCGATGTCCTGGTCATCGGTGCAGGCCCAACCGGCTTGGGCGCTGCGAAGAGACTTAATCAAATTGTGAGTCGTGTTGTTAGCGCCTAGTCCTTTGGCTGACCGCAAACAGGATGGACCGTCATGGATGATTGTCGACTCGAACGAGATCCCCGGTGGACTGGCTTCGACGGATGTGACCAAGGAAGGCTTCGTACGTTTCTCAACCTTTCTCCTGGCAGAGGACTTACATGCGACCAGCTTTACGATGTCGGCGGCCACGTCATTTTCTCTCACTACAAATACTTCGACGACTGTATCGACGAAGCACTGCCCAAAGAAGACGACTGGTTCACACACCAGAGAATATCGTATGTGCGATGCAAGGGTCTCTGGGTGCCATACCCTTTCCAGAACAACATCTCGATGCTGCCGAAAGAGGAACAAGTCAAGTGTATGGATGGCATGATCGACGCTGCGTTGGAAGCAAGAGTGGCCAACACGAAACCCAAGAACTTCGACGAATGGATCGTACGTATGATGGGTACTGGAATCGCGGATATCTTCATGCGGCCATACAATTTCAAGGTATGGGCTGTACCAACCACCAAGGTAAGTCGGATTCACACAGTTTACATGCGCTTGCCTTCGGCATGACTAACTGTCGAGTAGATGCAATGTCAATGGCTTGGAGAGCGCGTGGCTGCCCCTGACCTGAAGACTGTGACCAAGAATGTGATCTTGCAAAAGACGGCCGGCAACTGGGGTCCCAATGCGACCTTCAGATTTCCCGCGCGAGACGGCACCGGTGGGATCTGGATTGCCGTTGCCAACACTCTGCCAGCGGAGAAGAAGCGTTTTGGAAAGAAGGGTACCGTGAAGAAAGTCAACGCAGACAAGAAACAGGTCATACTGGAGGATGGTACCACTGTGCGCTATGAAAGACTGATCAGCACAATGGCCATTGACTTCCTTGCCGAGGCCATGGAAGACGAGAAGTTGAAGGAACTGTCCAAGGGCCTGTTCTACAGCAGCACTCATGTAATCGGCGTCGGCATTCGCGGCTCTCGCCCGGAGCGGATAGGCGACAAGTGCTGGCTCTACTTCCCTGAAGATGACTGTCCCTTCTACCGAGCGACCATCTTTTCCAACTATTCGCCATACAACCAGCCAGCAAAGGACGTCAAGCTGCCCACGCTGCAACTCGCAAACGGATCCAAGCCACAGAGCACGCAAGCCCAGGAAGGCCCCTACTGGTCGATCATGCTGGAAGTGTCTGAATCAAGTATGAAACCTGTCAACCAGGAGACTCTTCTCCAGGATTGCATCCAAGGATTGGTCAACACCGAGATGCTGCGACCAGAGGATGAGATTGTGTCTACCTACCACCGCCGTTTCGATCACGGTTATCCGACCCCGACGTTGGAGCGCGAAGGAGTGCTGAAGCAGGTGCTCCCTGCTCTCCAGGAGAAGGGTATCTATAGCCGAGGTCGGTTTGGCTCCTGGAGGTACGAGGTTGGCAACCAAGATCATTCATTCATGTTGGGAGTGGAAGCCGCAGACAACATTGTCAATGGTGCCGTCGAGTTGACCTTGAACTACCCCGACTTTGTCAATGGTCGACAAAACAACGAACGCAGACTGGTAGAAGGAGCGCAGTTGTTTGGGAAGAAGGGCAAGTCTCATCAGGAACAAAATGGAAACGTCGTTGCCGGACGGCGTATGACCGGCGGAAAAGCAGAATTGGGAGGCCGACTGGAGACCAGCAACAAGGAGGCCCTGAGCGCGAGCGGCGGGACCGCGACCGCGGGCAAGGATGGTAACACGAGAATCTTGAACCGCAACTGGTAAAAGTTGTCCCGTTTGCCATTCGGGGATTGGAGTTCCACATTGCACACTTATCTTCATGTTCAGACCAACGAGTTGGGCCGGCGGAAAGACAGCAGAGGTAATATTACGGTGGTGCTGGGCTGTTACGGGAGACTTCACGAGGCCGCAAGGACATTGGCGCCCGTTCAAGTTTGTTAGATGTGTTTCCTTGAGACGTGTAAAAATACCTAGATCCGGGAATGTCACTGCGATAGATCGCACAGCATGTTTCTGTTTCCCTATTGCTGGAGATAGAGACGGGTTTCGAGTACGACCATGGCTGCTTTCCCTTTCTTACCTAGGTACAGTCATCAATGTTCAAGTTGTACTGGTAGAAATGACGGGTTCGTCATCTTGTGTCCAGACTGCCAGTGGCCACAACACGAGTAAGACCCAAGATTTTGCATGACCCATATTAACAGTACAACGAAACGAAAATACCAACGATCGGATCGGCCTCCGATCTCCACGGCGAGGGATCATGGGGTTCACACTTGGCCGACGAGCCAACGGTCAAAAATGCAGGGAGAGGTCAAGGACTAAGGTACCGTAGGGTATCTAAGGGTCTTTTGCAGGAAAGATACGGTCATCTGGCAGTAGACGGCCTAGATTGACAGCGGTCAGCTTGCTGGCGAGCAAAGCATGGTACCGATGTAAAACTGTAGCAGCCCTGGCTTGCTCAGCAGGATTCTTAATCTGCTTTTCCTTTTCAGAACCAAGGCACAGTCAGATGAAATGCTATCGAGTTTTTGGGTTTAACAATGGCGGCGTTCTATGATCAATTTTCACAGGTGGGTTAGAGAGGGCCCCTCGGGCTCCGCATTGAGCGGGTTTGGACCCTGCTGGAACTCGGTCCAATTTACTACCTAAGTAGTAGCAGCGCATCTACATTCTTTCCCAGCATTACCCTCTCATGATATTCCTTCTCCTCCAAGTAGCCTGCACGATGAGGCGACTCTACGCCCAAGATTTCTTCGATCGCGTCGGCTGACGGTTGGGACTGTCTGGGGTCTCCGGCTTTCGGCCAACGTTTCAACGTCGACGAACGACTTTCCTCATGTGATGACTCGCATCTACTGCTTTCCCGAATGCGACGAACTTCGACGGACAGTCGCGCGCGTTTCTTACGAGCACATTGAGAATTTACGAAGGACAAGTTCTTGCGCACCCTTCGAGAAACAAGCTGCTTTGCCGCCGACATTGTTCAGCGCATAATCAAAAAGACCCATACTCCTCGGATTTTTTTAATGCTGCCAGTTGCCGAGCTATATGGGAAGGGAAACTCGATCCGCGAAACGAAAATTATTGCCTGATATGCCGCTCACTCGGTCAGACTGGACTTGATATATTGCGAAAGATCAAGGCATTTCTTCCCCCCTCCTACGTCGCTTCCAGAAAACATACTGCAGTATAATCAATAGGCACGAATCCGCCCATCCCACCAGCCATGAATCCGTAAAGCAGTAAAATGGCCTAACGGGGTTGACCCATCCACCGAGATTTCTCCCTGGTCAAGGTCCTCGAGGATACTATCAATGTAGCGGCCCGCCGCGCTCCTGTGAAGTATATGTGCAATGGCCGAATGGATAGCAAGTAATCGTGGAGAAGGAGGATCAATCGTTCGGGTGTCGGTCAAGAAAAGTGTACGATCGACAGGGAAAACACGGTGGCGTAGAATGCCAGTCCTGGTAGAGTCGACGCGATAGGTATGTGGTTCGTTACCTGTGGGCTCAAAGTAGGCCTCGAACCGGCCGAAAAAGTGGTGGAGATCATGAGTCAACGTGATCGCATTGCGCGGGCGGTCAATGTCAATGCTTTCAATCAGATGTACCACGCCATCGTCGAACATGTTCAAAATTGCCAGCGCTAGCTGTTTCGACTCATCCTTCGAGGAGCAGTCAGTCGCCTGTCAGGTCAAAGACGCCCAACGAAGGGGGAAGGGTGGTGGACATGCCAATTCCGTCTTCCCACTTGAAAAAGTCATTAATGAATGGGGAAGAATATGTGCCAGCTCTAATGGAGCAAACGTGCCGCTTTCTTCAGATAACAGATTTCCGTCATCGTCTTGTGCGTTATCCTCGCCATCCCGAGATACCCGCCTCATTGCTTCATCACAGTCGAATGTGCATGAGATTACACAGCGATAACGATCACGTATGAGACAATCTCTTCTTAAAGTAGCCAGCCGTTGGGTAGTTCCGGCGAGGGACTGTGCACTTTGTACATCGGAAAGGGCCGCAGGCGAAGGCTGAGGGGTCTTTCTCGCCGCAGCTTTCACTGATTGATGCATTGTCAGCGGGTGTCGACTATCAACTCAGCTCCGATCAAAATCGTCTTACAGGGAAGGAAGAAATTGTCAAAAAGTGTCTGTGCAAAAGCCATCAATCTTGGTACATATTCGGACGTAGGGATCGATCCCGAGGGCGAACCATCACTCGAGATCTTTGTTTGTTGGAAGAAGAAACGCAGAAAGTTGTCTCTGGATGCTTCAGATCGCGCGCATTCGTAGGTGAGTCGTACGAGAGTGATCGGTTTGTATGGCTTCGGGTTTTGCAACGGTTCGCATGCGTCGATGACTGTAGTAAACACACGCGTTAAATCTTGTCGTTGTTCGAGGCTGAGTGGCGGAGTTAATGCGAGCGAATTCATCGCTCCCTCGAGGGATGCTTGATGACAATAATGGGGTGAGGTGATCGACATTGTGCAGCAGACATATTCACTGTTGTTCTCGTGAAGTGTTTAGTAGATGAAATCTAGACACTGCCAGCTTGAAAAAAGGAAGGTGTTTACTTTATGTATAGGGTTTACGGGGAGAGGGGGGGCGGGTGTGGAGTCTAGAGACTCCATAAAAGATGCCAAAAATCGAGCTTCGTATTAGCGTCGATCTTCAAATCCGGATCTCTACAACTCATAATTTGCGAGATTCTTAACCACTCGACTCTGCAACCGAGACTCTGGCAAGCACAAGCATTGGGCGCCACAAATATCTTCGTGACATGCGTGGCTGTCATGGCGCCGTGCCCACAGCCCGATTGTGATCTGCTCATAGTGGGCATGAGTTCGAAAACGTATCGCATCGGAACAAGAGTTAGGAAACAGGTCCATTCCATCACAGACGACGATGGTATGACGGCACAGAATCTGGATGCATGCATCACCGAAGCCAATGTATATCTTATTCTGGGTAGCCATCCACTTATCGCACAGTGTCTGTTCATTGGCCCCCAAAAGAGCTATATCGAACTAGAGTTTTATTATGCCCATGTGTCATTCCCGACTTCAAGCTGTGGTCGTGTTGCGATGCGTGCTTTGCGCCAAGCCGTGGCGAGCTAATTATATAATCAGCCATTTGTCGGTCACGGTCCGCGCCGCGGGGACATGCGCTACTGCTAGCTCGGCGTTTCATGAGGCCTCCTCGCTCGCGATCATTCGCAATGCATCCCATACTGCCAGTATGTTCATTAGACCTGGCGGCTACCTCACCTGGTATATAGGTAATGAACCTGTCGTCCACTTCCACGTCCATCTCGCTATGGCGAAGCGCCCAGTATCTGCAGGCGCTCAGAGAGGACCGAAGTCTTCACCCTCTCACGGAATCAGTACGTGCTGTTCAAAAGCCGGAGAAGGCAGCTCGCTGACCCTAGGTGCAGAGAAGCAGACTACAAACACGCGCAAAGCGAAACCACGCGAAGTCCGCAGAAGTGCGCGCCTGAAAGCTGTATCACAATTTGAGGGTATCAGCAAAAGAAAGCAGCAGGAAACTGGTTTATCGTCAGTTAGTAGAGCTTCGCGAGATCAAGCGGTAGGCATCTCTCTGGCTGTGTTGGCTACCTGGTGATCATGACCACGTTTCAGCAACTCGGTACTCCTAACACAACTTCCCTGAAACGAAAGAGAGGCCAGAAGGCCTCTTGTTCCTCCCTTCCCGCGCAAGATTCGCTGCCTTCGAAACGGCCTCGAACGTCGACTCGACACACGGCAGAGGAACAGGAGATTGAAAAGCACTCTAGCGAAACTGTTGCCGACCCGGTCCAGAGCTGGGTCCTGAACAAGACGTGGCCCCCTGAGTACTTCGAACCAGACGAACAGGCGCAAGAAGAGCTTTCTGACCACGATAGTTGGCTAGAAGAGATGATGGCACAGTCACCTATTCCGGTCGTCCAATATGTGGAAAGGAACGGCTTCAGATATCCACTACCTGTGAAGAGAGCTCCTGCATCGCTCCGACGAAAGCAATCAGATTCGAGCCTGGCTGGGTCTAGTGAGAAGAACAGGGAAAGCAAAAGCGCGTCATATCGAGACGCGCGTTACACTACGATGCTTGAAACCAAAGGAAGTTTCTTACGCGACTTCGACCACAATATCCCTCAAGCTATCTTGGACATCTGCCAGCGCCTGCTCGCTAGAGACCCGATTATACCTCAAAATTCCTTGTTCTGCGATGACCTTTTTGGAAAACTTTGCTGGAAGATACAAGAAAGGAACGAAGCGATGGTAATCCAAGACGTGACCCGTTTGATTGTTCCATCGGCGATGAATCTGGCAATCTACGGTGACACACATCTCGACTCCTTGATAGAAAGTGTGAATGAAGCCTGGGTAGGCAGTATTCCAGTGGAGGGTCCCAGGCCGCAACCGGACTATGCCGTTGGGTTCGGCCGATCCGCGTTCACGACCGAACAGCTGAAAAGGCTCGGTCCACTTGTTGGCAGCGTCTTCGATACCTCATACTTTGTTGCAACCTACCGGATGTATTTTCCGTTTCTCACCTGCGAAGTCAAGTGCGGTGCTGCGGCACTTGACATTGCCGACCGACAGAATGCCCACAGCATGACAATCGCCGTGAGGAGCATCGTCGAGCTCTACAGAGCTGTGAAGCGAGAAAAAGAGCTTGACCGGGAGATCCTCGCCTTTTCTATCTCGCACGATCAACGATTGGTTCGTATCTACGGCCACTATCCTGTCATCGATGGAGACAAAGTCACGTTCTACCGGCATCCTATCCATGAATTCAGCTTCACGGCACTAGAAGGAAAGGATAAGTGGACAGCTTACAAGTTCACCAAAAACGTCTACGATGTCTGGATGCCGACACACCTCAAACGAATCTGCTCAGCTGTCGACCAACTGCCATCAAGTCTTGACTTTCAAGTTTCTGACGAGCCTGGAGCGCAACCCGAGGAGGCCACTGGTCCATCACAAGCCATGGGGAGCCTTCTTTCAGACCCAGATAATATCGACCTTGCTTCACAAGAAGATGAGCCGAATCCGTTTCCGCAAACAGCCACCCCAGACACCTCGGTCTCCAAAGGCGTAGGCCAAGGGAAGGTAAAGAGGGCGAAGACAACTCGCGTTCCAAAAGAGCCGACAGGCGGGCGAAAGAAGCGACGAGGCTTCGAATAAGTGGTGGAAGGCGGCTGAGTAAGACTGCATTTGTTATACAGGTGTCGTATCCAAACAGCTACAAGCTAGCCACGTCGCTCACACCTACCTCTGTCGTCTGATGCTCTTGCTGAATGCTCTCTGATAGCCTGTTGGTTCATATTGCCCTACATGGTCTGTCTTATCAAACACTGTCCTTCCATGCATGTTGCCCATGGACATATGCGCACTCATGCCGATTTGAATAGCCGCGTAGGTATGATATGCTTTCGACAGGGTCGAAGACATCTCCCTCCTCTGCACTGTCTCGTCGTCAACAGCATCTGCCTCCATACTCCCGGCCGGAACATCCAGCACCCTTCGACAGGCACGCTAGATTATTCCGCGACGACTTGAGTTTCCATGGAACCACACAACGCAGCAGGGCCGTCTTCGCTTGACGACACCATTCCACTCGAGGAAACCGTTCGGTTTCGAAAAATACCCCGACGACGGCAACACCTCCCACCAGCGAGTCCCCATTCTGCCCGCATCACACCAGTTAACGATCGAGCGATAGGTATTTCGGGAAATCGTCCAGATTCAGGATACCGACCCTAACTGGGGCCCCAAGGTCGAAGATATAAGTTTCCGAGTTCAAAAAGATGGTCAATCCTAGGGGTTCGCAAGCAAGCGATGGATGGGACGTATGGTCCTTAGGCCTTGTTGGTTTCGAACCCTTCTTCCGGCCACGTGGAGCTCGTGAAAACCCCGATCTTTCAACCGAAAAGATCCATCAGCTGCGGATTACGTATTTAAGAGAAAGCCGTTTACCAGTCGCCCCTCTCCTTCAAAGAATGCTATCATGGAACGTGGAGAGTGGCCCTTCAATGGCAGAAGTGGCATCCTAGGAGCTCAGAAGTTGTCCTGTCCGATGCCCGACCATGTGAGAGCGCTAAGGGCCAATCGATGAGACCGTATAGAGACTTCGTCCCACTCCATCACCAGTCGAACTTACTTTTATCATATCAATCTCCCCGGACAAGAACTGTTGTCCATAACGATGTAGGTCCCTCTAACAATCAGCACAATACCAGTGTCCATCTGCTATACTGCTTGGTCTAATTATTAGCCATAACAAAGATAAAAGATGCTCCTTACCTCTTAGTCCTCTTGAACCTGTCCACAAGACCACTCTTGATAAAACTCCTGCACTCGGATTCAAGATGTCTTAGTGTCGTGAACTCCTGTTCCTCCACGACAAGGTCATGTTGTTCGGTGTCATCAGGAAACTCCGCCACGAGCTCCTTTATTGAGTGGTATTCCCCAATCCAGCATTTGCTTATGATAGCGTCACCAGCCGAACTAGTAATGGGCGGGAACTCCCTCTGCTGAAAGTTTTCGCCCAGAATGACAAAATGGTCAGTACCCCAGGACTCAGTCTCATACGGCTCGTGGCCCCGCAAAAGAGTGTAGAAAACTGAGCCAATCGCAAGACTGTCTGTCCGAACACCCGCCTTGCCATATGTGCCAGTATCTCCGTCGTCGTCTTTGCTTAGTAGCCGTCCAAACGGCTCAGTCATCACCGCGATATCTTCCCCAATCCTCGTTGCCCGGTCAAGGTCGCTCAACTTTAAATTCCAATTCGAGTCCAAAAGCATGTTTGCTGGGCGAATGTCTCCATGTGTTAATCCCACTTGTTCGAGTCCCATAGTGGCTAGGCAAAGTTGCCTCATCCAACGACTAATTTCCTGTGGTTTGAGATGTTGCAAAACCTCAAGGACCCGTATTCCATCACGGATTTGGTACTGGTTAAGGAGCATCGCGACACTCCCATTGGGTGCAAGCTCTAGGAAGGTATCGTTCGGCCTTTGATATAAGCAGCGAATGAGGTGAGGAATTTGTGGTCGATCCTTGAGAAACCGAAATACTTTTTGCTCGTGGGCATGATCAGCCTGCTCATCCTCTCCTGAACGAGCTCTTTTTACCGCAATGAAGTCGTTCAGTTGATCCACTGTACCATTGGTGCCCCGGCCAATAAGACTCATTCTGTCCGAATCGGGATCTGATCAACGAAAGCGCTCTACGGGTTTCAGAAGGGGGGTCGCCACTTGAATGGCCCTTTTCTCCGTCCAAGGGTTGTAAGAGAGGCAGCCTAGAGATTCCGACACCATTATCATTAAATCTTGGCACACTGCGCCGGAGTCTCACGCGAACTTTGGCTTGAATGCTCCGTATACTGTGACTAGTAGGGCCGTGTGAGATCCGCTCGTTGCACAGGGAACAATTTCCCCAGCACACAGGGAGCTAACTAGATCTAGACTAGAGCCTGTAAATATACAGTTATCATTGGCCGGTTCCTTCACGAACCGGTACACAGAGCTAAACTTGACTTCCGCCTACAACGCCTACTATGCCTATAAGCATAAGCCTATGACGCCTACAACTTAGTAGGTGTCCAATAATAGGCGCCTGGTAGTAGGCGTACAGCTATAGGGTTTATAGGTGTTATAGGCTTTATAGGCGTACGGCTATACTATGTAGGCGTTGCAGGCATTATAGGCCTACCTCATCTAAGTCCCCTTATCCTGGGTCTACCCAATAGGGCAGGTTTAGCGAAGAGCCATGCCTGGGCACAGATTGAAGTGAATTTATCTGTCAGAAGTCATACCCTACGGTATTATCCTCTCCGTCAACAGCAACCCGACTCTTTTCCATGGACTCTCTCACATTGAGTGACGACGAGATCGTCGAACGCTGTCAAAATTGTGACTTCTACCCCTCACAATTACTGAGCGACGAGTCGAGTGGCCGCAAAATCTTGAAAGTGTCGGCGGATGTCGTTGTGAAATTTGGACCTGGGGTCACGCACCAGGAGGCAAGTGCACAGCAACTTGCTTTTCAAAATGTCAATCATGTCGTACTTCGTATACCTCAAGTCTATCGGTTCTTCACCAGGCTAGATTCAGATTGTGGCTTCACCGGCTATTTGATCATGGAAAACATTGAAGGCCTAACACTCGACCAGATGGAGTGGAATGATCCAAGGCTACTAGAGCGCATCGTGGCAGGTTTGAATGAGTTACATGCTATTCGGTCAAAATACCCCGGACCTGTCTCCGGTGGAGAAGCACACGGGAGCTTGTGGTCAGAGTATGGTTCGGGAACTACATTCCAACACGTTCGAGACCTGGAGTCGTACATAAACGACAAATTGGCATACTTCCAAACCGCGATTTCTATGTCAGACGAAGATCTCTGCCTTTGCCACATGGATGTGGCCCCACGAAACTTTATGATGGATCTGTGTGGTAGATTGTGTCTACTTGACTGGGCAACCGCCGGTTTTTTTCATCGTTACTTCGAACTGTGGGCAATTGAGTTTGCACAGCACGTTATGGGAACCAACTTTGGCCCAGAACTTCTGCAAAAACTCAACGCAACTCCGACAGAGAAAGAAGGGATTCAAAAACTGAATCTCGTGTATCGATATAATTCGCACTATACAAGGTTGAACACCCAACAATCTCAAACAATCAATGCTAACAGTGAGAAGTTATCGATTATCGGATAACACTGACAGTATTATGGCAGCTGTTGCTAAGGCCAGCAATCCCAGTACTGCAATATCCAGCTAGTACCATTCACCTTTTTTCATCTCGAGTTTTACCGGATTTTGACCCTTCGAATAATTGAACTGGATGACGCAGGCAATATTCTGTGCCGCATTTGCAGTTGTGATCAGTTTCGCTTGGATCCAGTCATTGATGACGGTCAAGCTAGATCACTGTCTGACTCAATTGGCCGCCTGGAACGACAGGGCCCATGGTATGAGCAACAACCCTCACTTTGGTGACTGTAATTTGTGGTATACTGCTACCAGTAGCGGCCGACATTATACAAGTGCTTGAGCAATCGACAGGTTAGGGTTGAGGATACAGGTCCCGTTTGGCATGCAGAGACAGATCTTGTAGCAACATAAATGAATGATCCTCCAACACACAGACTCGACTATAATGAGCTGCTCAGTGCTCTGGTGCTGTGGAATCTGCACACTACTACCTTTCTCGATGTGGCAATCAATGATTGGGCCAAACAAGACATTCATGATTCGCTTCGTCAACTGTTGTGTCACGGACAATCTAGGCATCTGCTTCACTTATTCGCTCTTAGTGGAATCGATGCTCTAAACCGTCCACCTTCAAACGTCCTCAGTAGATGATTGAATTCAAGTTGTACGTGTAATCGTGCAGGTACAGGCATATCTCCACAACGTACGTCAAGTATTTCTACAACGTACATGGTAGATGTCTCTTTATACTCAGGCTAGTAATCTGTCTTTCGAATAAAGGACCCGGGAGGTTTGGGAACAGCTATCCAGCTTATCACTGGCACTGCTTGGATGGGGCCCCAGACACAAAAGACGCACTGCACTGGATGGGTGTTGATCTTGATTCGGCAACTTGAAGAAGAACAGGGACACAACACTAGTCTACATCTGAATTAGTTTTCTGAAAGTTGCTCCATCTTGAGCGTAGTGGACAGGCCACGTGAGAAAGCGAAGTTTTCCCTCTTTTCAACTTGAATGCCGTCCCTTGAAAGTGCGATGAGCTCGGGATTCTGCCGGCAATTTTCTGCGCTCTCCACTACTACAATGTAGTAAGCAGAGCACGATCGACAATGTCTCACAGAAAGGCAGAAAAATAATCGTGGAATACGATAAGACCACAGCATGAGCGACTAACAACAGTATCACAACGGGTCTGGTGGGCAACGCAAAATGGAGCAGAGAGCTTGAAGCTAAAGACAATCGAGACCATCACGTCACCGGGGCGTGGATAAGGCTTTGCTTGGTTCCTGCATTCCGCCAGTCCGCGAATCACAACTCAGGAGAATCCACTGACCACCGACCAAGACTGGCACCGATCGTAATGGCCGTCACTAGCCGCACCACTCATTCCAGGCAACGTAGGCATTGGCTCTAGGTGGTCTCCATAGGCTCTCCAGGCTCCGTAGGGGCACCTCAGGGGATCTCTCCCAGCGGTCAGGACTGCCTAGCACTGCCTAGTTGTCGCTAACCACCACAAAGTTGAACGGCTCGTGACGCTAGTTGTGCTGCCATGCTCGCTGTGCTTCAACGTGTCCCGTGCCTGAACTCGAACGTGATGCTGCTGCTGAGCCTGCGCCTCGAAATGCAGCGTGCAGTTCAACGAGTGGTTCTTTCCAGCTGCTGCATCACCGTCACAGAATAAAACACCGCACTGCACTGCATGACTCGGATTCCAACATAAGGAAACCGACTCCGTGCTGCCTCAGATCCAATTCCTCTTCCCTTCCTCCCCCACACTTCAGACAAACACTTTCTCAACACGACCAGCTTATCTGTTATATCTATTCCTTGTCTCTATTTCTAGTTTATTTTGCTTTGCCATTGGAAACTGCTCCACCGGGTAGGTACCCTTCCCCCCAAACCTGCGTTCTTCGAGGCCCGTCTGGCCCTTGTCGAGATAACGCCGATCCCCATCCCACCGCCGTTTCTCCTCCTCCCCTCGATACCTTTGCATTTCACATTTTGGCTAATGTAGAGACCGCCAGTTGGCATAGACATTCGTTTACACATCATGTCCGCCCAAGTTGCTCCTACCGTGCCGCCTCGGCCAACTCGAGCCCAACAAGCCGCAGCTCACGGTGCCAACAAGCTACCCGAAGTCCCCCCACGACCTCTCAACAAGCGTCTCGAGCGATCGGTATCTCCTGGCCACTACCCTCGCTCTCCGTTGAATGAACCGTGGAATGGCAACCTTGCTCGTCAAAAAACCAATGAACAAACCGAGGCAATGCCTCGCCGGCCCAGTGTCCAGCACCTGCCTTCCCTTGGCCAGGAAGGAATGGAATATGGCGAGATTATGGAACAGGCAAACCAGCAACCTCCATCAGCGTCTGCCCCGCCCACGGAATCTGTGACGCAGACTAGGAATATTGCACAAGACCTCAAGCTGCATGCCCCAAAGCCTTCATTGCCTAAATCAAGTGCGGCAGCACAGATCCAGGCCGTCACCCGGACCGATTCCCAACAGGCCGCTCAACATGGCATTGGAAAGCCTTCCACTCCGTCCCAGGACGAAGGTGACTCACTTGGCCGTGTGAGGACTCGAACGAGTTTCTCGCGGCCCAATTCTACGGTCGGCAACGAACGCCGCTCTTCCATCCATGGAGATGAGTCCGGCCCTGCTGAATTAGGTCTCCGAGTCCCGATAAACCCGTTACTCGGAGACGTTCAGGCGCCTACACCAGGGATGACACCGTCCCATACTGGGGATAGTGCTGCCTACAGGAAGCTTCATTCGCGTTCGAAAAGTCGAGACGTCTCCGCGCCTCCTGGGAGCTACGGTCTGCACGGCCACGGCGTGATTCCCCAGGATAAGTTTGAAAAGGATTGGTACGCCAAACACCCCGAAGCTGCGCAGCATGAAGAGACTACTGGTCATGGTGTCTACGAAAGCATCGGCAGTGGCCGGGGCAGTTTTGCCCTGAGTTCCGATGATCTAAACAAGATTGTTCGCGAGACTGCTATCCGCGGATCGGGACTTGGTAAGCAGACCTGATGCTAGTCCACTCCCCTGCCGGGATACTGACCACATCTAGGCACCTCCAGCACCACCTACTCTTATCCAGACGAGCAGATCGGATATGCTGCATCCGAAGTCTTTATTTCGAGATCGCAGATGAATACTCCCAATAACCTCAACCTTACAAAGACAGCGACCAATGCGTCTCAGCCAGTCGTAGAGTCTCCGTTGCGCAAGGCTAGTTTCCCAGCCGATGAGACAATTCCCGCCGAGGTTCGCCGAGGCAGGCTCTCCGCGTCTGGCCGGTCCGAAGACCATGAAGCCGTGGAAAGCGAGGCCGAACAGGAGGTCCAGATACAGCCCCGTCGCCGAGTCAGCAAGATAACGGGTGGAGAAGAGACCCTGGATGAGACTCTCGAGGCGGAACCATACGTTTCTCACCCGACTGGGGAAGGCGATTATGTCAACGAGCACGGCTACACGGTTCCCATCCTGGCTGCTGATGAAGTTGCTAAGGAGGTGGGGATCGAGCACCTACAACCAGCAGTCTCACCACGCGCTGAACGCCGGGGTAGTGAATTCGACCTGGACTTTCGCAGTGGGGAAGCAACTCCCGGTTCCCGACCCTCCAGCAGACCGTCCAGCTTATATGGGCTGCAAAGCACTTCCCAGACAGGTTCTCGATCAGCAACACATCACGAAGAGCGCGAAAGCATGCATACTCCGTTAGAAGACGTCGAGGAGTACGAGCCGCTGTTCCCGGAGGACGAGGAAGACAAGAAGAAACCTCTCAGCCATGCAGAACGGTTCAAGCAAAGGCCTAACTCGCTAAGACAGAGGTTTCCCAGTCAAGACATCTGGGAGGACACTCCCAGTAGTGCGCTCCATTTGGCCACAGTTTCCACGCCGGATCTTCCCACTCAAACAGAGGAACCTGCATCCAAGGTCTTCGAACCGCCCGAAAAGGAAGCCGCGCGGAAGCAAGAGCCGTCTGAAGAAGAACGAAAGAAGCTCATTCCAAACGAGGAGCGTCTCGCCAAGTCCAAGTTCGCTCCGCACCTTCGCGATGATATGCCCACTAGGCCAGGACAAGCGCCCCGCTTTCCCAGCTCCGATATCTGGGAAGATAGTCCTGAAAGTCATCAGCTTGTTGCTGTTGTGAGCACACCGCCGGTAGATGACGAAGAGGAGGATTCAGGCGAAGTCGAAGTGCCCATCAAGCCATCTGTACCACCACGTCCTGCTGGTAAGAATAGGCTGGGCGAAGGTGCTTCTTCTGCTCAGGTTGCCCCTAGCGTTCCACCACGTCCGCAGCAAGCTGTCAATGATCCCAAGGGCGCATCAACATCGCCCACCGAGCTGAAAAAGGTACCTAGCATACCTGACAGACCGAAGCCTCAAATTCCCGCTCGACCTGCCAAGAAGTTGGGGGCAGACGCACTCAGCAAGACCCAGTCTCGTGATTCTACTGGTTCAGCTGAACATGACAAGGTATCTCCTCCTCTCTCTAAAGCGAAGCCGCAGGTCCCAGCAAGACCCGGCTTGGGTAGTAAGATTGCCAACTTGAGAGGAAATTTTATGAATGACCTCAACCAGAAGCTGGGTATGGGACCTCCTGAAAAGAAAGAGCCGAAAGAGCCAGAGCCTGTTCTAGAGGAGACGAAACCTCTGGATGATGCTCGGAAAGGCAGAGCTCGCGGTCCTCAGCGAAGAGCCCCAGCCAAAACTTCTGGAGCAGCCGCCTCTCCGCCTCAATTTTCCATATTCAAGCCACGTGCCTTGTGGACGATCGACGATGATGACGAGGTCAACATAGCTGATGTGGAACCTGCGGTCCAAGAAGATACAACCAAGGCGAAGGACGCTTCTAATGTGGCAGCCTCAATTGAGCAGGCGGAGCAGCCTGATACTTCTACGAGTGGCGACATTGGCACGTCCTCGACGACTGAGACGCATGACCACGCAGAGGATACCGAGAATCGTAAGCGCGATGAACCTGTACCACATGCAACGCCGCTCGCCAGAAATACAGCTGGCGAGTTAGCAGAACCTGCCCTTGAGTCGGCCTCAGAACAGAAGCCCGACCAGTCAAGTAAAAACCCGGCCGACGAGGATGTTGCTGGTCTCTCTCAGCATACCACAGCAAGCACTGCAGAAGCTTCAGGCCCAGAACTGGAAAAGGAGACGCCCAATCCAAACACTGATGCTATTCCTGCAAGTCGGCAGACAACAGCCGGCACTGATGCTGACACTGTACCTTTAGAGAGGAGCCCTCCTCAGGAGCCTCGAGCTGTCAAGCCTGCAGAAGGGGAGCCAGGCAAAGCCAGCGCTGAAGAAGTGTAGGCCGGGAATATTCGGGGTGTGTGCAGAGAGTAACGACTTTGTGACTGGCTACGGTCGAGTGAGCGGGAGAGGATGAATCGGAAGCATCGGTTGCAAGACCATATCTACATCCAAGAGTTGGGCTAAGAACCCCGAGAATAGACACTAGGAGGCTCTCTTGGAAGCGAGCTGTAAGATGAAATGGCTTTCTTGATTTAAGATTTCGGTTTCATTGGTGTTACTCAAACATGTCATCAAAGTCTACGGCCCTAGGACGAGCCCTGCCAGCGCGGCCTTGTGAGGCGGCTGATGAGGAGGGTACTTCAAGGTGTGCCTTGGTGCCTGATACAGTGTTGTCGTCCCCTTCAACGGTACGCTCAGGCGCGGACGCCGCTGCGGATGCTCCTGTGACAGCTTCTGGTGTTTCATGCGGCACACTGGTAGAAGTCGTAGTAGTAGTCGTCGGCGGCTGAGGCTCGCCAGATGAAGATGATGCATGCTGCTGCGGCGTGACTCCCTCGGGATGTGAATGTGACGATGGTCCGTCTTCCTCTTGTTCTTGTTCCTCATCGCTGCTATCGACCATGGGGACACCATCGAGGTCAGCGTCACTGGTAGGCCTGTCATCGTCATCATCGTCGGCGTCATTGTATTCTTCATCATCGGCCATGGGCTTTCCGTCGACGTTGGTGTCCTCCATATTGACATCACCATCGTGATCCTGGCTGTGTGTGTTGTTATTGCTGATTGACTGCGGCAGTGCGTAGCCGGAGTCGTGGTCCCGTTGCTCGGCGTCGACAGTAACGGTCCTCCAGCGACTTGCAGCCTTTTCCCTTTCCCGTTCCTTATCTGCTCTTTTCTCTTCTTCGGCTTCTGCTTTTTCTCTGGCTTCTTTCTCCTCGAGTTCCTTTTCCGTGAGCGGCGGATGAAGAAACCCATCCACAAAAGCATCATGACTCGGACCCGGAAACACACACCACCCTTCCCAAAGGGCTAAAATGCTCTGAATGCTACGGCGCCATTTGTCTTCTTTCAGTTTTCCCCAGTTGAGTTGCCGGGCGGCGCGACCGAGGATGGGAAACACGTTTTGCACACGTAGTTGGGTCTCGAAGAGGGAGCGGTAGCGCCATGCGTGGCGGACGCCGGCGGATGCCGAGGACGATAGGATGTCGCTTATTATGTATAAGCCGACGAGGGAAGCTGGAGTGGTATCTACAGGAGAAGAATCGGAGGGAGAGTTGTCCTTTGCGTTCGATTTGTTTTTGTTCTCGGAGTCTCCTTCTCGGTCCTTGCTGTCGTCGTCTGAGGCTGCAGGAGGAGTCTGAGAGCCGGTCCTGCTTCTGCTTCTGCTTCTGCTTTTGTTTTTGTTTTTCTTAATACTGTAACAAAACGGGTTGACCACGTTGCGCGTGACCAATGCAGCAACTTCCTCCGCGCCGGCTCCGGCATGTTCGATAGCAAACCCCGTCACCCGCGCCACGTCACCTTTGCGGAGTTTGGCATTCGAGTCTGGTAGTCGACTTAGGAGATGCACCAGTTTGGTCTTTGCCAATGGGTTCAGGTAGCCCATTCCATCATTATCTGGACCAGAATCTGTTATGCCAGTGACTTTCTGGTGGTCACGATATCGGTTCGCCAGGCCACCACCGCCACCACCGCCGTCGTCCATGTCTTCTTCGTCTGACGAGTTGTAGTCGTCATCACTGACTAGATCTTCGACTTTGGTCACATATTCGAATTTGAGGTTGTCCTCCGGCGGGATCCAGACGCTTTGACCCTCGAAAAGAACATCGCCTTGCGGTCGGGAGTTGTAGCCGTAGCCGCTTGCAGCATAGCGATGCTTTCGCGACTTGAAATTCGTCAAGATCTCCCAGAGTTTCCATCGATAGTATACCCCGCCTGTTGAGCGAGAGTCCCAAAGCCATGCCCACTGTTCGTCCCGCTGGATTTCCGGCCGGGACATCAGAAGGGCCTCGAACTCCGGGCCGAATGTCAACAGGGCTTCCACGGTCTTGTGGATCAAACGCAGCTGTTTGAGGTCGTTGGGAGTCTGTACCGTGATCTGAGTTCGAGGGGCATTGGATGACCTGGACGATCCGTAAGGAGTGGACGATGTGTACGAGGAGGGTGGTGCGAATCGACCTCCTCGCCCACCATGTTCGGGGGGAGGGGCACGAGAAAGAGACGAGTGTTGGTGCGGCACCGGCCTGGCGCCAAATGGGAGGTTTTGATTCTTCAAGTTCGCCGATGGCTTCGTGCCGCTGCTGCCTACCAGTGACGTGGGGGTGGCTCCAGACAGGGCTGCGGACGAGAGGTATCGGGATATCGAAAGATAGAAGCCGAATCCCAGATACTTGTTCTGTAAATGCGAGACCATGGTGTCGATATCCGTGGCGGGCGTCTCAGCAGCAAGTGTGACGATTGCAGAAATCGACTTGCGCTCGGTGCTCGAGCCCGGCGTACTAGGAGGGAGAATGCGCACATTGTCGACCGTCAACGGGGATGGAGCGAACAGCGATTTGACCACTGCCGGCGAAGTTCCAGGTGGAAGAGATGATAAATGTAATGTTGGCTTCGCTGCCGCCTTCAGTTCCTCTGCATCACGGCTGCTCTCCTCGTCTAGCCGGCCAAAGGCTGCACCTGTGGTGTCGCGTCGGCCGTTCGAGGGTGTATCGTCGGTATCTGGGGAAAACATTCGATCCCTCTCATTTTTGTCTCGCCGGTCGCGCTCAGGGCCCCTGGGGCCGCCGCTCGAAAAGTCATCATAGGGTCTCTTCTTGCCATAACTTGGCCCCGATCCAAGGCTGCCCGGTCCGCTCCTTGGTTTGGACGGTACTGGTCCTAGACTGCCGGGGCCGCTCTTCAATCCAGAACTTGTGAAGTGCCTTTTGCCCGGTCCTGGACCGTAGTTGCTGTTCATAGGCCCGCCGCCGCCATGACCAGTCCTTCTGGAAGGGAAGCTGGATGAATCTCCTTCATCGTCAAAGCTCTTAACAAAATCCTCAAGCACGGCGGCCGTCTCCGCTTGTTCCCTTGCCTTCTTCGCTTCTGCCTCTGCCTTCTGGCGCTCGAAGACAGATTTCTTGACCGGGGCATTCAATTTCGCCGAGAGGTCGGCGGCCGGAGAAGTCATCGTCGAAACCGAGAGCGGCGGGTTTGGATGCGGAACAACATGTCCCTGCTGAAGATGAGCACACCCTGAACGAGTTGTTAAATGGAGCAATGATGAACGCTAATTGTAGTGCGCCGGAAGACACATAACAGTATGCCAAAAGATCATCATGCGCTTGAATTAGGGTGGTGATACTGGTACTGGTACCGGCTTCAAGTTCGGCGGCCGTTGTCGCGTTACAAAATGGGTGTAGAGATCGTGCCGCTTTAATTCTCTTTCATATACAGGACCCCGAGTCGCCTACAGAAGATTTATTCACCGAGCGTTGCAACTTGCTCACGATACCATTTGCTTATAGCACAGGATATAATCTCGCGTTGAAGGGGAGAGAAGGACGCTCATCTATGGCTGTTGCGGAAATGATTTCAACACATCATCAACCATGATCTGGCTTGCTCCAAGGTAGTTGACCGGGTCACAAAGCTCCTTCAACTTTTCTCCACTTATATGTTCCGTCACGGCTGGCCAGTTGTTGAGGACATCGAACAGAGCTCGATTTGTCTCAATCGCCTGTTTACACGCCTCGTACACAATATCATGCGCTTGTTGGCGGCCTACGAATGGAGCCAGGCCCATCATCACCGCCTCGCCCACAATAAGTCCCTTTGTCGAGGCAAGGTTGCGCCTCATTGAGTCTGCATGGACAACAAGGCCTCCCATGGCAAAGTTTGTCTGATGCAATGCGCCGACAGCCAGCACAAAAGCTTCTGGGACCGCCACCCACTCGAGATGCCAGGGGCCAGACGCTCGTTCGAAATCGGACACCATGGCGTCCAGCACGAGGCCCGCGTTCGAACGGAGCAGTTTTGAAGCCGCGAGAATAACCTCACTGGAGATCGGATTGCGCTTCTGAGGCATGGTGGAGGAAGCTCCTCGATGCGGAACAAACGGCTCCGACACCTCAGCCAGCTCGTTCGAAGACATCAGGATCAAGTCGTAGGCAATCTTTCCCAAAGATCCGCCCACGAGAGCGAGAAAATTGACGATTTCCGCAATGTTGTCACGCGCGACATGCCAGGTGACGGTGGGATTTCCCAGAACGAGCTCCTGTGCCAGTTGCTCTCTCACTAACAAACCCTTGTTGTCCGAACCTAGCGAGGCCAGCGTGCCCGCCGCACCGCCGAACTGAACTAACAGACAACGGCCCTGGATTGACTGGAGACGCTCGATATGCCTGATGATGCCGGACAAATACACGGCGCATTTGTATCCGAACGTGCAGGGCAAAGCGTGCTGTAGGTGAGTGCGCCCTGCCATTGGCGTGTCCTTGTACACCTCTGCAAGACGCCTCAGGATGAGACATAGTTCATCCAGTTTGCGCTCGATGATTTGTAGTCCACGGCGCATTTGAAGCATAGTCGCCGTGTCTTGAATATCCTGTGTAGTCGCGCCCCAGTGGATGTACTTTGCCATGTCCTCAGGGGTTTGCATGACCAGTTGGCGGACGAGAGGGAGCACAGGATAGCCCACAATCTCCGTCTCGTTAGATAATCTCTCGAAACTGGAGCCAAGTCTGAGTACTTGAGGCAGGACCGGACTCATTGTGTGCACTTACTCAATATATGCATTGCTTAGTGAGTCCGTAATGGCTTGGCCGGCTTCGGCTGGGATCACTCCCACTGTCGACTGGGCCCGTGCCAATGCAGCTTCCACTTCTATCATTTGGCGCACGTAGGCTTCATCAGAAAAGACTTGTCTTATTTCTTCTGTCCCGAAGAGGCCCCGAAAGACTCGGGAGTCTAATGCTGAGACTGCCATAGTAGGGGTTGGGTCGAGCCGAAACGACTAATCGAGAGTATATCGTCCCAGCATGCGTGACTTGATCTTCATCAAGAGAGAAATCAATAAAAAAAATCCAATGTACTTCTAATTGTAGACGAATGAAATGGTTTGGCACAGGAGTAGGCCACCGTCTGTGGTGGTGCGGAGACACATTTCATTGTTAGGCTGACGAGGCTGGACGTGGAGGGGGCTGCAGCCTTGTGCGGAGAAACAGGATGGGTTCACCTTTGTTGTTCAGTTGTCTCCGGTATCAATGCAGCACTACTGGTAGCGAATGGATCACCATCAAGGCAAGAGTCGAGTGAGAACCTTTCCGATGGCTTGAATTGCCGTTGCCTTCTCACGACATGCTGGTAGAGCTATCTTGTGGTGCAGGTCCATCGGTGCTATTCGCCCGAGGCTCGCATCGCAAGGCTGCAGTAATCTTGTCCTGCCGGTGATTGGGCCAGATATACAAATGGCACTAGTCCCGATCAGTCGGCAACCAGCCTGTCACGTGATTTTGACTACCCTGCAGAGGAGGGTTCGACCTGGAGAACATGTTGTTCGAAGGTGCTTTTGTCACAGATAGAAAGCGATTATGAGCTACTTGATATATATTTAATTGCTTATTTCGAGGGATTTATGTCGACAGCAGCTTTTTTGGTACAAGTTGAAGGGCAGCTTTTGATGAGGGTGAGACTTGGCGCCAAGGCCAATTTCAGTTGCAAGCTAGGTGGCAAGTGGCAGTGAGTCAAGGTGTGCTTGAAGTGCAAGCTCAAGTCTGGCGCCCATCCAACTGCGTCCTGCGCTCCAACCTCCCGCGTCCGTGTCCGCAGCCCCAAAAGTGCAAATTCTGCCGCGCTTTTTCGAGACTCATTTCAGAGCCTCACACCCACGTCTCTCAACACCATCTTCCTCTCCATCATCGCCTCCTCCAATCATCACTTGTATCGTCTGCTCCTTTGGGAAGTCTCGAATACTTCGCTCGAAGCATTGCAAGCAACACTTGTATGAACAGGCGCACGCTTACTACGGGGCAATCCCTAGCCTGTTCGCCGGCTGGCTCATAGCCACAACCGTCACCTCGCTCGCTTCACCATTTCTTACAGCGAAAAAAGCTGAATCACGTGGTGGAATATGCACTCGAAACCACCTGCTTAGTCAAATTCACTCGCATAAGGTATATTAAGAACTTGGTCTATCGCCTTTAATCAGCCTCCATCATGCCTCCCAAGGCGCCTCCACCAAAGCCTCGTGCTGGCCAACACCGAAAACCCGCCTTTCGTGGCCGCATCGAAGGGCTGGGCAGCCCGGCGCCACCATCACTACGAGGGACCACGCCGACATTTATGCGTGCTTCGACGCCGGTCATGCCCAGGAAGGTCGGTCCAAAGACGCATAGGTGTACCAATCCGAATTGTCCCGACCCGAAAATTGTTGATAGCGGTTCAGGCGGCCTGATTTGTGAGACCTGCGGTGCTGTGGCCCAGGAAGAATCCGGCCTCGTCTCCGAACAAGGCTTTGGTGAGACAGACTCTGGTCGTATCACCGCCTTGGGTGTCCATGTCGGAGAGTCTCAAACTCATCAACGGACCTACGCCGCTGGAGGCGCGTTGGGCAATGCTGGTCGCGAACCCACCGTCAACCGTGATCGATCAGAAGCGCACGCGCGGACCGTGATGCTGTCGTATCAATCTCTGCTCGGTGTCCGACTGGCCGAGGTCGAAGCAGGGATGCAGATTTTCAAGCTGGCTTGGGGAAATTCCTTTGTACAAGGCAGAACCATCGATAGCGTCGCCGTGGTCTGTCTTTACCTGGCCTGTCGACGCAAACACGAACAGATCCGAAACGAGCGCCGGCCAATGTATAGTCTGATGTTGATTGATTTCGCAGAAAAGCTGAACATAGACGTCTTCGCTTTGGGGAAGATGTACTCCGACCTGGTCCGCAGATTATACCTTCAGCCTGACGGAAGCGTTCAGGCCGACGTGAGCGCTGATCTATTGGCCATGGGTCCCGAGGTTTTGGTCAATAGGTTTGTTGACGAGCTCGAGTTCGACCGAGAGCACCGTGACAAAATCAAGATGGACGCAATCAGGATTGTCCAACGCATGAAGCGAGACTGGATGTCGACGGGTCGACGGCCCTCCGGAGTATGCGGCGCAGCAGTTATTCTAGCAGCTCGAATGAACAATTATCGCCGTACCACCAGAGAAGTGGTTCTGACTGCCAAAGTTACCGAAATCACCATCAACAAGCGTCTAGCAGAGTTTCAAGACACGGCCAGCAGTAAACTGTCAATTAAACAATTTCGAGATAATCAGATTCTTGACTCTTTGACGCCAGCAGATCCACCTTCGTTTACGCGAGGACAAACCCCCCAGCAAAAGAAGAAAAGAGGTAGGCCAAGGAAGCGACCTTTGGGGGAGACTGCCGCAGAGATTGAAGGAGATGGCGCGACGCCTGAGCCAGCAGGTCAATTTCCAGCCAAACGTGTACGGATCGATGCAGATGGTTACAAAATCCCTGAGCTCCCGGTTAGACGAGAGCAGACCGGCACTAACAACTCAGAGGAAAGCGGAGAACCTCAGGACGACCAGACGACGGGACAGAGGCGACAACGTTGGAAAGCACCTCCCGCATCTGATGCAGAACTTGCGATTGAAAACGAAATTGAAAGTGAAGTCATTGAAGCACTTCGAGAAAACGCGGAGCTCGACCCAACCCTGCCAGTACCTGAGTCGACTACAGTGTCCACCACACAACAAGAACGCCCAAGTACATCTTCTACCGCTGCACAGCCAATACCGTCGGAAGACGACTCTATCGCCGATATTATTCCCCTCATTCCTTCTGGCAAGGACAAAACTCCTGGACCAGCCGTCAACACCAGAGACGGCAACATGGGTCATGTCTCGCTATCGCCCACCATCCGGCCGGATGAGTTTGATTCGGACGAAGATGTCTCGACCTGTTTACTGACCGACGAGGAGTCTCGCATCAAGGAGCGTGTCTGGGTCAGCATGAATGCGGATTGGTTACGACAGGACCACGCGAAGCGCATCAGACGTGAGCTTAAAGAGGCCGAAATGCGCGCGCAGGGATTGGACCCGGAAAAGGAAGCATTGAGACAAGCCCAAGCCAGGGGCAGGAGGAAGGACGGTACAAAACGACCAGGCCGTAGAGGAGATGTCAGCTACCTGAAGGAGCGCGACGAAGCCGGCGGCGAAGGTGGAGACGCCGGGGCTGAGGCCGCTGGAGCGGACGGTGAACGAAGTGCGGCGGAGTCGGTACGCAAAATGTTCAAGACTCGCGGGGTGTACTCCAGGCGGGTGAACTATGATGTTCTGGACTCGATTTACGGCCTGGGCAATGGTGGTGATAGTCCGTCCGAGGGCAGCCGCAGCCGCAGTCAGAGCGTGGTGAGCATGGACCAGGGAGCGCGAGAAGGCAGTGTTGCCAGCACGGTGGCATCCAACTTTGACGACAGTAATGAAATGGCCAAGGGCATCTTCCGTGGCAAAAAGGGGCGTGATGGGCGGTCTCGGAGTCGGCTCTCTTCTGTCGCGCCGGAGAAGAAACGCAAGGATGCGGCTGCTGCGAGTTCAACTCCGGCTCCTGAAAGATCCGTGTCTAGAAGTAGAAGTCCGAGTATGGCTTTGGTGGAGGAGCCGATGCAACAAGCACAAGAGCATCTGAAGAGATCGGAGTCGTCTGAACAGTTACAACCACAGCAACAACTGCCAACTCCTCGGCCCACGCAGACTCAGTCGCAGGGTATTCCTACCATCTCTTCGTCGGGTACAGCAACAGAAACGGCAACAGCTTCTACGTCTGCATCCATACCGCCTGTCGCGCCACCAGTTATTGCAACGTCGTCAACGTCTCATCCCGCCATTAGAAGCCCACCATCGACCAACGAAATTGAAACTGGCGAGGAAGAAATCATTGGTCCCTTGCCTGGCGCAACCGCTGCAGCGGGCCAAGAAGAAGTCGTCGAAGAAGACGATGACGATATCGACTACTCTCGTCTGCGCGGGTTTGCCGGGGAAGAAGAAGAAGACTACGATGACGACGACGACGATGACGACGATGAAGATGAAGATGGAGATGTCGATGCTGCTTTCGAAGGCCGATATGCTAGCCGTGGATGGTGAACGTCTTGACGCTCACACTCACAAACAATCACACACTTACGCCATCACACACTCCTAGACGCTCTATTACTGTACGGCTCACATACCGTCCCGGTACTCGCCCTCTCATACATACACATACCGCGACACACAGCATACTACAAATCCACACTTCTTGCAAACTTACCAGACTCCTGCAGGCCTAAGGTATCTAGGGATTTACGTCACATCACGCATTGAGGCTAGAACGGAAATGGGACCAAACGGGGCAGCATTGGGAACGTTTAGATCGGATCTTCAGGAGATTGGGGACAGGATACAGTGCCATGCGATACCCAGCATTTTTCTTTTTGCTTCTTGTCATGATTATTATTGCAGGGGACTAAACGGAAGGAAAGGGATTACTGCGACTGCAAACTTTTAGCGTTGGCGAAATGGACATGTCGTTCAAGTTGGTACTACGACTGTAGTAATGGCAATTGAATTGGACTGAATTGCAATGCAGTGATTTCCAAGTTTGAAACTTGAACGTCCCTTGAATGTTCTTGTGGAGCGTAATGGCTTCGGACCAAGACCACTCCAGTACTAGGGTAGGTACTTGTCGTAGCATATAGTTCGAACGAACGGGGTTTCATTTGACAGCGAATCGAAAGTTCACCTGAGCAACCCTTGACATGATGGTTTGAAGAGTACCTGGTGCTGATGTTGTCTCGGCTCCGAGTCTCAGCCTGACGTTGACTGAAGTGCCGATCAGGCTGAATGTGTCGCTGTAAAATTGGACGATACTACCTACAACGTTGTAGGTACTTGTGCTGCACCGTAACCGGTAGCATATCTAGGTACTACGTCACTGTTTACCCCCTCCACAGCCGCCACAACTGCAATGCCCAACATCATGGGCTTGGACTGGCAGTTTGCCAACCAAGATCTTATCCTCCAAGGCGCATGAGACTTGACCGCCCAAACCTTGAAGGACACCAATTTTTCTGCTCCTACTAGTACTTGAACCGTCTTATTTATTATTCCTCTCTCGCGTTCGTGAAGTTCTCGGTTGACCAATTCCTAGTGACTTGCAGTGGATGGGATCCATAGCACCTGCACGGTCCACCTATAGATCAGTTACCGGAATACCTATTCTGTTCTCATTGCCGATCCAATTTGTAGCACAGACTTGATCTTACGCCTTGAGCCACCTCAGAGGCCCCTACCCCTCAGATCCAGTCCACTTACACGGCGGTCATCAGCCTAAGGCTCCCTCGCCATGGCGATGGAATATATCAACTACATCAAGGCAAAGGCGCATATAGCCACCTCACGCAAGTCGGAGACTCCCGTGCTGTCGGAAGAAGATGAACAATTCCTCGATCGCATCGTATCTCAGGAGAACCCTCCGCCCCTCCCGGCGCGGACTTACCTCGATGCACCGACACAAGCCAAGGATGCCCAAGTGGCACTCATGGATGGCGCTCAGAACATTCCACTACCATCAACACCACCAGACGAAGCCTTTCTGGCCGAGCCTGATCGGATGCCCAATGACCAAGGCAACAACGTGAACCCAGAAAAAACAGAGACAGGGGCCAAGTCTGGCAGATCACGACCCACTTGGAGCTGGCTGAGACGCGACAGTCGAGATGCGAAGCAGCAGGGCCGCGAAGCCACGGCTGCTGGGTTGGACGACATAGCGCAGAAGTTAAGAAAAGCAGAACTTGAAGACAGCAACGACGACGAGTTAGCCCGAGAAATCAAGCGGGAAGAAGAAGACATGACGATCGTGCTTGAACGACTCAATCTTGCAGCTGTCAACAACCGAGTCTTCTCCATCAGCGACGAGACCCAAGAGCTTCTGCAGAAGTTTAATCTGGTTTTCAAAGACCTGGTTCGCGGCGTGCCCACTGCATACGACGACCTCGAATCTCTCTTGACCAATGGCGACCGACAACTCCAAAAGACGTTCAACTCTTTGCCTGGCTTTCTTCAGAAACTGATTGAGAAGTTGCCAGAGAGCATGACCAAGGGCTTCGCTCCTGAAATCATGGCTGCCGCGGCCGAGCGAGCCCAAAAGAGTGGTGTCAACATGGACAGAGCTGGCAAGGCAGCAGCTGCTGCGTCCAAGATGGCGGGAATGAAGACGCCCTCGTTGAAGGAATTGGCGGCGAAGCCAGCAGCCATCACGGGCATGTTGAGGTCGATTATCAACTTCTTGCGAGCCCGTTTCCCGGCTTTTATGGGAGCAAACGTTTTATGGTCGCTCGCTCTTTTCGGTGAGTTGCGGTAGTTTCTTTCTGCATACTCCCAGTGACTCACTCACCCTTTGGCCAACCTATGACTGATATTTTATTGACTCACCATTACGAACCTATGACTGATTCTTTTTCTGTCCAGTTCTGCTGTTTGTGTTTTGGTACTGTCACAAGCGTGGCAGAGAAGTGAGACTCGAGAAGGAGCGTCAGCTCACCGAAGAGGAAGTGGGCAAGCTCGAAACGGAATACAAAGTCCACCATCAACATCCTGATAGCGTGCCCACAACTACGGCATCAAAGGGTGCGTCGATGGATGAGGTCAAGGCGGGCATGGAAGAGGCTGAGGCTCTCAAGAGGGAGGCCGCAGCAGCGGAGAAGCCGGTGGACCCAGACACTGTTCCTCCAACGACCGTGCCCTGAGCGACAGGAGTCGATCTCGATCGGATCTTCTAGCTGCGAAATCAGTATTCTTTTAACGAGTGATGAGTGATGCAAACCGACGGCCTTTTGGTGGGAACCTGAAAGCGAGCCACGAGGAACGAGCGCCGGAGTGTGGGGTTCTTTCTTCTGCGTCCGGAGTCCTGATGCCAGTATCAATGTACAACTGTATTATTGTTCTCACAGGAGCAGCGCAGCTTCGCCTTTACTTGCCTACCGTACTGTAGCAGGCTTGAGTTTCAAGTTTGATGACGAGAGCAGATGGTATTCGTGCGTCAACAGAGTCGCGGTCCCTTCTGGTGCATTATAATTCCCATTGCGTGTTGTTGCAACCAGCCTCGAGGTACCGCACCCGGTGCCTGGTAGGCAGATAGCCGAGAGAGGTGCAGTGACTGAGCAGGCCACTGCTAGTATCGACGCTTGACGTAGCAACAGCGTCGATTATTGACGCTATGGATTTAGCAGCAGGTGGCTAGGCAAGTCACTTCAAGTGTGGCAGCACCCGCACAGCATGGGACTGGAGCGGCAGAGAAAAAAAGATCCGAGTCGAGATGCGCGAGGGGCGCATGCAGCGCAAGTGTCAGAGTCAGTGCAGCGGTTTGAAGTGTTTGAGATTGCCTCAGCTGCCTGTAGCCGCCCTCTGATTGGCGGACCAGCCGGAAAGCACGTGAGGGGTTCCGCCTCAAGGAATTTTTTTTCCCTCGCAAAGACTCGGACTAGCAGCGGCATCAGCATCATGATTGGCATCATAACTGGAACCTCAATGCTCACTGGCATGCAAAAAAGCCAGTGTCTGACGGCGGACTGCAGTTCCTTCCTGACGGTTGTGACGGCGACGCCGAGAAATGAGTCAATGGCCAGCGCAATAATATAATTGATAGAGACTGAAATGCCAGGCTTCATGGTTTTGAAGAGTCACATTGCGTGGTACGGGGAATGGATTGGCTACGAACTTTCTCGAGGAGTCAATCGTATAGCATCAAGTACTAACCTGGTGCCTGGCATCTTCCTGTTTGACCATCCATGTACTATTCCACACCGACGGGGAATCGTGGAGGAGAATGGCGGTGTACAGTCGTACAGCAGTAGTGGACAGCCGTCGACTTCCAGTAGCACTATACGGGTAGTCCTTTGTGGTGGGGAGCCCGTCATTGGAGGCAGACCACTCGCTAACCGTAGTACCAGTAGTAATAATGCTAGCGGTACTAGTCGCCTGCAGAATAGACTGACGATTGCTGGGTCCCGCCTCGCAGAACATGCGGTGCCAGTGCTGCAGCGCCGCAGCCGCAGTCAGAATTGATTTGTATCACGGCCTTTTTCTACCCTCCTCTTCTCCCTCTTTTCTCTTCCTCCTCTACAACAAACCACACCACCAAACCAACCGCAGTCCAATTGCACCAGCCTACCGAAGTTCCAGTATACACGCACACTTATTATCGTTCGAGGATTGTGTTTGCTCATGGCCTTCGCTGCATTCTAGACGGCTCGGGAGACCCCCTCCTCGGGGGGTCTCTCGTGCTTCTCTCTGCAGCCCAAGCAAATCCTCGATTCGATATCTACTCTTTCGAGGCTCTACCGCATAGGAGCTCCTCATTACTGACCTCGGAATTGCTCCTGTATACAAACCAAGCAAGCACCTGTCCGTCCTCGGCGACTGGAGGTGCTGTGGACGACTTTCCCCCCTCTAGGCTGATTATCCGCCCCTCCTCCCAAATCACTCTTTTCATACGACACATCCTACGTCCACCACTCAATCGACTCTTCCAATATAATCTTGTATTGCAACCACAATGTCCCGACTCTACACACGCAACTCTCGGGGGCGACAACCCATGTTAGGGTCTGCCCCGAAATTCTCCAAAACCAAAGAACACCCCAATGATACATATCAATTGCCCAACGGCAAGAACAAAAAGACATATCGTCAACAACGGCCAATCAACAACAGAGCCGCTGCTGCGAAACGTAGAAGAGCCGACAGTACCTCGTCCTCGGAGCTTTCCTCCTTGGAATCGGATACAGCAGACGATGCTTCAGGAGAGGATAGCGACGAAGACTCAGATGATGAGGACGACGACCTGCCAGCAGTCCCCGCCCCGTCTCGTTCTCGATCCTTGAACGGGACGGGGCGCAGTATTCGATCCATGTCCAGGAGTGGGTTCTCGATAGCTGGTAGTACGGACAGCATGTTTGGTGATTTCGGAGCTCTGTATCAGGAGGAGGGTGATGACCCGAATGTCTCTCCGGAAGAGAACAGGAAACGTTTTGAGACTCATATCTTTGCCGAGTCTGACGATGACAATGATGAAGTTTATCAAGCAGTTGACGATATTAGCGATTCGGAAGATGAGTTGGATGTCCGTCGCATTGAGGAACAAGAAATCCTCGCCATGTTGTCGGAAGAAGAAAATACCGACGCGGACTTATTGCTTAACCAGATTGACGGGCTTTCTGCCTATGGTTTCGGCGATGACAGTGATGCCAGCGGCGGCAGCATTTACCGCTTCCCGTCTTCGCAGGGTAGTGACAGCGGGGTTGACGCTGCAACTGAAAGACGTGTTCATTTTGCCATGGACAATGACCGCTCTGTGTTCTTGCGTATGTCAGAGTCGCCAACCATGACCCGTGGGTTGCTTCCTTCGGCGCTTCAGGAGGCTGCGTTGGCCAATTCTCTGGCTGAACGACGTTCTACAGGGCTGGTCGATGATCTTGACGATTGTATGTTGTACTATTTGATTTTGATTTATCTATTACCGGTCACTAACACGTAGCAGCTGATCTTACCGATGATTGTTTGCCTGAAGGAGCCCTCGAAACCACTCCGACTGCCCGACCGGCCCAAAGGGAGCCGTCACCGTCGGTCAGCCCACCGTCGAAGAAATCTCCTCACCGCCGAGGCCCGCCTCGTGGCATCTTCATTGACGAGGGGACCAAGACCTCTGGTATTCTAGATCCCTCGGGCAAGTTCATCCTCATGACAAACCCTCATCTACTCGGGGAAGAGTTCGCTCGTCGTTACGGAACGTCCCAGGCGTCCAGTCCTGAAGCAGGCTTTGCCGAGCTCATTGAAGAGAGCGACGCGGGTGACCCGGAATCTGTCGATCTCATCCGCCTGCCGAGCGCAGATATTATGCTCACCAGTCTCAACTCGGCCATCAGCGATCCTGCCAATCTTGGCCAGGCCATTGGTCCATTGGAGGCGTTCTATCCTTCGAGCACATTTCTGTTTGGAGATTTTGCAATTGATCCTGATGAGCTGGAGGAGAATTTCCGTCCGGTTGACGATACAGGCGAAGCTGTTATCAACCTCACGGATGTGATCAAATTCGATGAGGACACTGACGATAGTGAAGGCCCCACCTCGCCTTTCTTCATGCCACCCAGCCGCGAACTTTCGGGCCTGGGCAACGTGAACAATGAGTTTGCCTATCTCAACAACAACAATGTGACGGCGTTCCGACGCAATGCCGACCCTACGTTCGCCGCCCTCAACAACACCCCGTCATTCCGGGAAATGGAACTCGTCAGTTCGCCGTTTGCAACGCCAACACCTCGACGCAAACGCAAACCGCATGCGTCTCCATATACATCTTCACATTACAAAGGTGTGACTCCTGTGCAGCGGATGCGGGCCCCTAATCATCCCCTTCCTTCGACTCCTGAAGCCTCAACGCCTGCGAAGAGGCGCAGAATCATGACTTGACGAGAAACGACGACATGAAGGGATGTATTTAGTCATGTTCGTTGACAGGCTGTTAACCTTCGGGTTAGGCCTTGTAAGTTTGTTGGACCAACACAGCTGGTGTTGGCACAGATGGAATTTTCTGTTTTCTTTTTTTTCCGCACGTGATCGATTTGGAATTCTTTCTGATACAGGAAAAGAAAAAATGTGGCATTCAGAAAGAAAATACAATGGAGAGTACCAGTGATCTGCAATGGGTGTGATGTGTGTACTTTTTCTACTGGCCCGTGGGAGAAGCGCGGCTCCCAGGATGTGTTGTGGGGTTCGATGATATGCCACGAGTTCATGTAGGACTTGAGGTTGTAGATGACCGATCAATGAAATGATTTAGAACGATTGACACGTTTGGATGAAGTACTAGTAGTAGAAGAAAGATGCTGGTGATACAGTACAGGAAATTCGAGGTGGTGGTGTATGGTTCCTGGGCACAACTTGATTTCCAGGGTTAGGGTTATGGAGATGATGTCAGCCCTGCATTGGCCCAGAATATACGGCCTGCGGTTCTTTACAGACGTAGTCCTGCACTGCACGCTGCAAGATTCAGGTCGCATGAGATCTACTACTAGTACAGGGCGTTGACTGGAATCAGGGAACCATGTCGGTCTTCTACACTGCGTGACCACGTCTATAGACTCGTGGATTTGGTATGCCTCGACGACCCTCGCTGCTCTAATCGGTTTGACGATGAGATCCCTTGCTGCCGCTTAAGGACTTGGACTTTGGCACGCGCAACACATCATTTATTCACTATTCCACATCCCTGCCGCCCACGACCGAGTCGATATCTGCACCCTGTTCGAGATGCTCGCCGCGGTCACCCTTGAATACCACGATTGATCGAACCCGAAATCCTGTGCGTGCAGATGGACGGACAGTAGACCGGCTGGGTCTATATTCCTATACTATAGCCGACTCTTCCGAAGCCAAAGCCGCTTGAAGGGCTGGCCCTTACGAATCCGGAACCCAATCCTCCTGCGACACGATAGAAGAAAGAAGCAGACCGACCATATTTCCCGGAAGGTGGTTGTGGCTTATACCCGGCGTCTCTGGGCTAGGACCAAGACCAAGATCAACAATCAGGATATAGAGAGAGAGAGAGAGACCGACCTTACCACGCATGCCGTGATGGCGTGGTACTCGATCCTCCCGTCGCATTTGACAACGTATGAAACTTGGATCATTCGCGGATTTGTAAGTACTTGTATTTTACCCACACACCAAGCCTGAGCTGTTGAAGTTGTTGCGGTTCTATTTTTCCGGCATGCCATCGCCATTGCCATGCTACAGTATGTCATACACGGTGTTCATGTTCACAGCACAAACTGACATGTGTTGGCTGCTCTGCTGGCGCTCGTATTGTTGGCTGTCTACTGTCTTCTTTCACCTCCCCACTTGTCAAAAGTCATGGATGGTCGCGTGCGCATTAGTATAATACAGAACACAAAACATCGGTGAACAGAGTGCTTACATTGTTGGCGGTCTCCTTTCCAGCTCCTCCTGGCAATCATCAACATCTCCCCATGGATCCTGGCCATTCTCTATGACCTTGTTTATTACCTCGGCCGGATCGTGTGGCATGAGGTTCCTATCTGGGGCGGTCGGGCCCGCGGAGAACACAGACCTCGCGCTCCGAGTTTGAGAGACAGAGACGGCCACAACCGAAGAAGGAGTAAAAGGGGTTTGAGTTTCGCGGATATAATTGGAGCCGGAGGAGGACAGGGGAATACGAGGGGAGAAGGAAGAAGAGGAGGTGGAGATGGTGGTGGTGAGGAGGAGGCGGTTGTCGTTCATGGTGAAAGTGTCGACGCAGCGAACGACGATTTGAGAGATATCGAGTTCCGGCACAGGAAACCAGCAACGGCAAGCTCGAGCGGTGGACGTGGGAGCCAAGTGAGATACGAACGAGACGAAGATGAAGACTAAAATACAAGAGACTGCGGACTTTCGATCGTTGACGACGATGATCATGATGATACCATGATCCATATAATTTAACACGGTTTCTATCCTTCCTCGATCCGGCCCAAAAGCCCGACCCAATGGCCTTTCACAAGTAGGTACGAAGTACCGTATACACTGCTTCCAGACACGGCACGAGATGTCGTTTTATCTTCCATTCCCAGCCATGCGATGGGCGAGTCCTGTCTGAACTATTTATTCCACAACAAACACCTAATCCACGGTGCGGTGCATCCTGAATATCTTGGGATTCTAGCACCCTATCCTCTCTTTTCTACAGCCTGAGATACTAGCACTGTTCAAGTTGGCGCACGCAGTAAGGTGTATTGCTCATTTCTTCTCTTCCAGTTGTTGTTGTTTCGCCTCGAGAAACTCGACATGTGTTATAATCTTGTCAAACTGATACGGCCAATTGACGACATACAAGAACGGCCGCAGGTCATGTCTGTTATCATCGGGATCTGCAACACAACACACACATTAGTAACCGTCAGCCACTGCACCAGCACCAGCTTCCTGTCCTCTCTATGAAAACTGGAAAGGCAAACAAAGTCGAGGTCAACGCAAAGCAAACTTACTATAAGCAGACAAGTGAATCGAGGGCGTGATAATAGTGGCCTTGTGTCTGTTGATCGAGTAAAAGCGGAAAAAGTGCATGACCTTCTCTGCAATCTTGCGCGGCGTCATGCCGGGCCGGTCTTGCCATTGATACAGCAGACGGACGTACGACGACCAGGGGCCAAGCTTTTCGACTCGGCGCAGGATTCCAAACACCGAGAGTTCTTCGTACGACATGCCCATCTCGGTTGGAGATTCGTCGTCTTGCACACCGGCGGAGAGCGGAAGGAGTTCGGCGGTAGGGGTTGCTTCGATGAATTCCTAGGCACGGTCAATTAGCATCTGGCTGTACCGTCTGTGCCGTCGATCTTGTTCAGCCGCTGGTTTGAGTTCACGTACCGTCATGATCGGAAGGTCCCAAGTCTCTCGTGCCCATCTAGTTGTTCGTTAAGTCAGTTCTTTTTCACACTCGGAAGAATTGTCCGGTCCGACAAACCTCTGAAACCGCTTAGCATCGTTCTTGGAAATACTGCCCAAAGGCGCCAGGTCTCCTGACGAGGCGTCATATTTGGTATAATATCCGCGAAGATTTTCGTCCTGAAACAGGGCACTATCAGTATGGACCAAAACCTTAGGAGGACGTATGCGGTCGACACTTACCACGTTACCACTTGTCAGAACAAGCAGAGCAGAGCCGGCCCTAGGAAGCTTTCTTGCCGTCGTAGCCAACTGCGCAAGCGAATATTGGACAACCATCCGATTCCGGGCCTGCACGTTCTGCAACGCAAGGTTCTCAGCGGGCGTACCGCCTTCGACCGAATACCTGGGCGTGAACTGCAAAGCATTTCTGATGATCGACTGATGAGCTTCGACGGCCTCGTCGATGGAGATGTCCAAATGGTAGGCGCCCAGCCTTTCTGCCAATCGCTTCGCTCGGGATCTCGTTTCGTCAGATGAGTTGACTGTCCCCTGGTAGCAGGTTGTGAGTAGAAGATTGACGATCTCCTCTGGTGACTTAGGCACAAGGTCTGGGAGACCAGTGACACGTCGAAGGTCGGCCAGTGTGTTTTCCTCGCCTAGCTCAATGGAGCGAAGCACAAGTCTGGCCATCCCATGGACGAATAGTGCAACGGTGGAGCTGTCCAGACCGCCCGAAAGACTCAAGAAGAACCCGGCAGAGTTTGTCCGAGTAAGATATTGCCAGAGATATACCGAAGTGCTCATCCAAATCTCAGACATAGGATCGAGAATCCGTAGCTCCTTCTCGCGAGATATCTTCAGCGTATCCGAGAGTATCACCTCGTCCACGGGGCGGCATAGTCGAAAGTAGAATTCAACCCGAGGATATTCCGGCTGTGCGGCGCCTTGCACATTCCTCGAGATGCTGCATCGAAAGCTGCGCACTTCTTCAATATCAATCGTTGCCACAATGACTTCAACAGGGGCCAAAGAAAATTGCGACCCCTGCTCCAGAACCTTGCCGTTGATCTATTAAAGTCAGCATGTGGTTGACATATTGAGGCCATCCCATCCTGGCAACCACAGAGGATATGAAACCCGGATCCAAGACCTCAACAGCATTGACAGGTAGACATGTATCTTCAAAGACATACCAAAATCATTGAAGAGCCATCGTACATCATTCGCGCCTCGCCGTCCACCCCCGTGGCATTCGCATAGACATAGATACCACCCAGCTTCCGAGTCGAGTTTGAGATCAGGTCCAGCCGGGTCCGAAGTTTTCGAAGTTCTGCATGGGACGCGGAACTGTTGAGGATGATTTCACAGCCCTAGATACATGTCGAATCCGAATCAGCATCGCCACACTGAGGGCTACCACACCCTGCAGCCGCAGTACTCCCCAGAAAGTCAGGTATGCACTTACATTCAACCCCATATACGTCGAAGGATTCGAAGGTGTAAAGAGCTCCTCACAAGTCTCACAGCCGACGGCAGTATCCAAAGTCGACAAAATGGCATCTCCAATCGGCACCGTATGCTGTCCAGTCACCTTCTCAATGATGGCTTCTAGATAGTACGTCTCGACCTGCATCTTCTTGGGCCAAGCGGTGAAATGCCGGGCTTCACGGTATAGTCCATCATTTGCCAATGCCATTTTCGGCCTGCCGCGCCACCGCCACCAGTCAACATGGTCGTATGGACTAACCAAGGATCCCCGCTGGTTGTCAGCACTTACCGGATAAAAAGAACACGCTTATAAGTGCAGAGCACACGACAGTTATATCGGACATTGCGATGGCGAACACCCATGCCCAAGTCAACCAGCATGTCCTTGCACACGGGGTCCGAGATGATTTCGGCCAGAACTTCCCAGCTGTGAAGGAAAGTGTCCCCTTCTGTTATGCCAGAGCAAAATCGTTAGAGCCGTTCCAAACAAGACTGAATATCCATACCGAGATGGTGATCCAGGCAGCCATAGCCGGGGATTTCAAGCTGTCCACATGATCAGCAGCTTGCCCTGGATCATAACGCATACAAGAAAACCTGCCTCGGGTCCCGTGCGCAGAGTTGCTCCCTTTTGCTTTGCAATTCGGATGGACTCGAGGATTCTGTCACGGTTTCCGGCAAAGTCCAACGGCACACTTGGCAGCGTGGCTGCCGCAACGGTGACGAAAAGCATCGTGCCGGAGATTATATTGCAAACAACTCGATTCTCAGTTCAGAAAAGGCCAAAGCACCAAGTAACAACTGGTCGGGGGATATACATCAGCGCGGAGAGGTGACGGATTACAATGTAGATCGTTGTTTGCTGCCGGATGACTAATCGCGGCTCCCTTCAAGTTAGGTGCTAAGCTACTAAAGCTACGGCTGTAAAGACGCCGAGAATCATCACGGTCGGACGACCTCAACTAGCGGTATAATATCAATGTCTATGCCGTGCTCTCAGGGTCTCAAGGTAGTTTTGACGGTCAAGCAGCTTTTGTTCGACGAATGCGGATGCATTTGGAGTCCAATATGGAGCCAGAATTCGCTGGAACTGTATGCATTCGTTTCCTTCTAATTGTGTCGGCGCGAGTCGGGGTTGAAGATGATCGAGAAACAGGTTGTATGTCACACGGGGATGGTTCAGAGTCGCCCAAAACCAAGGCGTCGCTTTCTCGAGAGCATCTTTCATGACCTTGGTGCAAACTCCAGCTTTAAGCGTGGAGAGCGAGTCGTTGTCCTCACGGCTGAATACATTCAGAAACTCTGTGCACATCTCTTCGTAGTGTTGCTTCTTTTCCTCTCCAAGCTCGTCGACCTCATAGCCACTCAGCCAAAAAGGTGGAGAGAGTGCCTCAACCGGTAAAACGGCTATCCATTCAAGGTCAGGGATGCAAGTAATGTCGTATTGTTGATTAACAAATATGTTACTTGCATGGCAATCTGTCCAAATGTGACAGAAAGGGCCCTCTCGAAGATGATCCATGGTAAAGTGAGAGTGTAAAGCTCGCATTATTGTGAGGACCGCCATCTGGCCCTCGGCATCGTATTCATCACGAACAGCATTAGGTTGATATCTTAGCTTCATATCATAACAGTGTAGAAGATCGCGAATATATGAATCGGTAGTGATGTAAGTCCGATCACGCGGGATGCCTAGAGGTATGCCGCTGCTCTCCAGCAAGCAAAGCGGTATTGTTAATGGACGGTTGTTCAGGCTCATTTCACCAGAGTCCTGGATCGTAAATGACCCAATTTTTGGAAGAGGGTGACGTGCTAAATCAAGCATGATTCTTGACAGACTTTGATAGAAGTTCTTTCTATGTGCATCTGTCTTTGGCGGCCATATTTTAAAAAGCATGGTGCCCTGCTTCGCTTCGATGAAATCCACGAGGAGATGGCCCGACCTCAATGAAAATCCAGGATGGCGACGAACGTAGGGAGCGCTATATGTCCGTCGCCAGAGCCACGCCCAACCGCGCTTGAAGCTTTCGATGATTCGTCTGAACCAGGGGAGATGTGCAATGGGCGTAAACTAGACCCAGGTCAGTTTTATATTTCCACGTGATATTACGAGACAGACACTTGAGCCATTCGGAAGTCCGAATCCCCAGAGGTGTGGGATCGGAACCCGAGGGCAGTTTTCTGAAATCCAAGCAAATGTTGCGGCTTCGCACCGGATCTTCTCGTCCAAGCCATCTGGCCCGCCCAGCATATAAGGAAGTGGACACCTCAACAGAAGCCGCTGCTTTCGCCAGTTGGTGACATTGATCGGGATACAGACATTGAAACTGCCGTATAACCACTCCGATCTATCTGAGACTTCACACTGCTGGAACAGGCTTAAAGATAGGTGGTGGGAAACAATGCCGCAGATGTTGGGTATTTGAGATTGGAGGTCATCAAAAAAGGCTTGTCTCCATGGTTCTTGTTGTAATTTGACGAGCATATTATCATCTTCATCCTCAATCTCTTTCCAATCTCGTGCTGTTTCGTCTGAAGAAGCAGTTGGAGGAGAGTCGGGATCAGGCGCCGTACACAGCAAAGCCATTCCCAGGCAGCCTGAGGAGCACCTATGTGTCAAGGCCAGATTGGGGTGCGCTGTGTGCAAGGTGAGCGCTGGAGCAAGGTACAGCTGGAATGGTGCAACATTACGAGTCCTCGATGAGATGGGAGGGCAGCGGTATGCCCCAAGAATCGCTGCCAAAGACACACACAACCATGTTTCGGGAATTTAATTCGGAGTGTTACGATAGATCATTAGGTACAATTGAAGTAAACAGCGTGAACGACTCCCGATCCGCATGCAGGGAACTTGAAGGAGTCGAAACAAAACCTCCTTGAGATTCCTTGGCAGATTTGTCAAGTTCAAGTTCCTGGAGTCAACTTACACCACGGCACACTTCGACACTGCTATCAGGCTCTGCGAGAAACGAGCGCGGGTAGAAAGCATCAATGTGAACGTCGACAGAATACTCAGATGCGCCCCAAGTATTTTGGCTAGATATCTCTTCTACGCGTCACTGCTGCAAGACACACACTCTTAAGTTGACTTCACAATTCATTCATGAGGTGGTAGGCATTTTTGGGTTCGGCCAGTCTCTCTAGCAAAGTATCCCGCTACAGGTTCAACCAGATATCCTCTTCACTAGCAGTTTCGTCTGCTTGTCGATCGGCATCCTCGTGTGTCTGTGACCGTGCCGTCAACTCTGAACCCGACGCTGAATGTGCATGATCGCACCCACCGACAATCCCTTCATCGCCCGCCAATGCATTTCGTCGTTGATCATTTGCCTCGTCGCCTTTCTCCGCTGTTGTCTTGTCGCGTACCTCGAGGGCATCAGTGCCAATGTTATCGATTTTGCTTCCATTTGGACCATCCATTCCGACTTTTTCCTCAGCTGCACTGTCAGTGTTTTTTCCGTCTTCACGCTGCTGCTGCCCCAGATCCTGAGGAGAGGAAGCTTGAAACTGATCAGATCGTCTCCTCCGTCGAACAACCTCAGCACACTCCTCCGCTAGCGTCTTCACCCGGCTCTTGCGTGTCTCGATCACCCCAGCCCAATACTGTCGCCAAGCTCTCTGGATGGTAACAGCCGCCCTGGGTCCCTTGGTAGGCTGCAACAGTCTCGAGCAAAGAAAGGCCAGTGCCGCAAGCACGAAATCCCGGTCGAAAACAGAATAGGTGGTGGTGATGTTGGTGTCACTCCGCGACCCCGCCGCCCGCCCTGAGAAAAGGCTCGCAAACTGCTCACTGCATCCCAGCGCTCGCAGTCGCGCAGACAGAGGTCGAGATCGCTTGGTGGTAGTGCTGTCTGTCCCTTGCGTACCAAGACGATCAGAACGACTCCCACTGGTGCCATCGGTGGAGATGTATGCTTCATACTCATCCACAATCGCCTCAAAGACTCTTGTATCGGCGAAACTGGACGTAAGGTTTGTGACAGCCAGTCCATTTTTGGCGGCAATGGCTTGCGCCCAGGACTTTAATAGCATCTGATACCGAGCAGGACCAGACGCATAGTCGTCTCCAAATTCGTCGTCGTGCAAGATATCGAAGTAGTCGATCGGCGAGTGGTGCTGGCGGTTGTTGTCTATTGTCCGGCGCAACCTCTTGATCTCCCTCACCACATCGGCCCACTCCACAAGGCCACCAAGACCCCATTTGCTCGTCAAGCCCCAAAGCAACCTGACCGTCTTCTCTCGGTACCCGTCCACAATATCTTCGGGACAAATGTCCTGCACCACCGCCGTCATTCCCTTGACACCCTGGATGGCACTCAACGCGATCTGGACATTGTACAGTTTTGTCGCTCGACCAAGACATGGAAACTTGAGATGCTGCGACAACGGCCAGTCCGGCTGTCCCTCTTCCAAAGACAGCAGTTCTCCGGTTGGTAGGAGTACAGTTGTTGTGCTGGTAGACTCGTGGTCACGCAACTGTTCAAGAGATCGGGTAGCAGAAGGGTAGAGCAGCAGCTCGACCAGTCTCGTTAATCGGACTCCATCCCGTAGATCCACTGCCAGATTGTCAATCTTATACGTATACTCTTCAAGCGGGTATTGCGAATGTGTAACGACATAGCCAACATGGCTCAATGCACGGATGGGATCCCCGGCACTGGGATTGAGCAACTGAAACAACGCTTTGACCACGTCGACAGAGGTTTTATGCGTGGAAGACGCCTGGAATAAACAGCCACTGGCTAGAGGAGTTGAGGGTTCCTTGGCCATGTCCAGCACTTTGATGAGCATAAGGCTTCGGAGGAGTGTCCGTTGATAGGACCAAGCTCCGTGATCTGTACCAGGCTGTTCCGAATGACTACCGTCTTCGTTTCTCACCAAAAACGTCTCGATGAATCGCTGTAATGCTTCTCGGGGCGCAGTACTGTTTCCACTGCTACGTCTTCCTGGTGAAGGGATGCCACATTGGCGCCCAACCACCACCTCCAAAGCCGGCTGTAAGCAAGAAAGGCTGTAAGTCTCAAGCCACAGATCTGTGAAGGCTCTTCTTCTTCCGAGATCATTGTTCAACCGCCCAGCAGATCTCAAGACCTCCGATGGAATACTCAATGCCCCGAACAACAATGCCGCTTGCAGTCTCTTGTAGAGCATGGCACTGTCGGCGTTGCCATACTTCTCGAGGAGACGGATTCTCAACATTCCGGCTTCAGTAGATGATTGTTTCGGGGAAGATGCCTCAAAGAAGTTGTTAACCAGTTGAGTGATGGAGATTTCCTGATGGCTCAGCCAGTTCTCCTCATACATGGAGGGGATGGCAATGTCTTCCGTCAGTAACGGATAGGCATCGGGAAGCGCCTCAACTTTGACATTGGGAACGATGAATCTAGTAGGCACTGCCGGTTTCGTGGATGCAATTTGGTCTGGGCGCGGTTGGATCGTATTCGTCCTCGAGGACTCAACCAGTGCCGGGGGCACGTGAGACTGTTTGAGGCGAGAGCCTGAGTTCCACATAGGCTTTGCATTCGGACGCCGAGAAGGGTTCCTCTCCTTGTTCCGCTCGGAAGAGCTAGCGGTTGGCTCATATAATCTCGTTGTTTTGGACTGAGCTTTACTGGACTGTCGTTGTACAGGATGGTCCTTCCGATTGCTGTTGGCAGGTTGTGTCCCTAGAACCACGTCTGTTTCCACGGTTTTCATCTCGCAGATCGAGGGTCCTTGTATGGATTGTCTCCTGGGCAATGAAGCCTTTCGGGTGGGCTTTTCATCTCCCATGGCATTGTGTCCTGGCGGAACATTCTCCTTGCCGCCACCTTGCCCGATTCGATCCTCAAGCACAACGTTCGAGCAGACATTATCTTTCCCCAAAACATGTAACGGGGCTCGTTTGGGAGACGTCGTGATCATTGACCTCCGAAAACTTCTCTTTTGCGCCATCTGAGCTGCGATGCCTGTTATCTCTACTTCCCCGGCGTCTGAGCCCAGTCTGGCGTCCAAGTTCTTGATAGGACTAAAAATCCCCATGTACATGCTCGGCATGGTGGTGTCGTCGTTAGGGATGAAGATCGTGCCGCGTCGTGCGGGCTTCAGGACGGTCGTCGAATTGATGGTCAGCCTGGAGTCCTCAGGAAGCGTATCCAATGTTCTTGGAGCCATGGCTGTCGGCCTTCGCGGGTCTTTGTTCAGCCGGCGCGCGAGTTCTGGGTGCGGTGGTGCTTGGTGATTCCGACTGCTTTGCTGTGATGCCGCTGGTGATGGTCCTGGTAGCCTGACCGCCCTCTTCGCAGGCTGTGCCAGAGCGGATTCCCTCTTCTCCATCATGTTTATCTTGCCATCTTCTCTGTTCGCGTCCTCATGGATTGCAAACCCAGGGCCGTTGTCCTTATTCCTCCCCGCAGCCTGTCGTCTTCGCGGCTTGTTATTTCTCAAAGTGCCGGCGCCGAACGCTGAAGTAAACTCGAGCTTGGCGGTCGTATCATCGTCCCCCGCGCTCACCATACCCAGTAGAGAGTCTCGACGGCCGTTGCCCTGCAGTCCGAGTCGTCGGCTTGATGACGGCGGCAGGACCGGTACCGGACAAGGTGTCGCCGAGGGCTCATGAAGCCGCAACATCGTCTTGAGGTGAGACAAACAGCAGACCGCAATCCGAGCCGTTGAGTTTTGCAATTGGACTTTCACTATTAACAGAGCAAAAGTCGCAAGAATCCTCTCGGTTTATGCCGTCATAGAATGTGCTGTCAGGTTACACATTTGCGGCGGCCTACTAGTTAGTACGCGTCTGGCCGTGATTCGATGACCGCGATTCTTATAGTTGACGAGGCGGTTGCGAGGGGCAACGAGCCAGCAAGACTCACTGCAGTTGTACAGCATCAGATACAACCTCGATAAACACATCCATACAACGGAGCCCTAAGCAAAGAGGATGTAATCGAGCCCAACGCCATCGCTATGTATGCTATCTATACTCTACAATGCCATCTGCTTGCTCATGCATGAAAGTGATCAAAACAGCAGAAACTAGTGTCCCAGGCCCCAATATCATAGTACACGCCAGATCAGCCCAACCAGCCTAGTCAAACAATCAACCGAGCGCCCCTGTTTATTTTTTATCTTGTCACAACTCATCCCGGGTCGGGAAGTGAAAATCCCACGACCGATCCGGCACAGGGATCCCCAGCCAGTAGTTCCACAACCGATTCAGCTCCATAACAAAGATGGCGAAAAACTTGAACGGCATCTCAACCCAGCTGCGCAGGACCATCTTGTAAGCCCGCCACACCAGATCTAGTTCAGACCAAAAGACTTCCGAGATGGTCTGTTCGACCAGTGGCGGTTCGGGCTCATCCTCGAAATCTTGGAAATCGTCATCATTGGCGCTCGACGGCTGAGGCGATGCCGCAGGGCTGCTCGACTCTTTGGCCACAGTCTCAGATGATACTCCAAGCGGCCCCTTCACGTCCAGCACACTGTAGTCGCCCGTGTTGACAGCAGCGCGGAATTTCTGAATAGCATCCAAACTGTGACTGACGCGAGCGAGGGTGTTGACCAGCGCAACAAGCTCGGTTCTTCGTAAGGGCGGATTCTCTCCATTTTTGGTCTCGTCAAATTCAAACAGAATCTTCAGAGCCGCGCCGTAGCCGGCAGTTTGGACTTTGCCCCAGAGGCGACACTTGTCACATCCCACACAATCCATGAGTCTGGAGACATTTCTGAAACGATTACGGAAATCTTCCTTCAGGTCAAGGACCGCCGGATCCTGGAACATGACCGATTCGTCAAAGGTATGCGGTCCCGAGGCAGCTTTATCGGCCAACGCCAAAACCTTCTGTTTCGTCTCAAAGTCCTGCTGTGGATCACCGGAGCAGAAGGTGTATGACTCTAAATGCTTCCTCGCCTTGGCCACCGCTCTGGTCAGGAGTGCGTAGTTGAAGTAGATGTTCGAGATACGCTCTGGATAGGTATGCAGACGCTCCTTGTAGCAGTCCACGTTGTGAAACCATTCTCCCGTAGTTTGATTGAAGAACTCCCAGCACAAATGGGTGGAAATCGAGGCGTGCATCCCACTCACGATCCGGTAAAAGGCGCGTTGCTCCAGACACTGGTCATCTAGCGGATACAGATCGTCTTTCTGGTCCACATGCTGTCGGCCATATTCTTGGAACACGTTTTTCAAGTTCTGTGCTGCTTGGAATTGTTTGGATGGTAAGGTTGCCTCTCGAGGCGACTTTGCCGTGAAACAGTTCTCTTTGTATATCGCATCCCAGACTTGCCGGGCTCCCATGCCCGAGTATCCTGTATAACGTTCTGTGTTATTGACCAGACTCACGTAATCTCCCTTGCCCGCGGCACCTTCGTCGTCCGGGACACAATAATCTCTCTCGTCACATTCATCGTCTTCTTCAAGCACGCAGGTCTCGTCGACGTTCTCACCCAATTGATATTGGAGAGGCCGGTCTTTCGGTCTTTCTCGTTGTTGTGCTCTTCCAGGGTGTTTTGCACGGGCTCCTTCCAGTTTACTCAACTCTTCTGCTCGCCATATAGGTGGAATGGCGCTTTCATCTTCTATCGTGTCCACGGCACAGGCACGGTTGCCGCACATGGAGTTCTCATCGTTCCAGAAAGGACAGGCTTTGTTGTACAAGTTTAAACGGTAATAGGCGAAGAAATCGGTGTTTTGGGTCAAGTCGTCGAGGGAGGGTTCTAATTCGGCGTTCAGCCGTTCGAGGTCTGAATAGGATGTGCAGGCATCGGAAACGATCGAGTTGGGATCGATGGCACACTGGGACTCGGCCCTTACGCATTGCGGCCGCAAGAAGAGATAGAAGGTGAGGAAGAACTGCGATGCGGTATGAGGACGCATGTTGCCGTGTAGCCGTCGATAGGTAAAGACGGCACTTGCAACAAGTTGTATCAAGCGAATATAGTACAAACAAGAATCAAGTTAAAGGTGACAAGAATTGCAATCCGCAATCAAATGAGTGAGTGAGATGGTCAAGAACAAACTGGCCACATTCTTCCAAGGGATTCGAGCGGCCAATTAGGAAGTCAATCTGACATTTGTAGTGCTATGAAATCTGGGGAGTTGAACGATGCCGTTCGAGATCACCGAACGATCAACAATATTTCCCTGTGGACAGGTGGCAGAAAAAAGGGGACAATCTTCGCTCGTTGCACTGTAGTCGTACTCCCTTGCAGCATCAGGCCATCAGCATTCAAAGGTTACGTTGTCACGAAATCATCATACTCTTCTGCCTTCACGCTCTGTTCTCGCATAGATCTCTCTCACGCCACTCAATTGCCTCGCCGAATCTCCCCTTCCTGTCGGATGTCACTGTGGCGGTGCCATATGCAGCCCCTGGACCGTTCTCCGCTGCACTTCACTTACGTTGTACCGCACCAAGTTCAACTGAATATTGAATACCCATAGGTAGGTAGATATACTCGGCGCTGACTCTTGACCTCTTCGAAGCCCATTCCCAGATCCAGGCCTAACATCTGCCGGACTACGTGTTATCTGCAGCCGTGCTGAAGCCCTTCGAACTGTAACTGCGCAACTCTTAGTTCGCGTTGGCAAGCCTTGAGGGTATACGACGTATAGTCCTAAGGCTGGATACATGTGGGAGAACGGCTCAGTCCCGTGGGTTCCTATTTCGAACCTTCGCAAGAGCCTACATTCTATTTCCCATTCACTCTTCCCTTGTAAGACTATTGTTGCCATCTGTACTGCCGATGCCACTGTCATGTAGACTTGCTGCCTCGAGAAGCGTGAAAGGAGATGGGCGAATTCGTGACTCGAAAACGCACTGGGATCTGGGGCAGCGAATCAGCATAGTATTGGCGATAGCTACAAGTCCATTTGGCACAGGGTGCACATGCGTGCAACATGTCTTGAATTCAAGTAGAGGAAAGAATCCAGGCAGTGGGAGTAGTAATCTAGAAGCTCAGCGACGAATGCTTAGGTAACCTTTGGTGAGTTGAGCAAAGTGCTCACAGAGGTCCAGCGTGCAGTTTTTTTGAGGTGGTCTTAGTCAGCTTTTAAGAAGCACGTGATTAATGAGATTTCGGAAGGCTAAGCCAAATCGGACACTAGTAGTAGTAGCCGCAACTTTTTTGGACTGCCAGTGCCAGGCAGATTCGAGTTCGACGCTCGCTGAGTTCAAGTTGTGTTTCCTTTCCATCGGCCACTGCACATCTTGACCCGGTGTAAAGGTTGACCAAAAACACCACCCGTCAGTCACAATGCCTCAGAACGAATATATCGAGCGCTGGACAAAACAGCACGGCAAACGGCTCGACCATGATGAACGAGTGCGGAAGCGGGAGGCCAGAGAAGGCCACGCCCAGTCCGAAAAGGCACAGAACCTTCGTGGGCTGAGAGCCAAACTCCATCAGAAGAAGCGTCATGCCGAGAAGATTCAAATGAAAAAGGCCATCAAGGCCCAAGAAGAACGAGATGTCAAGTCCGCTGCGCCCAACGAACCCTCTTCCACCCCTCTTCCCAATTACCTGCTTGATCGGTCGCAGGCGAACAATGCAAAGGCTCTTTCGAGCGCCATTAAAAACAAGAGAGCTGAGAAGGCCGCCAAGTTCTCTGTGCCACTACCCAAGGTGAAAGGCATCAGCGAGGAGGAGATGTTCAAGGTGGTCAAGACTGGCAAGAAGACGGCAAAGAAGAGCTGGAAGAGAATGATCACCCAACCGACCTTTGTTGGCCCAGACTTTACCCGACGGCCTGTGAAATATGAGCGCTTCATCCGGCCCATGGGTTTGCGATACAAGAAAGCCAATGTCACGCATCCGGAATTGGGAGTTACTGTGCAGTTGCCGATCATCAGTGTCAAGAAGAATCCACAGAACCCGCTCTACACGCAGTTAGGAGTTTTGACGAAAGGCACAGTGATTGAAGTCAACGTTTCGGAACTTGGCCTTGTCACCACGGGTGGAAAAGTCGTCTGGGGTAAATATGCGCAGGTGACCAATGATCCCAGTCGGGACGGTTGTCTGAATGCGGTGCTGCTGGTGTAAAATCATTTGCTTTCAGCATTGCATGCTCGAGTACAGCGATACAGGGATTTCCCGGGAAACAAGCCAGATATTTTACGCCAACCCCATGCTCCCAATGCCAGCAATTTGGTAGAAGTCACGACATCTCAGAGGAATGCTTGCAGGTCAGTCTTGTGCAAGCCGGCCTCCAAAACCCAAAGCACGAAACTAAAGGAGCCAATGCTCCATAACGCAGTCACAACTGTTCAGCGAAGATGCTATGCTCGGAATATCCCATGGCCTTGACGGCAATCTTTGCACTTTGAAGAACTCTTTCCTTCAGGCTAAGGGTCTGGCCAGGCTTCTCGACTAAAAATTCAAACACATCAGCATCAGCATTTGCTATTTCTAAAATGCCACAGGAAAACAGTGCAGCCCACACGTGGCCCGTGACTTTGGAATTCAGAAAGTTTAAACGCTGCAGTACGACTCGACTTACAGACGTTACTGATCTTGGCCATTACTCCATACGTCGCCTTGAAATCGAATGGCTTCAAAGCCTTCCAGATCTGTAGGACCGTGTCCGGCGGCAGAGGGATCATGTTGGGAATACTCCAGAGGAATTGATACGAAATCGTATCCCTTCTCTTCCCGGGGTTCGGATTCTTCGCTGAGGCCACCGCAAAAATGGTGTCTGCCACAAATAGCGTTGGCAATGAAGTGTTGGGCGGAGCGGAATGCAGCACCATACTGCCCGGGAAGTGGCCGCCGCAAATAACGGCCGTGAGGCCCGGAAGGAGTTCGGTGGTGGGCTGGGTCAACAGTTTCAATGTCGAGGTTTTGGTTCCGTCTTTACGATTCGCCCAGACAGAGTCGACCTCGGTCATGTAAATTGGACAATGGAACGTTGCAGACCAATCTGCCCATGTTCTAAAGAAGTCAAAAAGTCGGTATTTGATCGGCAAGGCAAGACAAGACATGGTTTACGACATTCTTCTTTGCTTTTGAGGGTCGGCGTAAAGGAAAAGTATGGTTTTGTTGTTTCTACGCCGTCGTCTTCTTGCGAACAGAACAGACCACTTACGTGTAGAAATGTGGATGAGATATGATGATACACTTCAACCCGCCTAGTACGGTGATCTTGATCGTGAGACATCAGACGTGAAATGCGTTAGCCCTAACATGAAAGGGATGATTCCCCCTGAACCGAACGTGGTAGGTATAGGTAAGGATGTACCAGAGATACCAGGTATCATGGGTATACAGTACATACCTTATCCACCGTCTCCTGGTCCAAAAAAGCAACCAGATCCCACAGAACATTGCCGTGTGGTGTCTGAATCAGACATGCTCGTTGTCCAATGCCGAACTAACAAATGACAAACCCAGAATGAGTGTGTTTCTGTCACGGGCAGCCTCATCGATGCTGTATCTCACCTTCGGTTCCGTCCACACCTCAAGCACATTCTCATTCTGCCCACTAGCACACGGCTCAAAGACATTTCTGTACTTGTTGTCCGACGCCCTCAGATTCGCGAGCGTGGTAAATGACTGGCCTGTTTCTGGGATGAATTGTCGTGGGTCCTGGTCACCAGCGCATTGTCAATTCGGTCAGTATATCACCAAGGTATATACCTTGAATAATAACACTCGAGGACTCGGACTGCTATGGCACCCTAAGGTAAGGCACTGTACCTACCTCGCAAATTCGACATTCGGACAAAGTGGCTGCGTTCTTTTCTTCCACGTCATATTGGGCTCCGCAGGCCGTGCAGATGAGGAGATTGTTGGATGTGCTGAGAGCAGGCTTTGGAGAGGTGACGGCTGGAGAGGTGGACATGGTTGCTGGAATAGATAGCGCGTCTGCCTTAGGTACAGGTCAAGTCAAGTACCTAGATAGGTAAGTATGATCGTATTCAGATATTGAGGTACTGTATCAATATTCAATGCTGCTGAGCATAAGCCAGATTGTAGGACTCGGGGTGGAGGAGTAAATGGCGGGGCCGGAGAGGAAACTGGGGTATAAATAATACAAATCATAAATATCGACGACACGAGGGTGATGGACTGCACTGGACATAGGAGACAAACAAGGCACTGTAGATACGATCCAAGGGTTCAGATAGAATCTTACTCTATACAAAACCTTAGGTAGGTATATTGAAGATTTTCGATTTACAATTACAGGCGATCTGTTTCGGGGTGTTTGGGACGACGACATGGACCAGTTTTTGTCCGGCTATGTCATTGTCTATGGTTGGAACGCCATGTTCTCTCCTCGCCGTTTTTCCAGCGACCACATGTAAAGGTGGAATCTCCATGCTTCCGCTCTCGATAAACACGGCCAAAGTCAAACTCGTAGAGACTCACAGCTCACTCTCACATGTACAAGCTCGCAGTAAACACAACATCGCGCCGGATCATTTCTCGAGCCTTCTCCATCTTCTGATACAACCCGGGATCACCAATCAACCTAGCTGCACTCATTACCTCTCGGCACGTTTCATCCAGCCTGGTGACGACACGCACAATGGTCCCCTCCATGACATCGGTCAGATCGGTGATACGGTTGAAGGACATGCCTCGCGCCCACTCGTACACTACCTCGACCAGACCAAACCGGGGCCGGGATACAAAATCGTTGGCATCGTCCGAAGACAAGATGACTTGATGCAGAGTTTGGTAGTGGTTGACACGTTCGGAAATCTCGATGATGGCTTCCTTGCCACGTTTCAGGTTCTCGCTGAGTTGCGGCTCGTTGTCAGTCTTTTCCTGAAACACAAACGAAGACAAAAGAGCGACGATCTCCTCCGGTTCGAATCTGACAGCAGCAAAGTATCAGTATCACAACAACAGACCCACCCGCCAGTAGTCAATCAGGTATGGATATCGACACTTACGAAGCGAGAACGTTCTCGAGAATTAGTTCCGTCAGCACCAGTTCATCAGCCGAATGGATTTCACAAGCCACCTTGCCCTTGAGTTGGACCCGGCTTTGATCGTCGATGAAACCCAAATCTTTCAGAACTTCGGTTCTCTGCTGGTAGTCGGGAAGCAGGGCCAGATTCTGGTCCGACATCAACATCTTCAACGACTCGATATTTTCCTTGATCAGCCATTCGTCGTGCTGCATGCCGTAGTGTTTGACAAAGTTGGGACACTCGAGACACTTTGCGCTTTGCACAATCTGCGCCATTTTGGTTCGGTCCATCAGCAACTCGCGAACCTGCAACTCATGAACTTTGCTCCATTCCTGCTCGTCCCAGGCCGTCGAAGTCCAGGACGAGTAAAGATTGACGAAATCCTTTTCTGCAAACTGCCGCTGAACTGCGTGTGAGTTTAGTAACGAACGCAAATCGACCTGTTGTTTTTGGAAAAATAGTAAGTATTACCTTTCGCGACTTTGATGTACCAGTGAGGGCCTCTGACCTTGACAATTGTTTGGGTAACGCATTCCACATCGTCCAACGACACCTGGGTAGGTCCAATTTTCACTCGTTCCGGATCATTCGGCAAAGGGGTGAACATCGCGCGCATACAGGGCAGATACGGTAGCAGGTCTCGGGTCGACCGCTTTGCATCGACGTCGGATATTTCCAGAACGTTGAAATGAGGGTACGGGCCTCCTCGGAGTCCATCCTCGAGCAAGACGCCTACCTTGCGGATCCCATCCTGCAAAAACAGTGAGCAACGTTAAAATGATACATATTTCAAGACTGCAATTGTTAGCTCACCTTCTTGAACACGATCAGTCGCCGTGCTGTCCATAGGCGTCGGCCAACCGGGGTGGAGAGTAATTTCAGGTGGAGTTCCTTGGTCAGTTGTTCAAACCTCATGGCTGCCTCGTGACAGGCCTCCAGGTCGATATCACAAATGTCACACGGCTCTCGTTTGATCTTGTCCAGATTGGCCTGAGACAAAGCCACTTCCTTCTCATGCTGCGGCAATAACGCCTGGGTGGCGTTTTCCGAAAAGCTGCGTTTGATCATTTCCTCGATCTTCAATGCTTCGACCCGCATGAGATTGAGGATCATGTTGTAGTGTAATCGGAACTGACTGCGAAGCTTCGTGGCAGGCCCTGTAATCATCTGTATCAGTTCCGCCGCAGGGGGTGCCTCCGTGCGGCCCGGTGTGACGAGGATGACGGTCCCAACTGTGTCCAGACCACGACGGCCTGCACGACCCGCCATCTGGGTATATTCTCCAGGCAGGAGGTTTCGAAAATCCCGGCCGTCATGTTTGCGATATCCAGAAAAGACCACCGTCCGCGTGGGCAGGTTCAGTCCCATGGCAAAGGTCTCTGTCGCGAACAGTACCTTGACCAGGGTTTTGGCGAATAGTATCTCCACGATTTCCTTGACAATTGGCAACAGACCGCCGTGGTGGACCGCGACACCTCGACCTAACATCTCTCGCAACCGTCGGATCTGGGGAAGCACACGATCTTCGGGTTTCAGCCTTGCCAGGGACTTTTCAATGGTCATGTGGATTGCGCTTTTCTCGGTAGCAGTGCAGAAGTCTTGGTTAGACAGGGATTCTGCATTCTCTTCACATCGTTTCTTGGAGAAGACGAATATACAAGCAGGAAGGAGGTTCTCCTTGCGCAGGTGTTGCACGAGATGCACCCACAGGTTCCGATCCTGCGCTGCTGTGGTTCTGCCTCCTCCACGACCAGTCCGTGCAATATTGCCCTGACCTCGGTTGGGAACTTGGCCGCCACGACCACGCTGCTGTGGGCCCCCTCGTTGGTTTGCTCCGCCGCGTTGATTCTGTCCGCCACGAGCTTGTTGACCACGACCTCCCCGCTGCGAAGCTCCACCACGACCAGACGCTTGCGCTTCGACCGCTTTCTGCTCCTTGACTTTGTCGAGACCCGACAATACATCGTTGGCAGCTTTCCACCCCGACTGAAGAAACCGCTTTTCAGAGTCAACGATCTTGAACATCTCCTTCCCTGCCCAGAGATAATGCTCCAAGGGAACAGGTCTCTTCGGGGTGGAGATGACGTAGATGTTCTTCTTCTTGGTGCGACCAACCCAGGATGCAAACTCATATGTGTTGGGTACTGTCGCGGACAGAAGAATCAGAGTGACGTGTTCTGGCAGCATGATTATGACCTCTTCCCACACAACACCACGCTCAAGGTCATTGACATAATGCACCTCGTCAAAGATGACAAACTCGACATCCCGGATCAAATCAGCCCCGCGATAAAGCATGCTTCGCAAAATCTCAGTCGTCATGATCAGGCAACTAGCCTCGGGATTGATTTGCACATCGCCTGTCAAGACTCCTACATCGTCAAACACCTGCTTGAAATCACGGAACTTCTGGTTGGAGAGGGCCTTGATAGGCGAGGTGTAAATCGCCTTTGTCATATGCTTTGCGGCTAGAGCAATGGCGTATTCAGCCACCACCGTCTTTCCAGCCGATGTATGCGCTGCCACGAAAACCGAATCGCCGTTCTCGAGATGGTATACCGCCTCTTTCTGGAAGGTATCCAATTCGAAGGGCCATGTTCGAGCCATTTCGGGCACCAATTCATGAAAGTTAGGGATGTCCTTGTTCACGTCTACCACATGAGCCCATTCCCTAGAGGGCTTCTTGAGAGACCCAGACGTCAATTCACCTCGCGGCGCCAAAGACGGAAATTCAACCGGAAGCAGGTCATCCAACTCTGCATCCTGGTCTTCATCATCGCTGGTCGAAGTGTCGCCGTTTAGCGGAGGTGTTGTCACCCCATTCGGCTCGTCTCGCTCGAGGTTCGCAGTGACTTCATGCTCGTCTTCTTGTAACGTCTTCTCAACATCTGCGGCTTCATCATGGGTTGAGGACTTCTTATCTGTAAATTTCATGCCGCGCGTGAAGCCCGGGGGGGTCTCAAGAAGGCCACCTTCGGTACTGAAGTTGATGATTCGATCAAGGGCACTAGATTTCTTCTTTGCTGCTTGATTTGCTTCCTCAAGGAGCGTTCGATCCTCGTAGGCCTGGATGGCATCCACTCCGTCCAACCCACCCGGGGCAAAGGGGAGATAGCCGGCAGCGCCGCGCACAAAGTCGGCTCTGTTGGCTGGTCTCCGCAGCAGTGAGGTCGAATTCTTTGCTGTTGCACTAGATGCAGGAACCGTCACTTGTTTGTAGCCGGTCACTTTGCCTTCTAGACCTTCACGGGTGAAGCGCGTAATGGTCCTGGTCTGTGTAGGAGCCACTTGACATATGTCTGTATAGCCTGGCGACTGGTAGTCCCATCTCTGTTGCAATCTGTTCAGCCATTCTGGACTGAATGTTGCCGGGGGCGACAAGAACTCTCGTTCTAGGTCTTCCTTGAGCTGCTCCGGCGAGCGACTGGAGTTCACTGCTTTGGCCATGGTGCAGTGACTCAGCCTCAAAAGAGCCGGGCGATCAGTTGTATCCGACTGATGACTCTCCCTATGCCAGTTCCTGATCAAGAGGCGCCTTCTTACAGCCGGATTACAAGGAATACCTGTGTGTAAAGTGAGCGTCGTTGATATTGAATGGAAACTGAACGTCTATGATGCCAAGAGCGACGTCAGTTGCGTATCCGCCAGGAATTCACCACAATCTCATCGGTAATTTACCGTATTTATTACACCAACACTTCACTCTACTCCTTTTCCGTGCAGCAAGATAAGGTAGTCTCAACTGCCAGTGGACATTATATATTCACTGATCCTGCGGCAGCAAGGACAAGAAGCACCTATCGTCGAACTGTTAAGTCACAATGGTGAAAGGGAGTAGAGGCAGGGTTCCGCCACGCTCCTCAGCAGTCTACTGGTAGCTGCGAACATGACCAGCGGCATCGAGGTCAAATTGAATTGATCAGCTGTTTGATCAAGCGCCTCTTCATCTTGCATTCCACGGTGGTTTGGTGGGTTGACGCTTTCACATCATGCAGTCTCAAGGTCCCACGAAGGAGTCCTTCGTCTTGCCCAAGTTGAAATACAAGTTCAAAACGGCTACTGAAACAGACCGCTTTGCCCTTTACGACGTCAAGTTCTTTCCCTACTCAAGCCCCCAGGAGGAAGAGCCAGTCTTCGCCGTGGTGGGCCAGCGGAAAGTGCTTATCGGTCGTCTCTCGACCCAAAGCAATGTCGTGGTGGAAATGATTCACGAGCTGGTGGACCAACAGGAGACCGACAATGCAGATTCGCCGGGCTTAAATTCTTGTTCATGGTGCTACGTTGACCCCGAGGTGCCTCTACTGGCAGTTGCGGGCGGTTCAGGGCAACTGAAAATCATCAACGCTATCGACGGTCAGTTATTCAAAACATTTATTGGACATGGACATGGGACCATCAACGATATCGCCACGCATCCGCTCTATCCGTGGATTGTCGCCACAGCTTCGATGGATAAGAGCCTTCGAATCTGGGATTTGCGGCGTTACGCTAGCCCTCATGAATCTCCGACCATAATCATCTGTGGCCAGGCAACGGGACACTGTGAGGGGATTCTGACGGTGTCATGGCATCTCAGTGGGCGATATCTGGTCACTGGGGGCCATGACCAACGTGTTTGCATCTGGACGGTCCCGGATCTACACGACCGCTCGCCTTTCTGGCACCAAATCTCCCCAGAAGGAAGGAAGCGAAGTGCTGACGAAGTGCTGACCGTATATTATCCCCACTTTGTCAGTTCAGGTGTCCACTCTAACTTTGTGGATTGTGCACGGTTCCTCGGCGATCTGATCATATCCAAAGCCGCGGGCGAGGACAAGATAGTGCTCTGGAAAGTAACGGGGTTCGATTCTCGATCGCCGCCTCCTGACCCTGCCACAGCGCCCAAGGTGGAGGAGTTTCTGGACAATCGGAACGGGTTCATGCGCCGGGTTGTCCGGGATGGGAGGGGCGTAGAAAAGGTCGAGGTTGCAGAAGAATACGAAGGACACCCCTCGTACGAACGACTGCTCGAATTTGAAAGCCCCCACGTCGAGCAGTTTTATCTTCGGTTTGGCCTCTTATTGCCGTCGCCGGATCATCCCGACCAGCATCCAGTCCTTGCGTTTGCCAACGCGGCATCCGAGCTACGGTTTTGGGATTTGGAGCGACTCTCGTTGGGCCATGCGGCCGGACTTGATGATGCGAAAATCATGCAGACAGCAAAGAAGAAATTACAGAAGGGCATCGCCCGGCCGGTCAAACCACAAGAACGGCTCCAGCGCATGCGTAGCAACTCGAGCAGCATGCGAGATACCGACTCTCCTGTTTCTACAACATCGAATTATAGCTTTGGAGGCTGGCCTCGACAGACCTCGACGGAGGCGACCAGCGAGATATCCGACCTGGTATCCCCCGCCCCGCCTCAGCTCCCCCCTGTCCGCGATCGTGACAGATATCCAATCCATGATCCGCACGAACCACTCAAGCCCCATGCCAAAGTCTCCTTGAGCGAGATGCAATTTAAGAACATTGCAGTTTTCAATGCAAGAGCAGCGGACTGGAGTCCCTGTGGAAGATGGTGCATTGTGGCGGGTGAATCGGCAAGAGTGACATCCACTGGGGGGACCGAAGGGATTGGGGGATTTGCCGTGCTGCACCGATGAGGCCGGTCCTGGTCTGCTGGGTGTGCTGGGTGTGCTGGGTCATGAGGAACTATTCCAAGAACTGAGGGAGACGGAGTTGGAGCCAGCCACCAGCTCCTCAGCATAGCCTCGCGGACGAGGCTCATCGAATCAGGCTGAACGAGGCTGGAAAAACCGGTGCAGCTTCAGCCTCGCTGGCCGGAGGATTTGCTGCGTTTGATTCGGTACCTTGCAGCCGTCGACGGGCCGCTGCGGGGCATCGCAATAATAACAACCACAACTTGCGGCGGACGCAAACTCCCTGCACAACAACAGCGGACAAAAGAATTCCCCTGTTGACTCTGTACTTATTTGTAAATAACAAACACTATCATCTTCCAGTCCCTGCGGCGCTTCCATCCGGTTTTACGCCATATAGTCCTTCTAATCTGCCACGCGTGGGCACGCGACAATTGTCCTTTTTGCCTGTTGCGACATTCTCCCACAATAAGCGACTGTTACCCAGATCATGACACCCCCAGCGACGGCATCGCCATTGCGAAGAACCTCAATATGATCCGAGCCTCATCAGAAGGACCGGGCTCGTCAGCGCCAACTCCGAAGTTTCTACGGTACAGATCACTTCGGAAGAGCGCCAGTGCTGTGAAGAACCCCGAACCCGAGCCTGCCCCTCCATTGCCGCCTGTCCCACCGACTTCAAAGACTTCTATCACGCGCTTGCCGTCCCGATACCATCGCAAACCCAAGCCCGAGACCAGTTCTCCGAGTATACCGCAGAATGCGGGTGCGTGCGACGATGGCGCAAGTGCGCGACCCGAACCCGCACCAGAAGTCTCGCAATCTGACAAACAAGAGGAATCGCAGCAGAGCAGGGGCAGAAAGATGGTGACTGAACGCGCCGAAAGATCCGACACTGCACGCAATCTGGGTAGAGACCTCGCCGCGCAAGAAGATGCTCCTGGTGCAGACTCGACAGAAGCCCCATGTCTTAGGAGGTCGTACGAGGTCGCAAGGGAAGAAGCGCGACTGATACTGGAGGGAGAAGTAGACCGCCTGCGAGAGTTGCGGGAGCGGGAGGCGCGCCGTCGTCTTGAGGAGCGGCAGAGGCGGAAAGAGAAAGGGCGGGCTCGCGCTGATGATGGCGGCCAGCGCACCCTAGAGGACAGGGACAAGAGCAGTAGCGCGAACGAAAGGCATCCAGAGGTCGGGCGACGTCATGATCTATCGGCCGACAAGAACTCCCCTGAGACATCAGCTAACAGAAGAACCACCCCTGACGGCGCAGGGTCGAAAACGCGAACGCTGGTGATTGGAGGCCCACCTCTTCTGCGAAAGGCGAAACATCATAGCCATGGCTCATCAGGTGCCAGTGAGCCGCACCGATCGTCCAGCAGAGGGCATCATACGAGTAACAGCGTGGAAAGGATGAAAGAGCTCGGCGGAGCGATGCCGATACCGCTGCCTCCCTCGAATATCCCAAACTTTGATGCTCCAGTATCCGCCGTGAATGCAGGCGCACGGAGGGTTCAGGTCCAATTCAAGACGGAGAGCATAACAATTCCCGTGACGCCATCTACTACTTGCAAAGATATATTGAAGTCTGCGTCCTTGTCTATGTCAGAGTCCGTTGACCCGGGTACAGCTATACTTGCTGAGTCATTCTCTCAGCTGGGCCTGGAGAGACCGTTACGCAAGTATGAGCGAGTTCGGGACGTGATGAACTCGTGGGACGATGACAAACAACACCACCTCTACATCGCTGACCAAAGAGAATTTCATGCTGCCGGGGACCTCGGAGTCGGAGATGCTCCAAAACAACAACCGAGTGGTGTAAGCGTGCATATCTACCATTCGCATAAGCCAGGTCGGTGGGATAAGCGATGGGTCAAACTCAGAGGGGACGGGCAGGTCACGGTCTCCAAGAACGAACATGGCCTTGATGCCACCAACATCTGCCATTTGTCCGACTTTGATCTGTACACGCCTACCACCAGACAAATGAAGAAGCTGAAGCCTCCCAAAAAGTTATGCTTCGCCTTGAAAAGCCAGGAGAAATCATCCATGTTCCTCAGCGGGGCCAACTTCGTGCATTTCTTCTGTACCAAGGACAAAACGCTCGCTGACCAGTGGTATCAGGCCGTCCACTCGTGGCGGAGCTGGTATTTGGTCAACGTGCTTGGTGAAGGTTTGACGTCCCCGACAGCAGCAGCGGGAATTGGGGTTGGCAGGCAACAATCCACAAAAAGGCCAAGCACCAGTTACTCGAAGGACTCGTCGTCATCGCCTCGCCACAAGGGATCCTTTAAACCTTTGCTGAGCTTCGGATCTTCGCGGCCTAGCATGGACGGAGAGAGAGAAAGAATAAGGGCCGGTCGGAGCCATTCGCTTCGGCGATCGCAGGATACTAGTATCCCAAGACCGTTGATTGAGTCGGTGCCGGATAATCAACACACGGCCGCCAGTGGGAGCAGACCAGGCAGTCCGATATTTCACCCTCCAAAGACGTCACAATCATGTCCCCCGACCGCTTTTCCACGCAATCTCATACCCTCGTCAAGTCATACTGTCGCCGCCGCGGACGATGCGGATACAGGGCCATTCACAGGCACGGGGCTTCTCGCTCGAAGTGCCAGCCGTCGGTCACAGGGCGGAAGCCGGTCCGGTCACGGGGTGCACGGTGTCGACGGCAAGCCGTTGGTAGACTTACACCCGACCAGCGAGTTCACTGATGGTAGTCTACTTCGAAAGATGGAGGCTATTATTGCTCAGCAGGACGCGTTGCATCCAAAGATTGATCGAGAAAAGAGGAGGGAGGTCGATGTCTCAGTAGGCGAAGGCTATGACTGAAATGAAACACACAGCTGGCTGGTTGCAGGCATGTCACGGTTTGAGAATCAAGGAAATATAGTCTGCTTGACTGATCGCATTTGACGTTGAACCCGGTTGGCGGGCATGACTGGGATGAGGAACGTATGCGCCAACGACAGACATTGGCCTGTTCGTGCTCTTTTACTGTACCTAGGTACCTGGCGGACCGGCGCCCTTCATCAGGGTAGTTGTAACAAATAAAGTGGCCATGTAGGACAAAGAACAGTTCCAGATCAACTTGGATGTATCAGAAATAGGTAGCAGTGGGAAAGAGGCTCACATAGTAACAAAGGTGCTTTTCCTTCGCATAGCAATCTCAGCCTTGCGAGGCAGTATTAATTGTCACTTTCCGAACAACTTGAACCCCCAACCGTCTTCTGTGGAACGCAAGCTGCTAGACTCGGAGAGTAAGATGTGCTCGGAGTGAGCTGGGGATACATGTCTAACAACTACTTAGTGTTGATACCTATGCTTCCAGTTGGGACTGGAAGTTCCAGATTGCCAGCCCTGGAGTGATTCCAGGTTGTCGGCTGCGGTAATTGATTGTCGAATGACGTTATCGTCCTGTCAGGCTGCACCATCTCAGCGTACCTAGGTAACAAATGCGGTAAATGACCCATACAGACCCAACTGGGACCTTGGAACCACTGAACTGCGGTGCAATCCAACCTGAAATCCACCTGCAGCTTTACACGGCGCTGTTTGCGCTGTTTGTTCGGCGCTTGTTGCTGCTGTAGACGACACTCTTGGACCTCATTATCATCCGGCAAACCTCCTGCTGGCCGTACAGTACGAACCTGACCTGCTTATCTATTCTTCAACCAGAATCTCAGCTGGTCTAGTCTCCTATCTCAACTCCTGGTCGCGTCTGGCCTGTTGTACCCAGACCAAAGGCTGTTCTACGAGCATTGAAAGACCGGTCTTCCATCATCTCCACTGGCACTACCTTTACACCTCAATTGAGACCTCCGTCGCTTCAACCTCTGTCTCCTGCCACAGCCCATCATGGCGGCTACAACTACATCCTACTTGACAGACCCGACATTGTACCTCTTCACCTCCTTGACTGCGGGATCGTCTCACATCATCACCGCGACGTCGAGATTAGAAACAATCCTTAAGGCGAACAAGATTCCATTTCGGGCAGTGGACTGTGCCACGGACGAGAAGGCTCGCATGCTATGGGGCCGAAGATCCAAGGGACGAAAACTGCCTGGTTTAGTGAGATACGGAGAGATCATCGGGGTATGCTGAGGCTCTATCTTCGGACTGCGGGTGCCAGGGCGTGACGTGTTGGGCTAATGGAGTGACTTGCAGGATCTGGAGCAGATTGAAGAATGGAACGAATACGGCGAGCTCAAGGAGCAGATTGCTGCCTCTGAACATGGCGGCTTGACCGGCGGCACAACCACCAACAACAGTTTGGTTCCTGAGCCACCTGTCACCAGCACGACAAACTCTACGCCACAAAGATCGGAACCTCCTTCTCGCGCATCCTCCGAAACCCGCCACATCTCTATCGTGGATCCCAAGGAGAAAGACAAGGATGGCAAAGCCGGAGACTCCGCTTCCTCACACAAGCCAACGGAGTCACCTTTGAACCTGGCCATGCGCCAACTGGGGGCCGAAGCCGCCGCCAAAGCAGGCCAGAAGAAGGCGGCGGCAGCGCAGGCTCTGAAAGCAGCAGCGGCACCTACCAAGGAACCCAGCACGACAGACCAGATTCCCGTTCCGGCAGCCACGAAATTGAGCGTAGAGGCCGCAGCCGAATCACCCGAGACTGCGACAAGCGTCACCGCCGCGAAGACTCCTGCACAGTTGGCCGCTGAAGGCGCCAAGAGGACATCGGTGGATAAAATCGCCGAAGCATCTACGTCCCAAGTCGAAGGTGCAGGTACAGAAGCGACTTCTTCTCCAAGTGGTACTAAAGAGGAGGATTCGTCGTCGTCGCCATCAACAGAGGCTAATCGACTAGAACTACAACGCTCAAGCACCATCACTAAGCGAAAATCCCGGTTAAGTGAGTCTACCCCTGTAGAAGAGAGCGAGACCGTACGCACTTCTTCTGAAGAAGGAGAAGAAAAAGGAGAAGAAGCAGTGTCCTCGCCGTCGATTGCCGTCCCGGAGCATGAGGTGAGCGCTACAATGTCGCCGCTGGAGGGACCGCCACGACAGCACCGCGGCAGTGATATCGGAGAAGCCAGCCCTGAAGAGATTCGAGCCTTGGAGAAGAAATTGAGCATCCCCGAGGATGAGGAAGAGCCTGATGAGGAGGATGAACGGGGAAAGGAAGAGGAGAACAAGTGGGAGAAGGAGAATGAGAATCACAAGGCTGCCACTGCCACTGCTGCCGTTGCTCCCACCGACGAAGCAGAGTTGAAGGCTACCAAGGGGACTGATCCGCAGGAAACCAATGCCAAAGACGCGAATAAGGCGGGCGTCAGTGTAGGTGATTGAATTTTTGGGGGGACTGATGGATAAAGGTAGATCGTACGAAGATTCAGTTCATGTACATCCAAGGCGCGGAGATATGGTTCTTGGTTGATAGGTGTGTGGTGTCAATTGGAACCTAAGTCCTTTTCTTATCTGGTGGACATACAAAGATTTCAGCCCCTGTCTCGGAAAGGCGTTGGAACATGACATCCTAAGAACTGAGTGATTTTACATTCTGGCAATCCTTGGTTTATATGTTTCGTTTTTGAACATCACAGACCTTACCTACAGGAGTCTTTTTCGGCGTGATGCTACACTGCACTGGTATTCGGAGACTACCAGGTAGCCGGCCATGTTTGCATTGATGGAGTTCAAGTTCTCCGGAGATATGAGGTACATAGGTAAGTACCTACGTTTGATATATGTGTGGGTAGTAGCCATATATTTGACAAGTATGTACAGTCAAGTATACATCTAAGAGGTCCTGATCTTCAAGTTGTCCGCGTCTTGTCTACCTATACTGCACCCTCCTTGATTGCATCACATCCGTAAGACGATAAATATATTCGCCCCCAGTTCACGATCTTGATGACACCATTCCGCTCCGGTCCCACCATTCACCTATATTTTTGGGTGGTTCAAGCAATTTTTACAGTCTCGCCTTGACCCGAGTAGTATTGTCAGGTTGACCAGTGACGACGGCATTGGCGTTTTGAGGATTCCATCCAGCCTCGGCAGCAATCAATTCGGCACACCTCTCGCCGACAGCCAGAACGGTCAACATGGGGTTAATGGTGGGCATGGCAGGAAAGACGCCAGCGTCCGCGATGCGGAGCTTTTTCAGCCCACGCACCCTGAGACGGGGATCGACGACGGCCATATCGTCCTTTTGAACGTCTCCCATCTTGGTCGTGCCAGCGGGATGATAGACGGTGTGGGCGACGCGGCGGGCGTATTCGCTCAGCTCTTCGTCTGTCTGGACGTCCGGACCGGGGGCGACTTCGCGCTTGATCCAGTCCCTAAAGGGAACCTGTTGGGCGATCTTGCGGGCGGCGCGCAACCCAAACACAAAAGTGGCGGCGTCGTAGCCTTCCGGGTCCGTGAAATAGCGGAAGTCCAGAGCGGGTTTGACGGTCGGGTCGTTGGATGTCAAGTACAGTTTGCCCCGGGACCGCGGGCGCGGGATGTTGGGCGTCATGCAGAAGGCGTCGATGGGCGTGTCGTAGCCCAGTCGCGTCGTGTTGAGACAGAATGGGATTTGGTAGCAGTGCATCATGACGTCGGCGATGGAATCGTCGTCTGGGACCGGCACCGGGGATTCTTGGGCTGCCTTCTTTGCAGCAGCACTAGGAGGCTCCCTTCGTAGGAAAATGCCCGCGTCCGAATCCATCGTCGTCTGGTTCGGTGGAACCGGCTTGTTCAGTTCCCAGATGATGATGGTTTCCGGGTGGTCGAGCAGGTTCTCGCCGACTCCAGGGATATCCTTGACCACGGGGATCGATAAGGATGAGAGCTGGTCTGCTGGTCCCAGACCCGACAGGAGCATCAGGCGAGGCGTGTCGATGGCCCCGGCGCATAGGATGGTTTCGGTCTTTGCGGTCAGAGTGTGTTGTTGTCCGGACTGCAGGGTGAGGTTGATGCCCGTTACGACGTCGTCTTGGGACACGTTGATTTTCGAAACCCATGCGTTGGTCAGGATCTTGAGGTTCGGTCGCTTTTCCTCGCCTCGGAGAATCGGGTGGATGTACGCCACGCTGGCGCTCGACCGCCGGCCATCGTCGGGATTATAGCTGACGGAAAAGAAGCCGACGCACTCTTTGAGGGCTCCTTTGGTCTTGATTTCATGGTTGAAATCGTGCACCACGGGGATGTTCATCGCTTTGCTGCATGACTCCACCCAGTCCAGACATAGTTGGTTGCGGTGTCGTTCGTGCACTGGCTGCACCGTGTTGCGGAGTTTGTCCAACACTCGCATGAACATGCTGAATGTCCAGCCTTTGGCGCCCATCGCTTCCCAGATTTGACAGTCGTATTCAAATGGCCGAAACGAGATCAACGTGTTGTGGCTGGAGCACCCGCCGAGGACTTTGGCGCGGGAGTGCCGGATGTGGGAGTTTCCTAGGCATCGTAAGAGAATGTCAGTGGTTAGTATAACATGATGATGGTAACAGTAGCAGAGGAGGTGTTGGGCAAAGAACGGTGCAGAGATAGAAATCGGGGAGAAGCAGAGCATGACTTGCAACTGTAGAAGAAAATGACATACCCATTGGCTGCTCCGTCGTGCCATAATCATAGTCGAGTTCGCCGCCGAGCAGACTGAGCCACTGTTTGAGATCCAAGACTCGATCGTCCATGAAATCGCTGGGGCCAGCCTCGATCAGTAGAATCTTCTTGTGAGGCAGATATTCGGCCAGGCGCGAGGCAATGACACAGCCCTGCGGAGGCCCGGATCGTCAGCGAAGTAGTGATTAATGTCTATCTTTGCGTCTAAGCGAAGTATTCCTGTTCTTTTCGTGTTTCGTCCTCCTCGAGTTCATTGTCTCTCATGAAAATCTCACACGTATCGAGTCTGAGGGATCCGTCATGGACTTACCGCTGTGCCACCACCCACGACGAGATAGTCATAGCTATCGACCTCCGAAGCGTCGAGGTGAGTCGTCGTCATGTTGATTATGACCACGTAGGAGACAAGCGAAGGCTAGCGGTCGAGAACTAAGGGTGGGAAAAGCGACAATGTCCCAGATCTTGTTGCCCTTATCTAAAGGGTCTCGTGAGAATATGCGTAGCCTCGCCAAAAATATACAGAGAATCTTGCACGAGAGACAGAACGGAGACTAGAATAGACTGACCGACTCCCGGTCCACTTCGATATTCCGACAAGGCAGTCAACTTGGGGTCTATCCCGTGGTGGATGTTGTAGTGGTTGGAGACAAAATGAATGAAATTCACAACTACACTATCTTACGCATCAGCCGGCCAAGACTGACATATCGGCCGTTTTTGGTGATCAAATTTGTCTGCGTGTTCGATGGACACCTGCATACACCTGCAGACTCTACCATACCCATCGAGCGGGTTTGCCGCGGTCGAGCACTGTCCAATCGACCCCCTGCGCGAAAAATACAGTTTGCCAGTAGCACAGATCGTGCATCGCGTGCCTCAGTTTGACCGCCTCTATCCAGTCACAAGTGGTGAAAGTCCGACAAGGAGTTGGCTTCCAAGGGATGCGAGAGATCCCCGACAACTTGAGCCTGCACCCTTTTTCCGTGGCTGCGTGGACCAACCGCCCACCTGTTGTACCGTCCCCTTACCCTGCAGTGGCCAGGGTGCGTAAACGACTGGATGTTTCCGGATGAGCGGTGGGATAAGGGTCAGGAAAAAGGAAAAGCTAGACGGGGTCGGTGGAGGCTGGAATGCGTCAGTGTGGATGAAGGGGCAGTGGTGGTGGCGGCGCCTTGATAAAGCCAGGCATTTGAGTGGCAGGTCACCTGTGTGCACTGCGATAATCTTACCACTGCAGTGCAGCAGGAACAGCATACCAGTTACTGTACTATGTCGGTATATCGACGCCTGATAGAGTTCATTGATTGATCTGGTTCATGTCAAAGTCGGTCGCTGAATTGATGCCCGCAAAAGGCAAAAGATTGCGGGCAGTTCCAAGCCACGGCAGTCGGAGCAGTATACCTAATCGTAGCTTGGGGCGGGCCGAAGTGTTCTCAAGCCTTTCAAGTGTGTTTTGTAGGGCTGGAAAATGGACATCAGAGGAGAACATGCCACTTGGAATGGTTCCTGGTGTCTCTTTTGATTTGGGGATGGGACGCCCGTGGATCCCCGAGGATTGCGAGTGTGGGCGCCACCTTAGGGCAGGACTGCAGGGGATCAGCCACCAGCGAGAGCCGGGCGCACAGCTTCGTCTACCACATGTGGACTCGTCTCCGTCCGTCAAGCTAGAGAGGAACCAGACGTCAATCCGCAAAAGGCTTCATCCAACAGCACTTCCCTCTACCGGGTACGCACTACTAGTACATCGTACAGTACAGTCTGATTGTGGTGGATATCGGCAGTCCAAACAACATCAACGAAGTTCAGGTCCTCTGAAATCCATTTGCCGCTGGGACTGTCACTGCATATGCAGTCTTGACCACGTCCGTTGAGACTGTGCGACACGTTGAAAGCCAGTTCAAAATTCGGACGGCAACGACTCCGACCTCGAGACTCACTTCTTGGACGGATCGGGTCGGAATTGACCCTTCCATCAACCCCTTTCGTCTTCTTCTTAGTGTGAGGCAGTAACTCGATATTTCAGAGAGGCATACGGCCCCTCGGCTCGCTCCACCGAGTAATATCAGTACACTGCCTTCACGGCCTACCGAGGAAAAACAAAACGATGGCTCTCCCTGACCGCTGGACATTCTACAACGGCCGAGCCGTGTCGGCCTCGACGTCCAGCTCCAACGAGACGTTTCAATCCATCGACCCCTCGACGTCGAAGCCAGTATGCACGATCCACACATCATCGGCGAGCGAAGTTGAGCAAGCGGTGCGATCAGCAAACGTGGCATTCAGATCATGGGCGAGCACACCAGCGGCGGAGCGATCGCGGATTCTGCTGAAAGCCGCATCGATTCTGCGGTCGCGCAACGACGAACTAGCGCGAATCGAGACGCTGGACACGGGCAAGCCATTCTCCGAGACGTCGACGGTGGACATTGTCACGGGCGCCGATGTGCTCGAGTACTTTGCGCATCTGGTGGCGTCGGGCGGGCTGAACGGCGAGTCCTTCCACCTCCGCGACTCGGCCTGGGTGTACACGGCCAAGGAGCCGCTGGGGGCATGCGCGGGCATTGGGGCATGGAACTATCCGATCCAGATTGCGCTGTGGAAGTCCGCCCCGTGTCTGGCCGCGGGCAACACCATGGTCTACAAGCCGTCCGAAGTCACGCCGCTGCACGCCCAGCTGCTGGCTGAAATCTACAGGGACGCCGGCGTGCCTGATGGCGTCTTCAACGTCGTCTACGGCGACGGCCGGGTCGGCGCGCTGCTCACCAAACACCCAGGTATCGCGAAAGTCAGTTTCACCGGCCAGGTCTCGACGGGCCGTAAGGTCGCGGGTGCCGCCGCCGGCGAGATGAAGTATGTCACCATGGAGCTCGGCGGCAAAAGTCCCCTGATCGTCCTGCCGGACGTCGATGTCGAGCAGGCGGTCGATGGCGCCCTCATGGCAAACTTCTTCAGTACCGGTCAGGTGTGCACCAATGGTACCAGGGTGTTTGTTCCCAAAGCCTTGAAACAAAAATTCGAGGAAGTCCTACTGGCAAAATTGAACTACGTCCGACCAGGTGATTTGATGAATCCAAATACAAACTATGGCCCCCTGGTCAGCAAAATCCACTACGACAAGGTCGTCGGCTACATCAAGCACGGCATCGAGGTCGATCATGCCAAGTTGCTGGCCGGAGGCCTCGGAAAGCCCGCCAATATCCCCTCCAATCTCAAGGACGGCTACTGGGTCCGTCCGACCGTCTTCACCGACTGTACCGACAACATGAAGATCGTCAAGGAGGAGATCTTTGGTCCCGTTATGTCTATCCTCACCTACTCTTCCGTCGACGAGGCGGTCCAGAGAGCCAACAACACCGAACTAGGACTCGCTGCTGGCGTCTTTGGCAAGGATATCAATCAATGTCATACTGTCGTCAAACAGTTGCAGGCTGGCATCACCTGGGTCAATACCTGGGGCGAGTCTCCTGCTGAGATGGCTGTTGGCGGTTGGAAGCAGAGCGGCGTCGGCGTCGAGAACGGGCGGAGAGGCCTGGAAGCCTGGATTCGAAATAAAAGCACCCTCGTCGAGATGGGAGGCAGTGTACCGACTGTATTTGCAAAGTTATAAGAACATAACCGATGCAGGCATGAAATGATTGTGTTGTATAAAAAGCTCCATCACTATCCAAAATTTGCATACAAACGCCCCACTCCCGCTTTACTGCTAACAATTGAACAATTTGGTTTGCCTGGATTGATCTCCAAAGAAAAAATTCTCCAAAGGAGAAAAAAGCCGGAAAGCAAGATGTTTCATGCTGCAAAGGTTGAAACTCTCGACCCCATCCGGTCAAATATGAAATCGTCCATCTTCTTGTCGTTCATCGCAATCGCCGAATCCACCAGCCTCGATGACATGCTGTCTGGTGTCAACTCTCCATCTTCTTGGTCCACTTGCTTCTTGTCAGTGTCGATCCTCAGGTCCTTCAAAGCGCCTCGCCAATTGTCCACTTTCGCTACTGACGGTTTCTGCGCAGGAACTGTGGCAGTTTCTTGCTCCGCCGAAACCTGTTCGATGCTCTTGAAGTACTGTTTGGGGCACATTAGTCTTGCATAACGGCACCCGGTGGCTGGCCCAGACGTACCTTGACCGTCTTCACAAGCATCTCGTCTGTAGCAGCGTCGTCGCAGACAATAGTGGCATGCTCGTGCATCTGGAGAGCACTTGCAGTCCACATCTGACTGACATTTCCTTCGATTGTCTTGGCCAGAGCCAAAGCCTTGCTTGCCCCCAGCACGATGAGGAGGACTTCTCGGGCGTCCATGACGGTTTGCACGCCCACAGTCAATGCTTGCCTAGGAACCTGGCTCAAATCACCTCCAAAAAATCGGGAATTGGCTCGAATGGTGTCTTTAGCCAAGGTCTTGACCCTCGTGCGTGACCGCAAAGAGGAGCCTGGCTCGTTGAATGCAATGTGTCCGTCCGATCCAATCCCTCCGAGGAACAGGTCGATTCCACCTGCCTGTGAAATCTTCGCTTCGTAAGCGGCACATTCTGCCGTCAAATCTGGAGCGTTGCCGTTCAAAATGTGCACATTGGCGGGATTGATGTCGATATGGGCGAAGAAATGTTTGTACATGAAACTGTGGTAAGACTCGGGGTGCTCTTCAGGTAATCCGACATATTCATCCATGTTGAACGTTATGACATTGGCAAATGAGACCTCGCCATCCCTGTATGCCTTCACAAGGTATTTGTAGGTTAGCTCCGGACTGCTACCTGTTGGTAGGCCTAGCACGAAGGGGTGTTCCGCTGTGGGCGCGAAAGAATTTATGCGGTTGATAATATATCGGGCGGCATACTGTGAGGCCCCTTCCGCATGTTCGCGAACGATGACCCTCATGGTAAAATGGCTTTCGAGGAACAGAAGGTTGGAGCGTTGCCCAGAACAAAAGATTCAAAGGTAAAGCTACACAGGCAGAAATCGTCGCTGCAAACAATTCGGTGGAAGCAGGAGCAACAAACCTTGACCGAGCCGTAGGCTCTTGTAACAGAAAATCATGAACGAGTCCATGGGCGGAGTGCGGAGGATAAGCATCTCGGCCTCTGGAGATCGCAAAGGCAGGCTTCAGAGTAGCAGGCCATCGCTGCCAAAGAGGGTGGCATGGCTTCGCAGCAGTGTAACAGTTGCGTGGCACCCGACCAACAAACCACCACATAGGAGGACATATGACGGTGGCCAGGGACTTGTGCAATCTTATCAGCGGCAGCAACGATGTCGACGACTGATGAGATCATTGGTCGACGACGAGCTATCTTCATGCCAACTTGAAGGTAGGCGACTGTAGGGGGAAGAGCACGGCAGAGATGATGTAGCAGTGCCGCAGTGTTGCAGTGTAGTAGCAGCAGAGGTGAGGCGTGCAGTGTGTTGTAGATAGATTACCAGGTGGACACACTGCACTCTTGTATGGCGGGGCAACACGGGCGCAGGCAGCCACTGCATGTGCAGGCGCTGTAGACACAGGGTAAGGAGGGCACCGTCACGTGCCTGGGCCAGTGTAACCTCGCCGTCGACCAAAACCTCCCACATTCGTGTCTGTCAGACTCACCTTGGGAAAGCGAGTGGCAGGGTGTCATCCACCATCCAGCACCGCACATCTTGTCTACCTTATCCACCAACCCTTCATCCCCCTCATCGGTTCATCTCGTCCACTATCTCTCTCACAAGCTTTTGTCAAGCCCTGAGTCTATCTGGAATTTCCCGGCCGAGTCCACTTTGACATGCACTCTTTGTAGCATTATCATCTTCCACGGTCAGTCCCCTACTACCACCTCCCATTTCTCAACGTTGCAACAGATGCAACATCACCCTGTCTCCAATGTACCACGTTTCCAAGTCCTCCTCCGCCGTCGCCGATTTGCTGAGTCTAACGTTATGCGGCACAGACGTTGATGCCCTGATCTCGCTGAATAGTCCGAATGTCTGGTTCAGTGGCCCTCTATGCGTCCAACGTGCTTCTCGGGTCATTCTACCGGCTCCTGACCGAACCTTTGCTCCATTCCAGGCTCGTATAGCCTGCTCTCTCGGTTTCCATCCAATCAGTCTGCATGGGCGGAAACCGTAGGGGCCCGGGACACTCATGGCGGCCACCAACGGGGATCTTGCATCCCCATGGGACGAATCGAGGTATGGATATGCCGTCATCCTGAGTCTTATGTGACTTTCCGGCTGATTGTAAATGATGTGATAGACAGCTCGGCCAGCTATTCATGATGGGTTTTGATGGAACCTCCATCACGGATCAAGTCAAAACGCTCATTGAGAAGTATCATGTAGGCTCAATACTTCTGAAGGCTCAAAACCTCAAATGTGCTTATCCTCTCCTGCGTTTCCTCTGTTACTGTTTTTGGTGTTGCTATATGGCGCTAAAGGATACTAACACGTTCAACAGCTGCTGAGCAGACTACCCAGCTTGTGCTTGATCTTCAGACCCTAGCCCGGAACGCTGGCCACCCTGTTCCGCTTCTCATTGCTCTTGATCAAGAAAATGGCGGGGTCAACAGCCTCTATGATGAGGTCTACATTCGCCAGTTTCCCAGTGCCATGGGCGTCGCCGCCACCGGGTCAAAGAAACTGGCCAGGGACATTGCCAGAGCGACGGCTCAAGAACTCAATTCCTGTGGCATCAATTGGATCTTGGGACCAGTACTTGATGTCCTTACAAACGCCAGGAATCAACCACTCGGAGTGCGGTCAATAGGCGACGATCCCCAAGAAGTGTCGGCTTTCGGAGTCGAATGCATTCAAGGGTATCAGGAAGGAGGAGTCGCAACATGCGGGAAACATTTCCCTTCTTATGGCAACCTCGAATTCTTTGGTGTGCCTGATGATGTGCCTACCATTACCGACTCCCTCGAAAATCTGAGCCAAAGCGCTCTCGTTCCATTCCGCACTGCTATTGCGCGTGGCGTTGACTCGTTGATGGTTGGAGGGGTGGCTATGGCATCCTCTCAGGTCAATGTTATGCATGCCTGTCTTTCTGAACAGATCGTTAGAGACCTACTACGAAATGAAATGCGATTTGATGGTGTCGTGGTTTCCGAATGCCTCGAAATGGAAGCCCTGAGCCGCAACATCGGAATCAGTGGCGGGACCGTCATGGCATTCAGAGCTGGTTGCGACTTGATCCTTACATGCAGGTCTTTGTCAGTCCAGGAAGACGCTATCAATGGGCTCCGAGCAGGGCTGGATAATGGAATGATCGAGCGGTTCCGTGTGCAAGAGTCTTTAACAAGAATCCTGAGGATCAAGGCGAAGTATACCTCTTGGGAAAAGGCCTTTTCTCCTGCTGGGATTGCAAATCTGGCACGATTACAGCCCCTCCATACGAGTCTTTCCAATACTGCCTACAACCAATCGATCACCGTGGTTCGAGACCAGGCCCAATATCTACCGCTATCGAGAGTTCTCCGTCCTGAAGATGAGCTGCTCCTGCTAACACCCCTAATCAAGCCATTGCCGGCCTCAGCCCTGTTTCAGCAAATGCAAAACGAGAATTCATCCTTGCCGGCCTTTGAGCGGAATCCCAGCGTTGATACGAACACTTCTATCATGAGTGGCGAACAAGTCTTCCGGGAGCTAGGGAGGTCTTTGGCTAGGTATCGCCATGGCAAGATTTCCCATACATCATACACAGCGAACGGAGTGCGACCACTGCATGAGAATTTGCTGAATCGAGCACGAGGTGTCGTCGTGGTAACGGCTGACGCGGGCCGGAACAAGTATCAAAACGCTTTTGCCAAACATGTTTCCATGCTGTGCAAGCTGGCTGTGGGACCAGATGGGTCTCCTCGAGAAAAGCCTTGCGTTGTGGTTGCAGTCAGTTCTCCCTTCGACTTTGCATCAGACACGTCGATCGGGACATACGTTTGCACCTATGACTTCACCGAGACCGCTCTGCGGGCTCTTGTACAGGTACTTTACGGCGAGCTCAGCTCCGTGGGCCAGCTCCCCGGATCATACAGCCTAAAGCCACAAACCAGTCATTCTCGCCAGCAGTGGTTGGTAGAGAGTTTCAACGAAGAACGCGACTCGACAGCACTAGATATGCTACTTCTTCAGGCCCAAGCTGAGCCCTCAGCCAATGCGGCAGCGCTGAAAAATGTGAGAGCTAGCACCTTTCTCCTTCGTGACGTGGATGTGGAGGAGGCGCACTTTGTGGTCAGAAACAGCAGCACAAAAGAACTCTTTGGATTCTGCGCGACGTACTTTTCCAACAAAACCGGCGTCGGTCATATTGGAGCAATCATTGTTGATCCTGCGCGACGGCGGCTATCCATAGGCCACTCCCTACACGACCGTGGCGTTCGGGCGTTACTGCAGAAGAAAGGCATCACTAAATTTCAGCTCGGGGTGAGGTTTCCTAACGTCTATCTCGGCATTCCTAAACTGGACCCGCTTGAATACAAACGACTTCGGCAATGGTTCGCAAAGTTGGGCTGGAACACCTCGCTATCGATCCCTGTGGCCAGCATGTCTATCGACCTCACAAACTGGGCGCCTCCGGAGGGTCTCGGCCAGGCATTGACCAATCCAGAAGTCAAGTATGACCTTGTTTACGGTAAAGAATACGAAGCTGTCATGATGGAACATATTACCAGGTGTGCCCGGTATGACGTTCAGAGCATCTATCAACTAGCCTTGAGCAACAAAGAGGCCACAGGCGTTATTCGAGCCAAGCGTGCGTCTGACCAGTCCATATTGGGAAGCGTCCTGATTTGTCGACCAGAATCGCGCATTGCTCAATTCATCCCGGCCGTGTACAAGCAGGCCGGAATGGCTTGTATATCTTCACCTGTTATATCAACCGCGTTTAGCGACCGGACTTCTATTTTCCAGGGGTTAATTCTGCTGGGACTTCGTCAATTGAAGAAACAGGGGCTACGAGCTGTCCTGCTTGATTATGTGAGTTACATTCCTTACGCGTGCTGGTTATTCTCTGACATGTCCAGATTCGAGGAGATGCCACGGCCGACGGTTTGACGGCCATGGGATTTGGCATCGCGAACAGCTTTGAAGAGATCTCCAGCGATCCAGTACACTGGACCATGATGTCTGGGACTTAACCAATGAATGCATTATAATGCCATCACTCTCGATTATACTTGGCAGTGTGGCTGATGCCTCAGTTCTATCCTTGGTAAGACAAGGCTGTACAATACGATATGTGCCACGGCACTTACGACACCGGTTTCAGTGAGCTTTTTCTATTCCAACGACCTTGGCCTGGACGAGGGACTGCAGCGGCTGGACGGTCGATGCCGGTTCAGCGTTTTCCAAGTCCTGATGAGACAAGCTCGCTTGGCCGGATAAGCGATCGAAGGGTAGCGTCCGATCTGCTCTTACAGGATTCTGAAGTAGCTTCAGTGCTTGTCTCCCGTCCATATCTCCAAAGCCCAGCCCAAGGATGGATGTGCCTGTACGACTGACATGTCAAGTCATGCGCAAGTGGTATCTTGCTTTCAATGTCCAACAATCACCCTTCATGTTGCCGTCGATTGAAAAGAGCCATGTTTGGCTCTCGGAGAATACTGTCGACTGTACTTTACCCTACCCATTATTACGGGCGCCTGTTGTACGTCAGGGCGCCATGTCTGAACACAGCAGTTGCTGGCTCATCAAGACCCGACCCGGGGACCAGATTCACGCATAAGTTTGTCGGTGGTCGATGGCACCGCCGAAAGTATAGAGATTATATAGCGAACGTGAACCTGACAATCCTTGGACAAAGTTTCAAGTTGGTGACTATCCAGTCGGCATCAGCATAGTATGCGCAGCGCATTTCGTCACTGCCCAAACCCCTGGGGATGACTGTCGGTATACTCGCTGACAACAAAGGACCACATCCTAGAGACACGGTGATAATGATGACGACAAGACCAATGTCTATTGGTGTTCTCTAATTGCCATCAGGCTGAACCATAAGACAAGCTGTTGTTCAAATCTATCTAGCTGTACCCCTTTTCTGCTCCTAAATGCATCAAATCATGCCCTCGATATCAGGACAGAAACCTGAACAACCTTGAGTCAATCATAAATTCCCGGTCCTTCTTTTCTCCACCGCCTCTCTCAAAACTTGAATAACATGGGCCGGATCTTGGGCGCCAAACACGGCGCTTCCTGCTACAATAACGTTGGCGCCCGCATCTGCCGCTTGATCAATCGTCTTTTCTCCCAAGCCGCCGTCAACCTCGATGTTAAGATTGGGATATTTCTTGCGCAGCGCTTCGACTTTGGGCAGTTCGCTGGCCATGAACTTCTGGCCGCCAAAGCCCGGGTGCACCGTCATGACGAGGACCATCTGTTTGGATGGAACAGGAACTGTTAGTCTGCTGCTTTGTCATAAAACAACCAACCACCTTCGACTTGTTTAGACTCCCAGATCTCGGCCATAACTCGTTCTTGCAAATGACGCGTAGATGTGTAGGCTGGATGCACAGGAGTCCTATCTGTCCAAGGCATGGCAGTCAGAGTGGGGGAAAGGGGATATGAACAACGTACATCAGGCCGCTCTTCAGGAACCTCAGTCTCCAGAATATCCCACAAGACATCGACGCTCGTTTCGGGTTTGATGGCAATTCCGGCTTGCATGCCGAGTTCGTGGATATAGCGGATCAATTCTTTGGGAGATGTTGGGCGCGTCGTTGTCTTGTCTTCAGGGTCGGTGGCTGCCACACTTGATACCGCGGCCTCATAATGGAAACAGTATAGATCACAGCCGGCGTCGCGGAAGTTCTTGGCCCAGCGATGAGGCTAGAAATTGACACGGTTGTTCAGTAACTGTAAGGCACGACTTGAAGGAGGAAAGGGATAGACACAGTAGCAGTAGCCGACTTGTAGCACTCGAAAATCATAACCTCAAGAGCCCAGAGCCGGACGTGAAAAAAGAAAACAAAAAAATGTGGGTTGCTATCTCACCTCTGCAATCATCATATGGCAATCGAACGTGCCTCTCGCGAAAGGCCGGTTGGGACGGTCGACATAACTTCGTATCTTGGTCACGACTGGGGGCCCGAAGGTGAGATTGGGCACGAAATGGCCGTCCATCTGTGTGTTGACCCTAGTCAGCTAAAATCGTCCTTATGGATGTTTAGAATCACTCAAGAACCAAGCCTCGACTCCCAACATCCATGTCTGAAGAGCAGTGCTTTGCCGTATCCCTGAGAGCCGTCGGTCGGCCCCGGACAGAGAGTATTTGCGTCAATCAACCTGCTTTAAACGCAGGGCATCATCTCCTTTGCACCCAGGACGAAACACTCCCTGTGATATTCCACCACTCTTTGTCCTTTTTTCCCTTCTCCAGGCCCGGAACGAACCCATAGCCCCGCCTCAACCGCGACCTCACTTTTACACCGCCCAGGAACGAAAAGACAAACAAAACCAAACAAACCCGAAACACCTACAATATCGACGTGTAACCAATCCGCCCCCTGCTTCATCGTTTTGGCGCATTCCTCGCCCAACTTCGCAAAATCGGCACTTAGGATCGACGGGGCAATAATCGCTGGAGGAGCCATTTTGCCGGAACGTGACAGACACGGTACGGGAACAAAATGCTTTATTCGCGCAGGAATGGATCGAGACTAAGTAATGGGTTGTAAGGGGTTTTTCCTCGTCCCTCTCGTTCTGTAGATTCGTGGAAGTCTCCGGATGCGATGCGCTGCGCTGGAGTGAATGGGGACCACACCGTCTCGGAAAAGTGTCCTGTAGACAAGTATAGGGGAGGTCTATTAGTGTAGTGTTTTACTTATGCAAACAACCACAGGTCAATAAGGTAGGCCGCGGAAATGAATGCTTCGTGTACAACGTTGTTGGTGCAGAAAAGTAGCAGTCTTCAAGTTGGAGATGGAAGAAACTGCGTCATTTCAGATTCACGAAGGGTACTGTATTGTCATTGGTAGGTAGATGCTAAAACACGTAACAGGCTACTTAGTAATAGTAGACTAAGGTGCCTAGTGCTGCTAATCCTAACACAATCAGGCTGGCAACGCTGCTGGATCTTGACTTCTCCGACAATAACCGCGGAGTAACCTGTTCATTCAACCCAACAACAACTTCAACTTAACACCTACTGCTGGTAGTAGATAGTTGTATCCTGATATTTGCTGTGGTGTTCATCGGACTCGATGGTAAGATGCCAAATGGAGCCATAAAACTTCAAGTTCAAGTTCATGGTGTGCTTCCTAGGACACCACGAGTACTCATATTTTTTGAGTTGTATGTATCGTGTTCGTCGTGTCTCCTTTCTACTATACAACCTCACTGAAATACCGTTTGCTCGTATGCCTTCCCGGTGACCTCGGGTCAGGCGGCAACGGTCCGCTATGATGGACAACGTGCGGGCGAAACACGGCGTCCACTGGCGGCATCCAGTCGTCCAAACCGAGCGGAAAATACTCGTATAGTTCATCAGCACTTTCCCCTTGCGCGCCGGGGTATGTCTGCTGGCCTGTAGCGGTGCTGGTGCTGATACTGGTGCTAGTTTTAGAGTCGACGAGGTCTGGTCGTGATGCAGGCAGTGTCTGAATCACAGAAGACGACGAAGGCTCCGAGTGATTCATAGGCGCCGGCGTGGAGGTTGGTACACTGGTCATGGACAGGCCGTGCGAATGTAGGCGAGGGCGACTGCCACCGATTCCGTTCCCATTATGGTTGACCAAACTACCCGAGCTGGGTTGAGAAGGGCCCGGGGATGCACCGTGATGGTGGGTGGTGTATGGCGTCCCTGCCGCCGGGCCGTGGCCAAGCGTAGAACCTGCCTGCCCTTGACCCTTGTTGACCAGTGATGGTGACGGATTTGACGTCGGAGGCCGAGACGACGGTCGCGAGCCCCCTTGCTGTTCGGCGTGAGGGAATGGACTGCCTTCGTCATCACTCCCAAAATGTAAGCTGAGCGGTCGGTTGCCGTTGGAGGCCATCTCTTGCGGAAAAGTAAACGGAAACGTGGCTCCTGGGGTGCCAAGTTCGGGTGTCGTGGGATCATGTGAAAATGTAGGCATGGGTGGAGGGTTCATGACGGCCGAGTAGGAAGGTGTGGGAAGGGGAGGTTCGGGGACGACTTGCGACATCCAATTGTTGAGATCGGTCGGGTCGGATGATTTCATGTCGCTGTTATTACTATTATTCGGATTGGCACCGTCAAACGGCACAATTGGTTGGGTCAAATCCTCAGGTGGTGTTTTGACCTTGGGCGCAGAAGTGACCTGCGGAACCGAAGTCTGGCTGGTTCCAGCTCTGGAGGTCGGTGGAAGATGTTTGCGGGCCGTGGAACTACTGCTCAAAGGCATGTCCTTGCGAGCGGCAAAGTTCCGGGGACTTCGTCCTCGAACAATGACAGGGCCCGAATGAGCTTCCGCAATCGAGATCTTACCACCAGTAGATAAGGATGCCATGATTTTCAGATGGAGCGTGAAATGTTGCTGCAGCTCTTTCCTTCGGCCGTTGTTGGCCGTGGCTATGCGGAACTGTAATCGCTTCCATTGAATTGGGAATGTCGTGTAATCGGTGTCGAGATCCTGTCCCGACATCTTGTCAAGCGGAATCGTGGGAGGTTCTCGTTCGGCCTTGTCTTCTGGTTTGGCCGGTTCACCCCCGGCCGGGGTCTTCCATGGCACCGAAATGATCTTGACGGCGTTGCCTTCCACCGACTCGGTTGCCGACACTGCCAATTCGAGCTCGTAGATGGGAATTCTGGAACCGTCATCCGTGAACACATATCGGAGATTCCGCGGCAGCGTCACGGAGCCGGTGATCTGAAAAAGATTTCGCCGATAGCAGGTGAGTTCGGGTGGCGGAGGAGGCGTATCAGCCGTTGCGGGCCATTGCGACTCGGCCAGAAAGAACATGCCGTGAAGTTGTGCGCTAATGTTGACGGAAGACCGCCGGAAAGAATCGTCCAGCAGCGTAAAGTTGTATCGGGGCATGGAAAAACTGAGATACTTGCTGTCGCGATCAATCGAGGGGCTCTCGGGCGCACCACCTTCTGTAGGGACCTGGTCGAATTGAGCCATCGTGCTTTCGGCGAACGGGTCTTCGAACCCGGAAGAGTAGCGCTTCAGCATGGCGGGATGTTGCAAGCCGGTTGACGGCGCAAAGCTGAGCTCATCGCCACTTTTGAACACTCCGTCAGAAAAAGACAGGAGACAGAGAAAGGCCTTTCCATTACTTACCTCATGTAGGGTTCGGAGTCAAAGTTGGAATACTGCTCTTGCAAATCCATGACCGACGGAACACTCATGTAGTCCAGGTTTTGTATATTTCCGCCCGTAAAAGGCATGGGACTGTGTAGGTAAGGCATTGCAAGAGGATCGTAACCGTCCATGGTGGCCGTGGCCATGTGTGAATAGAGGGTCTAAGTTTTTGGGTCGAGTGCGGAGGAAATGGCCGGAGTCGCAGTAATGCGCTGCAATGCAACGATGGAAAGACGGCGATCGAGGCGACGGGGCTATCGGGTAGGAGAGATTGTCGTCGTCGCCCGGTGCGGCATTCTCGAGAAATGGCGGAGGAAGAATCTGCTTCAGCGAAGGTTGCGCCACAGTCTCCGGGTTGAAAAAAGAATGGGATACAGATGAGCCGGGACGGGAAGAGGTTAATCAGCACAGACTCTTCAGACTGCGTGCGGTGCGAGTGGCAGTGGCAGTGGCAGTCGATGATTTGGTGGATATGACCTAAGGTAGACAAGCCTGAAAGACAGGTGAGTTTAAGCAGCCTGCAGTAGTTGGCCAGTAGCGGTGGACGCGGGTCGTCAGTGCCTGCGACCTTTTTGCTTGGGGCCGCACGATCGGCCGGAGGCCACTGCTAAGAGTGGATTTCCGGTGGGCTTGGGACGCTTAGGAGGCGTCTGAGAGACGGGAGGCGGGCCAGGTTTAGGCTTGATTGATTTGAGCTGCAGGGAGCGATGCGCCGCTGGTGATCGCAGACCGTTGGCTGCTTGGCAGACTGCTGAACAAGAGCAGACTGATATGCTCTTAATCTGTAGCAACCAAGTGAGTGGACTAGCAATTGTTGATGCTGGGGAGAGGGGAGGTAGAGAGCGATCACAGGATCTGCCAGGGTCAATATTGTACGTCAAGCAAACGGACAAACAGGGACGAGAAGTCGAAGCGCGCTGGACACGCTTGACAGCTATATAATATCCAATATAGTCGAGCATAGGCAGAGGTTTGGCTCCTAAGGCCATCGCCCGAGGCTCATTACTCTCACTGCTTGTGCCCTTATCCTGGCAGTCGCAGTCGCAGTAGCAGTAGCCGTTAGCTCTCACTGGCCTGTTATCCATGCATGTCGTGTCTCTATCTCCGGTCGAGTCATCTTGACCGTGCCAGCAGGGACGATCGGTTGTGATGGATGATGCCAATGCCCGTCTTGTGTCAGGGCTGCTGCAATTGAAGTGAGACTTTGATGCCTTATTACTATCGGCATGCATGTGCTTGTGCCAGAGACGAGACTCAGGAGACGGTGAGACTTGGATTGCACTGCCCGGTGGCTGGTATCTTTGGTGGTTCACAAGTTGTGGTAGGTTGTAGGTCGGTGGCTCTCTGGGTCATGGCTTACCACTAGGCTCCAGTTGTCGCTAGTCGCCCGCGGAATTGCCAATACTGTAGCAGTTAGTGCGAGACGGGCGACAGTGACAGCGTGCGGGCCCCTTGGGAGCACAGGACACTGGCATGGAAAATCGGCTGTAGCGGGCTCCTTAGGCGGTGGAAGGCAAAATAGCGGCCTTCCAGAAGAAAACGGGGGTGCCGAGGGGCCATTGCTCTGCAGCTGACAGGCAGCGCTAGGGAGAAAACTGCCAATGATGCCTGCAGTGCCTGGAGCCCACTGCCGTACAGCTAAAGGCAGATGGCCAGGATACACTTACCCTAGCAGGTAGGCATCGCTGACGAGCGCTGGCATGGGCTGCTAGTGAAACCAAGAGGCTAGGACTGCTCGTGCTGTCATTGATCAATCACCAATAGTTCCTCCCTAGTAGAAGTACCTAGGTTAGCAGTACCGGTAGGAGGATGCACAGAAGGATGCTTCTTGCTAGCAGGAAGATCGCCAATGCTCATTATTGTGCATTGTTGCCGAAGCCGTCATGTTTTCATCCCGTCCAGCTCGATTGCCGTTCGGCAGCACGGCAGCCTGATGTCACTGCTGAGTCGGCTACTTATGCGCATCCTGCCAGTGCCAGAGGTGGGGTGATTTATAAGAGAGCAGGAAGTCAGGGAGTACATAGTAAATTACTTGACCGCCAGTGCATGGATTCAGGCGCCGTCACACACCCGACACTGGCACTGGCACCACGACCCGTGCTCAGTCTTTCTCGCACTCCACGTCAAACACTGCAGGTCAGGTCACAATAATCAAGGTCAAGGGCACAACCACATGCCAGTAATCCTTGGTCCTTTTGTCGCTACCACTGGCTCGTCGACACCGACACCGACACGGCTCAACCGAACCAGATAAAGCGAAAGCTAATTTACCTGTAGTCAAGTCTGGCACCTAAGCTGCAGCAAGCCGTTCAACTCGAGAAGTCAACCCCGTGCCCACAATAAACAATCCCGTCCACATTTCCCACAGATTCCACTTCGTCCTGGCTCATATTTGCCCCGTAGTAATAAATAACTTTAGTTCTCAGCCCGCTGGCTACAACCGCTCGGGCAAGGAAATCGAAACATGCACCGAAGCATCCCATGGGAAGCCTAAACAGCGGTGCTAGACTCGATAAAAACTTAGCCCAGCCAGCCACTGCAGGCAAGGAATCACCTCGACGATTTGATAGGCCCTAGCACTAGCACTACAGAACTAAGGAGGATCCCCCGGGTCACGCTCCCTTAGGGCTCCCTAAGCCCAACCAAGTCAGCGCTCCCGAATGCGTGTCTTGTTCCGAACTGCCCCTGTCGGTGTTGGCATCACGGCGGCTGACGGAACCCGGCAGCACAGCATCCAGGAACTTCAAGGACCGACAGGATAGGCGCTAGATGGTCGGCTTTCCCTGCAGTGTATGGCTTGCCCACTCCGTATTCCTTGAGATGCCTGGTAATGTGGTTGTTGAGGGTGAGCACTCTTGCAGACATGGACGTACAATGTCCATGTGTGCCAGTGCTGGACAGAATTTAAAGTACCCCCTGGGGTGCAGGAACAATATATGCAGTCACATGACATGATTAGTCAACCTGCAGCCAAACACGGACGAGTTGCAGCAAAGTCAGCACGTGATTTGAGATTACATAATCATTTTGCCTGACAGAATAATAAAATCTCATTTGTATGGGAAAATTCTGCATCCTACATAGCATAATGCCGAGCTTTTAGTCTGACTGAGGGACCCGCAAATTCTCGGCGCTTACAAATAATTATTTCCACTGCACTGAATCTTACTGGCTGGCCCAGAGCAAAAACCAATTTGAGCCAACACGTGGTTCTGAACCTAGATCACATGACTAACTCCAACAATGACGGTAACAGCCTGAGGCATATGTATGTACATATATTCGGAGATGGCCTTAAACAACTGAACAACAGCAGCACCACTCCCTGCTAATTGTGCCATTGTGGCCTACTATACTGACCCTTGGTAGGTGCTTGTGGTCTAACAACACAACAAAGCCTTGTTAACAGATGTCGCTGCTAGGTGAGCTTTCTAGCTTACGGTCTTTGGTCTGTTTTACTACCTTCTCCCCATCATTGTTCCTCACTCCTCAGACACATACTATTCACGAGTTATGCGGTAGTGTATTCCAGCTGTCAGTGCATGAGTGATTCTCGACTCCCTTATGCTCTTTGAAGGCATCAAACAGAATAACAACATGGTTGTTGCTCGAGGCACGGAGATACGGATGGTCGGAGGGAACGGAACGGAGGCTCGGGGGAACTTTCGTCCTCGAGCAGCATCTGTTTACCTACATACATAGGGAGGTATGTACAGGCAGGCAGATGGCGACGAGAAGGGATTTCCATGAACTACCCTACACTTCCTCGTAGCTCACACGTCCCGTCTCTTCGAAGCGCCGCGACCGTCATCAGGCCTTCATCCAACTATTAGCACCCAACTTTTTCAAGTTTTGCTTTCCCATCGCAGTGACCATATCGTCTGCCATGGTCTCTCTGGAGCAGATCCGGGCTTCCAATTCGCGGGTGGGAACCAGTCTGCGGCCCGGGCTCGTGGCCGTTTTCGCCGGAGCAACTAGCGGCATCGGCGAGACGTCGTTGATACAGTTTGCCAAGGTCGCCGTCAGGCCCCGGATCTACTTCCTGGGGCGGTCCAAGGCGTCTGGGGACCGTGTGCGGGCTGAGCTGCAAAAGCTGAATCCAGAAGGAGAATACATCTACATTAGCGTTGACGTTAGCCTGATGAAAGCAGTCGACAATGTCTGCCGCGGGATCAAGAACAATGAGGATGCCATTAATATCCTGTTCCTAACGACAGGAACCATGGTTACCGGGAAAGGTATGTGAGTGGATGGAATCGGGGATCTAGCTATTACCAGGCAGGAAAGAATCAAGACAACCCTGGGGGTACGGCGTGGCATGGGTATGCTTGGCCGCTGGTGGAGGCAAGAAGAGACAAGGAGGACTTGCTGACTGACTTCACCTCATCGTAGACACTGACGAGGGGCTCAACTACCCGGCCGCCGTGACATTCTACGCGCGCATGCGCTTCATCGTCAACCTCCTGCCACTGGTGCGGAAAGCTACTGACCTCCGCCGCGTTGTCGCCGTCTTCGCCGCGACCAAGGAGGGCCCGGTCGATACGGGGGATCTGCAGGGCCACAATGTCCAGCTGTTGTCGCAGCGCGGCCACTTCAGCTCCATGACGACTCTCGCTTTGGAGGCCATCGCGGAGAAGGCCCCTGATGTCTGCTTCATTCATGACTTCCCGGGTTCCGTCAAGACCAACCTGGGAAAGGAGGTCAAATCCGCGACGATGATGGTCATGAAGGCCGTCTTCAAGGTCATCGGCCCGTTTGTCTTCCTCAATTTCGACGAGGCCGGCGAGCGCCAAGTGTTCTTCTCGACGAGCGCTCGCTTCCCTCCGAGAGCTCGAGGCGACGAGGATGCTGCTGCTGCTATCGCGGCTGGGGTGCCATTGCCACCGGGCGTCGGGGTCGCGCGAGGGACGGATGGCAATACCGGCAGCGGCGTGTACTCGATCAACATCGACGGCGAGAGCGCGCCACCCAAGGTCGAGCAGCGGTTGGCCAAGATGAGAGAGGATGGCACATTGCAGAAGGTGTGGGCTCACGTCGAGGAGGAGTTTGTTCGAATCACCGGCGCTGCGGCTATGTCTGTGTAGGCTCACCTGCAGCTCTGTCGTGACTTACTTTCATCTTCTCTCCTGGCCGGCTCAACTGTTCGTCCGTCCCCGGCTCGCAATTGTTATAGGAGGGCGGCATGCACTGCATATCTCATCCTTCACAAAGTATTCCTTTCCGGCTGTCTTGTGTTTATTTCTATAGCTGTTAGCTATCCGGGTAAGGCTGCGCCGTGCTGTGTGATGTCATACTTAAGCCAGACCATGACAGGGGCCGACAGCCTTATTTAGAGAGGAGATTCTATCAGACCATACTTGGACTGGCTATCTTGACCGGGCATACCAAGCTATACTTGACGGGTGAGATATCTACGCTATAATATTGAGGATGTGGAATTACAATAAGGCGTAGTACCGCGTCTCGGATACCAACCCATCCATCCTCCCATTCGTTCCCTCGGATCTTTCGGCCTTGTTAACTGATCTTGACACACCTTCGCGTTACCTTAGTTTTGACCATGCGTGCGCTTGCCCACGAGAGTAAAAGCTCCCACCATCCAAGTGCCCATCCTTCTCCGGACCGCGAGACACTGCACCAAGGGGCCTGTTATTGTCGATCCGGCCTGGAAAGCTGGTCATTCAAGTTCGCATTGCTCGTCCTCGAGGCACCTACTGCTGTACTAGTAAGCTAAGGTTTGACCTAACCTAACTACCTACAGTATTATTAGGTGCTACGGGGGAGTTCGACTGCTGGCTGATCTCCGGCTGAATACTCGTCTTCTCCAGCTTGTTCAATTTGTTGGGTGGAAGAGATAGAGCGACAGACTGTCCAAGACCTAACCGAATATTCCAACTCCTGTGCCACTCGAGCCTTCTGTTTCTCGCGCCGTCCCACGAAGCCGTTTGAGTCGTTCTACAACAAACAAAAGCGAGGTCATCAGATGGATGGATGGTGTGCCGCGGCACTGCTGCCCCAGTCAAGGCACGCCGCACACCCCGTAGTACTAGTTACTCGCTAAGCGGGCCACTCCACTCTCCCCGGGAACTGATACCCCGAACTCGTGCAAGATACTGTACCGAGCAAGCACTCCCAGTCTGTCTCCATCGAGAGCTCCATGAAAGTGACCCTCGTCACTACTGCAGAGCCTAACCAGCCCGCTTCAAGTTGCTAAGTGGATACATGGGCGATGGACTCTGCACAGGCTGCTTCAAGCTCTCCGTTTGATCGGTGCAAGTCGTCTCGTCCCCATTGGTTATTCAGTAGTGGCCTTCTCGCTTGTGTTATCAGGATTTGTCGAACCGGCTCAAAATGCTGTTTGGAACCGTCCCTTTAAATAAATTGTATAGACAGTGTCTTGAAACACAGGACCAGTTAGGGTCAGGACCGACTGTTGTGCGGCACAAAGCAGAGCGATTATCCGAGCAAAGTTCAAGACTCCGTGCTCCTGTCCCGCTTACTAAGGTACCCTATCCTCTTATCAGGGTTGAGCTCCGTGCCGCCATCCTTTGTCAGACACGGGGAGAGCTAAAGTAATATAAGTAGTTAAGCGAGCTAACGACTGGTTTGTTGTACCCTACCAGTAGTCGCCCTGAATAGACTGATACGGCCGTGTGTTCCTGTTCGTGTTCACGGTCAGCCGAGGCCCGACGTTGTAGTTCCTCATCCACTGTGCAGTGGTCACAAATGAAGGAGCTGGGAGTCATATGTCGCGCTCTCATTTCATTCTCCCCCGAGAGAGGCTGTAGTTCAGTCTTGCCGAATAGTATAGTTTGCCATGTCATCGTGGCACCCTGACAGGGGGGGTGGAGTGTGTGTCCGTGAAGGTGCTGGGGTAGGCATGTCTAAGGTAATAGCACGTCTCTTTTTGTTCTGGAATACTGGCATCAAATGGCAGCGGATGGATAGTCGAGATCATTGCATCCACGCTCCGGTCCGCTGCGCTCCTATGTGTCGCAAATGTTCGCAACTTGGACTTGTCCCGGAGTAAAATAGGTCGTGTCGACCGCTTCGGTTGGAACGGTGAGTCGGCCAAGGAGCTATCCATCTATCAAGCACTGAACGTTGTTGGCTCGTAACTGGGCACAGTATATCGCGGCTCTTTTCGGCGGTTGTTTTGTATGCTTCTTCAAATCCCGGGCACCCCGTGACTGGAAGGCTGTGAGGGTTAGAGGCCCATCTGCTGGAGGTGGACTGGTTCTTCACAGGTGTAATGTGATGCCCTTCCGGTTCTGGCATGATATCGGACGGGCCATTTACATAGTCAGGCAGGAAGGAGGCAACATGTTTTCCTTCTGGTTGAATTTCATCCTTCTTCCGACGCAGCAATTTCCTCCGACTTCTTCAACCTCTTAACGAAGAAGAAGTGGCCTCTCTTTCTGCTTTCGTTGCCCTCGACACCCAGCTCAAACGGCTTTAGGATCCGATCGTCCTGGCGGTCCGGGATACCTTTCTCCGGATGCGCGGACAGTTTCCGGGGGAATTCCTTGCTCCAATCGACGGGGGCCTTGCGTCTCCGTATTGTTCCATTGACGCCGACCTTGTCCTCCATTTTTAGGAAGTCTTGGACCGACTCGAGCGTAAATTCGCTCCGTTGTCGTGCTTCCTGCGTCTCGTCGCGCAGGGACACCAGCGGTTCCACGCCCGTCGTGTCGACCTTTTGGATCTCCTTGACGAAATGCAATTGTTGCTGTAGTGTTCGAAGCATGCTCGTCTGCTCCGCTTCGGTTCTCGGCGGCGGCAGCGCGGACAGACGTAGGAGGTGGTGGAGTTTGGAAGGTGTGATTTCGAACTGGTCGACTTCTTTCGGCTGAGCATCTGACGATGCTTTGTCTTTCTTGCTCGAAGCCTTCTTCTCAATATCTCCGGAGCGCAGCCCGCCCGGTTGCGTAGAAGTGCCAGTGGATGAAGGCCCGGCCTGCGGCGGCGGCATGAGTGAAGAGACCGACCATGTTGGGTTTCTTAGGAGAGATGCGATCTTGGGGTTGATTTCGATCGACTTGACGAGCCGTAATAGCTTATCGCGTTCAGGACTTGCCCCTGGTCCCGACAGTTCTGTCCGAATCGTCAATGCGCCCCTCGTGATGCGAGGCATGGTCGCTCCTCAGCGAAGGCCAAAGGAACCGCCTCCGGTATGTGACAGCTTTGGTGTTTGCTCACATAGACGTAGAGTCTGAATCTGAATCAACTTAGTAGGATAGAAGCATAGCTGCGGGATGTTTATCAGTTCAGACTCATGGGATCATTGTGAGAGCCGGAACAGACTGTTAAAGTTGCTGGCATTGAGTGACATTGCAAGTTGTCGTTCAAGTTGTGTTGATTAAAGCGGCAACACGGGTCTCCTCAATAACGCGGTGGCCGCTTTGCCTGCGCATCAACTCCAACGTGGCTCGCTGACGACGGGACCCCAGTTCATCAAGGCAACTCAAGTCACCCCGTCCGTCGTCTATACACTGATTGATGCGTATTACCTATTTCATACAACTACACGACTGCAATTGAGGTAGACGACGACAAAAATCTAATCATACCCGCGTCTGTTGCCGGCCCGCTTCTTGCCCCGCGCTTTGTCCCTTCCAAGGCATTGACCGAACCGCCGGCGATTCTCAAAACGATTGATCCAGCCGACGTCTAATTCATACCACCTGCTTCTACTCCTCCCTTTGTTCTGCAATCCCCGCGGAACCATACAGAGTACAACGGCACAGCCATGGCGCAAGATCCTCGAGCACTATTGCAGAAAGCCGACAAGGCGGCCCAGGGAGCCTCAGGCGGCTTCAGTTTCTTTGGCGGCCGGACCGAGAAATGGGAGAACGCCGCGGACCTGTATACACAAGCGGCAAATGCATTCCGGGTACAGAAACAAAGTAAGTAGTGACTAAACCACTGTCTGGTTTTAGGGCTATGCATATGCTATGCCCTGTCCAGCCACATACATGTCTATGTATACCCATGGACGCCCCGCCTACACCCTTCTGAGATATGGCCATTGACCAATTGTCGACAGACTATGAAGCCGGACAAGCATTTGAAAAAGCCGCCTCGATACAACAAAGCAAACTGAACGAGCCGGACGACATGGCCAACACTCTGACCGAAGCATTTAAAGTATACCGCAAAGACTCGCCGCAAGACGCGGTGCGGGTTCTCGCGGCCGCGATTTCGCACTACACGACCAAAGGCAACTTCCGACGGGCGGCCACGCACCAGCAAAACCTGGCCGAAGTGTACGAAATGGAACTGGGCGATCAGAAGAAAGCCCTGGCCGCCTACGACACAGCGGCGCAATGGTACGAAAGCGACAACGCCGAAGCTCTTGCCAACAAGCTATACCTCAAGGTCGCGGACCTGGCCGCCCTCGAAGGTGACTACCAGACGGCGATTGCCAAATTCGAGGCCGTGGCCAAGTCTTCCCTCAACAACAACCTCATGCGGTGGTCCGTCAAAGATTACTTCCTCAAAGCCGGCATCTGTTATCTGGCCGCCGGCGACTTGGTCGCCACGAAGCGTGCCCTGGAACATTACCGAGAATTGGACAATGGATTTGCCAGCTCGCGCGAAAATCTGTTGTTGATGGACCTGGTCACCGCCGTCGAGGAGGGCGATCAAGAGTCCTTTGCTGACAAGCTGTTCCAGTATGACCAGTTGAGCAAGCTGGACAAGTGGAAAACTACCTTGTTGTTGCGCGTCAAGAATGCTATTGAGAAGGAGGAAGAGGATTTCTCGTGATTGATGGCAACAAAAACAGAATCATGGTCACCTAACTGCTGATCAGCAAGATAGGCCCTGCCCAGTTCCGGCTTGAGCACCACTGACTTCGTCCGGCTCGGCTCGGCTTGGCTCCAATGCCTCCATGTGGTTTTGAATGGTTTCGGATGCGATGGCGCGTCCGACAGAAGAAAGCTTTGGGGATGGACAATCAAATCTATGATAACGTAGGAGTCATCGTTCATCCATTGGCGTTTGTTTTGTGGGCCTGTCATTCGGGACAGATGGGATGGTCGGGCATTATGCCCCTGGCACGATGATCACTAGTAGATGGAGGAGCTTCAGTTGTTACTACTTAGTAGGTATTGACAGACAGCGCTGGTTGAACCATGTTGACATTCAAGTCCGACTGTTCTACTTAATACCTACCTAGAGAGGACGGAGTAGGGGAGGACAGGCCGCAGCGAGGCCAAAAGCAAACCAGTTGCCTGAAGCTTTCAAAGTGTTACACTGGTCTACAGTGTTTTAGTACTCTGACATCCTAAGGTGGAACTTGACGCCGGTATGTGGCCCATACAGTAAATCTTTTCTTGCTCAATAACATCCAGAGGATTGATGCATTGTCAATCCGATTCTTTGTCCAGGTCCTGCTCATCCATGCATAAACATGAGGACGAATGCTCTTACTCTCCCGGCCGTGAGTAGTAGTAGGTAGGTACTTTATCTAAAGACGGACACCTCATTCATGCTCTTCATAGCAACGCCATGCATGCCATGCATTGGGATGGCTAGGCTGTCCGTCTGTTTGTGCGGCTTGATTTCCAATGCCGATGCCGTACCGATGCTGGTTGTTAAAATGCACATATGTACGTAGAGAGGACATCATTTTGGGACTGTTTTCCAAGGGCTGTATCGAACACACCCCTTCGGTGATTTATACCCTCCGAAAAAGGCCCACTGCAGTTATGAGAGGGGGTAACAGGTTTATCCACACTCTTGGCCTTGTAGAAATATTGACCTAACCGTGATTTCTGTCTGGTCTCTTAACACCATGTGAAGACGGGTTTTTTGCTCTTGACCGTCTCCAACCTCTCGACAATGACTTTCCGCTTATGTTGTTCCATGTCGCTGGCGGCGGCGTAGCCCAAGTCGCCTTCTAGATCGTCGCCCTCATAAAAGATTTGCGGCTGCTTGCCGCTGCGGGTGGACAACGACCGCTGGCGTTTGGAACTACTTGACTTTGAGTGATGAGAAGGCGGCTCGCCACCACGTCGGGGGAACTCGAAGCTGAATCTGTTCTTCCCGCCGCCCCTGGCACTAGGCCGGGCGGGGAGGGCGGCGGGCGTGGTGTTGTTGCCTAAGCTGTTCCTTGCTTCTTTGGCATAGTCTGTGGCATCGAAGAGCGGCATGTTGTTGTTATTATTGACGGGGGGACTGCTGGGTCCCAGTCCCTCTTCGTCAGGGCCAGCCCCAGCGGCAGAGGCAAGATCGGCGCCACTGTCCTCCCGTGTCAGGTCGAACCGGTTGGGATTCGGCAGGTCCGGGGTCAATGACCCCAAGAGATCATGTTGCGGCGCCGGCCTTGCCGCGGGTGGTGCAGATGCATAGGATGCTCCAATGTCCATTTCTTCCTGTTGTGGATCGTACCGGTGATGGGCGCGGCGGCTCATTTCAGTCGAGGGCATCCGCATCGGTATCGCCACAGGTACGTCGACCAGATCGTCCCAGACACAGACCCTGGTCCTTCTGGTCAGCTCGAGTGGTCCGTGGTCGTCCTGCTTGAGCGTCTCCACGACGTTCCACGCTTGGCCTTTCATGACCGCAATCTGCCGCGCGAACATGCTCTCCTTGAAGTCGGCGTCCAAGGAAAACACCCTGCGCAGAGCGAGCTGCGTTTGACTCCACCATGCTGTGGAGGTGAGAAGAGGTAGGAAATGCTCTCGAGTCTTCTTTGAGAACGGTTGTCCGATTAAAGAGACGGGGAGGAAGAGCCAGCCAAAGGGAAAACTCCGCCACTGCAATCCATGGTTAGTAGATACTACAGAATAGGATCTGAGAGTACGTACGGCATCCGGATGTTTCCATGGCCACGACAGACTGTTGTCAATGGCCCCGATTTTTATCGTGAGGTTGTCGTCTCGGGCATTTGAAGGAGTGCCGGACCGGCTCTCCATGGCCTCGTATCGACGATAGGGCCTCGACGTGTTCGATTCAGGTCGCCCTGGACTCACTGATTTCGGTCGAGGTGTGGCATCACCGTCTTGGCCCGCCTTGCCGTTGGGCTTTGGCGGTTCTACAACAAGAGTGACATCCTCCTTCTTCCAGTCAATCTTGATCATCCAGTTATCCAAACCCCGGTCAGTATTGCGCATAATATAATCCAAAATGACCAGCTTTTCCAGCTCCTCTCGGAAAAGCTGTTTTATCCTTGGGGTCCAGTGAAATCTGGGTGTCTGTTCAGGGGGAGGTGATAATACTCTGGGTGTTTCGTCGTCATCCGACGACTGTCCGCCACGGGCAGGGAAGCAATTGGACAGAGGCCTTCTCTTTCGCGTGTGTTCGAGATCCGCCCGGAACTCAGTGGCCTGGTCCGGCCAGGGATGCTCACGAAGGAATATGTTTGCGTCCTTATACCCTTTCAGGAAAACTTGGAAACTGCCCACTTTCGCGGGTAAGCTCTTCTTTCCGCCCCAGGTGCTTCTTCGCTCCCAAAAGTCGTAGTAGAAGGACTTTGAAGACAACCAGACCACGTCCGTATATGGCACCAGGTGCGTCCGCAACTGGCAGTCGAGAACATATGCGGCCGCCTCGGAAACATAAGACAAGTTGGGGATAAGGCATGCCCGGCCGAAGAAGAAGGGGAACAGATTCCGGTGTATCCATTTGGTCCACTTTGGATTCCTCGATGCATATGGCTCTTCATCTTTGGGTTTGAAAACCCCCACGACTTTTCCTTGGCTGTTTCGCGCAAAGTAACTGCCTGAGCTGCCCTGAGAGATCATTTTGGGATGGACTCCTTGTTCGATTGCCACCCTCACACTTTCCACAATCGCGTCAAACTCTGCCTTGGTCATGCGTTGCGTCTCCGAGGCTTCATAAGCAGCCAGCTCTTCCGCAGTATAAGGATGGACTCCCGGTGGGGCTTGAAAAACTGAATGGTGAATCTCCAATTGTTCTTCATCCTGCGTCTTGCCCTTGACTGAATTGATCTTGAATTTGGAGGCGATTTCCTCCGCCCATTTTTCTAACCGAGCATTTATCGCTTTGATGTCTACCCCGGACGAGTTACTCCTCATCCGTCTCGAGGCTCGTCTTCGATCGTAAGGCCCGGGGCGCATGTGCTCGCGCGGGCCAGGCTGAATTGAAGCATATCGAGTACTTAATGGGGTGTTGTTGTAGGTCTCATCGCCAGAATCTTCGTCGGCGAGTGGCCCATCTTCTTCGTCTGCTTGTGCGAGGCGGGCATAGCCTGAGGTTCCTCGATGACGAGGCATGGTGTTTTGATCTAGGGGGCCCTGACTGGGCGTGCGCTGGACGGTCTGATGATGCCTACATGCCGCGGTAGAACGATATTCAGAGCTGGAAGATGTCTGCGGCGGAAGGATCTAGCGTTGTCGCCTCGTAGAACATGTAAAGAATTCTAGGATTTTGTGCCACGTACGAGAAATGATTCAGACCACGACTCGGGCGGCCTGGACTGCAATGATGTCTCAGTAAGGAGGTTGCGGAGTCCTCATTGGTGGATAGACCGGTACGGCAGAGCACCTACGGCTGTGATGCTATCAATTAAACAGGCCCTGAACGACTGGTCCAGCCTTTCTCAACACCCCCCCTTTCTTTGTCCTTTAGGGTTCCGATTTCTCCGAGATCTCGGAACACCTCTCGGTCCGGTCAAAGGATGTGAAGCAGTTGTGCAGTCCGAGTCGCGGCGCTGTCACTGCCACTGTCTCATTCTTTTTACTCTTTCGTTGTACAGTAATGCCAGCCTTGAGTAGTCTGCGATGCGTGAGATCAAAGCCACACCTACCAGCCACAGCTGTGGCGCCAATCCGGGTCCAAATCTTATCGCGTTCGAGAAAGACGCGGCTGTCAATCTCGGGACACGGGGCCTTGATCTACGTTGACGCGTGACAGGCCTCATGGCCACTTTATTTCAGGGGTGAACGCCGTGTAAGATTGTGAGGCTCTTATGTCAGGTCTATCTCGAGCTGACTAGCATCGCGGGAGAGATAACTGTTAATCGTGACAGCTGCCATAATGGCTTAACGGAATCATCTTGTACTGCCATTCTCCAAATTTGACGCATACACGACTCTTGTGCAATCGCCCAGCGTCCATCGCTGCCCGTCAATTATCGATTGACGAGCGCGTAGAAACCCCGTCGATTCATCCGATAGACTAGACTGATGGGGCCTTCTGTGATAGCACAGCCGCGGTGAGAAAAAAAGGGAGGCGTACTTTTCGGTAGCCCGATCCCCACCGCGAGATTAGACAATTTCTTTTGCTTCCCCAGGTTTGCGAAGCGCCGAATCAGCGCCAACTACGGATCGCAGTTCGAGCCTGATAACCAGTTATACTGATTTATGTTCATGTCGCCTTCAGGAATTTTGAACGTTGTACTAGTCATGATATCAGTCGTGGGCACACCAATGCATGACCAGATATCCAACTGGCCTGGCAAACTGGGCCCCGGATTGCTCTAACTCTTGTACAACGTCAGGAAGTCCACATATCGACAGACGCGTCTCAGCTTAACCACGGCGCAATTAGACATCGCCACTTAGCCTGACGGGCGGGACCAATATTCTCCTTGCCCTAGGATGAATCCGTATTGGGTACAAGCAAAACCCGCGGACTTCCCGCCTATCGATACTCGATACTCGATACTCGATAACCGTTCTCTGTACCCTCACTGATCAGTCTTGCGAGACGTCCACTCCTTTCTAAAAGTGCCTTGTAATTGTTTCTTCTTTTCGCGCCTGGTTGTCGGCGGCATTCTTTTTCTGCATCAGCTTGATATAATTCTGTTCTTCGACTCACAATAATCACCTCCGCCCGCTTCATCTTTCCGCTGAGACCACGGTCAGGTCTCGAAGACATCGAACACGGCTTCCGCAGTCGCTCCCCCGCTCTTCCGGGCACCGCCCTTTGACCCTTCATACCGACCACCGTCCACGCCAGTACACGACTCGAGGCTTCGAGAATATCACCCGTCGAGCAGGGATTACCAGCGAGCGCCTTCGCCCCTACCGCAGTCGGGGGGCTTCGGCGGGAACATTACACGACCGTCCTCGACCAGTCTCCCTGGGACGGGCGATCTCTTCTTGCGCGGCCACGAAATTCCCCCACGAAGTTCGAGTGACAATGCTGGCAGACAATACCACTCAGAGCCACGACCAGCCTTGCCAGGCCTGGCGACACTGACGTCGCTCGCCGGGTCCGCCCCGCCGATCAGGTACGCTGTTTTTGCAAGGACATTTGTAGCAGAAGCAGGGGGACGTTATACTGACCTCGGGACTTTATATCATAGGGTCTTCTCAGGCAGCTATGCATCACCAACGCCTATGGGTTATAACAGCATGATGGCAGCGGTTCCGACACCCGGGATCGCAGGGAATACACCGGTACGTATAGTCATTTCCACGAACACTGTGAGATGGAGGATCCCCTTGCGATGAAATACCTGTGGTTAAAGACACCGTTCCGTTTCTACCTGCCACTTCAATCACAAGTCATACGGTATCTGCCAGCGGCAGTGGACTCTCGGAACGTCGAAGCGCAGTTGAGCGCCAAGCCACAGTCACGAGACCAGCGTTGAATTCGATTTGGAAGTCCAGCCTGAGTCAGCCACGAATCGGTCAGCCACACAGGCACTGCGCTGCACGCTGATTGACCCAGCCGCGGATCATAATTCGGGCTGCTTATCTTTTATCGCACGCATTGGCCGTCCATGTCCGCAGCTTCAACTTCTCGCACTTCTTTATCTTATCGCTGTGTCTGGCCCTTTGCAATCGCAATCGCATATCGGAGTCGTTACCTTATCACTATATCACAATCGATAACTGATTCCTCCCTTACTTTTTGTCCCTTCTTCTCTCCCGCCACGCCAGCCAACCATGGCTGCATCGTTGACTGGGACTGACCATAATCTACCCTTTTCACAGCCTGTATGTCAAAATTGTCAGACTTCTACTACGCCGTTATGGCGACGCGACGAAGCCGGTTCTGTTCTTTGCAACGCCTGCGGACTTTTCCTCAAACTTCACGGCCGCCCTCGGCCGATCAGTCTCAAGACGGATGTCATCAAGAGTCGCAATCGAGTCAAGACATCCAATCAAGGTCCTAAAAAGAAGGTAAGTTGTGTCGCGAAGTTCGCGGGCGCCAGTGCCAGGGCTGATATGTTGCAAGTTGGACCAAAATGGCCTTCCTGCCCACAATGGCCTTCCGGCCGCACAGTCGGATCTTACCACACCCCCAAATGGGACCAATGCGCACCGGCGCGTCTCACAGATGGCCGCTTCGGTAGCCTCTGATCGGTCGCATTCACCCATCTCACGGACAGGAACGCCCGGTGCCCATCATGATCCTAACATCGCACCACAACACCTGTTCGACGGCGTAGCTGCTACAACTGATCATCATTTCACCAACGGCTCTCCTTCCCTTCCCCCCATCAACCAACCCTCGCCGAACGCCGCCTCGCTCAACAACGAGCGACATCCTGAACAACCCATGACCTATGAGCAGCTTGTGGCTGCCAACACCAACCTTCGAACCCGAGTGTCGGAACTGGAAGTCATCACGATGGTATATTCCGACAACGAGAATAACATTCGCAAGGAGCGCGACAGAGCCATTCGAGAACGAGATGAGTTGAAGCGGAAAGTGGAGGAGTTACAGATGCAGTTAAAAGCAGTCAATGACCGGGGTCAAGAGCGAGAGCGGGAGCAGCAGCAGGAGGACCAGGAGCAGAAACATGAACAAGAAGAGCAGCGACCTACCAAAAAGCCTCGTTTGTCGTCGAACGAACCGCAAGGATGAATGAGTGACATGATGGTTTGCGATGGACCGAATAATTGTATGGTCATCGCCATGATACCCAGGTGCAGGATTATTTCGGTGTTGTTATGGAACTTGAAGTGAATGGTACGGCGTGCCAGAGTGTAATACTTAATATGGCCATGAAATGATTTGTGCCCGGCGTGGATAGTTCGGCGAATGCACAAACAAAAGGTACAACAGGTAGCAATTGGATGACAGCGGTTCCACCAGCATACCTCTGCCTTCTTGTCCGGACAAAGTTGTCATAATACTCTGTAGCGCCGCGTTCGGTGCTGGTGTTTGTCACCAGCTGGAGCACTTGAATGATAGCTAGGCATGGTCTCCAAGAGTTGCTCTAATCACCGTTCTGTTTATAGGCTGAGGCTGTCTTAGACAGGAACCCGTAATGTCGAACAGCAACGTACAGTCGTGGTATATTCAACTACCTACCAGGTAGGAAAATAAGGTAGGTTCCATGATATAGTACGGATCCGAAACTTACAACACTGTAGGTACAACGCGTGGGCTTGACCAGAAGTGTGGGGACGGGAAGATTACCGTGGGTTCACCAATAATGAATGGTACCCGACGCTGGCTGTTCAGCCGATCGTGTTCATTGTAGGGAATATGCCACTGGCGGTGCTATAAGGTGCAAAGGTTGATGAACCGCAAGCCCGGGGAGCCGGCGGTTCTCAGCCAGTTACTGGTACTGACACACTGTTCTTTAAGCGACGGGGCCATCGCCCAAGTGGTTCACCCAGAATCTCCCCGCATCAACCCCGGGTCCGGTTAGCTGCCGGTCCCTCTCGTCAATAGTTAGCACCGCACAGCGGTGGCAGCGCAGGACCACCGGCGGCCCCTTAGCCCCAGCCTTGCGGGAGACAAAGCGGCGCCCGCGGAGTGCAGCCCCAGCACCATCACTGGCAACAGACGTTCAAGGGTTCAATAGTACTACAGTATTATTACTACCTATAATAACAGACCCAGCCTCGGCAGCCTTTCTCTCAGATTCTACTTCTATATCTTCATTTCTCTTTGCAGTGCTGTGTTATTGATACCCCGTACGTACTGTACAACGTAACCTTTGACAAACACCCCGACCCCGGTTTTCCTCCCCCGGGTTTTCTGCCCCCTTCCCCGGCCAAAGATCGGCATTCCAACCTCGGCATGACGACGACCAACAAATCTTCCTCCTCCCACGACGACGCCGTCGCATCGGTGCCGGTGTCACCACTGCGGCGACCGGAATCATTCAACTTTGCGCGCGACGTGGTCGATTACTGGGCGGCCAAGGATGCCTCACAGGTAGCGCTGTACTGGACGGACCAGCACCTGACGACCTCGAAGCAATTCACATACCGGCACTTTTCGGAGCGATCGCACCGGGTGGCTACGCTGCTGCAGTCATTAGGTCTCAAGCAGGGCGACATTGTGATCATTATTGCGCCACGGGTTCCGGAATGGTGGGAGATTGCGACGGCGTGTCTGCGGGCCGGAATTGTGCTGTGTCCCTGCACGACGCTGCTGGTGGACAAGGACATTGAGTACCGGCTGCAGGTTTCGGACGCGGCGGCGTTTATAGGTGACGAGACGTCAGTTGCCAAATGCCTGAAGGTAAAAGACAAGTGTCCGAAACTGCGGGTGATTGTACAGCTTGAAGACAACAACAAACCGTTGGCGAAAGGAGTGGTAGGCTACCATGGCGAACTGGCGAAAGTCCCCGCGAATTCTATGGTCGACGTGCCCAGCACGCTCAAGGCGACATCTCCGGCCTTGATCTTCTTCACATCTGGCACGACGGGTCCGCCCAAGATGGTGCTGCACACGCAGACGTCGTATCCGCTGGCGCACGCGCTGACGGGGATGCACTGGCTCCAACTGTCCCGGGGCAAGGTATACTGGAACCTATCGGAGCAAGGATGGGCGAAAGCGGCGTGGTCGTTCTTCTCGTCGTGGAACTGTGGCGCCACGCTGTTTGTGCACGACGACCGGCTGACCTTCAATCCCCGCCGTACCCTGGAGGTCTTGCACAAGTTCCCCATCACCACCCTGTGTGCCCCGCCCACCGTGTACCGGCAGCTGGTGCTGGACGAAAGTCGCCGGTTCTTCGCTAGCCCGGAAGGCCGTCCGCGCGCCCTGGTCCACTGCTGCGGCGCTGGGGAGCCGCTCAACGAATCCGTCATCCGGGTCTGGAAGGACATGACTGGCGGCATTGAGATCTTCGACGGCTACGGCCAGACCGAGACCGTGGTGGTGTGTGCCAACCAGAAACAAAACCCCGTCAAACCCGGGAGCATGGGCAAACCCCTCCCTGGGGTCCCCTTGACCGTCATCGACCCGGACGGCAACGTCACAAAGGACGACGAGGAAGGTGATATCGCCATTGCCGTGTCTGACGACAAAGAGTCGTCCTTCTTTGGCATTTTTGAGGGGTACATTGATAAAAAGACCGGCAAGCTGGACAACAAAATCCGCCGCTTTGCCAATGGTCGCAAATACTTTATCACCGGCGACCGTGCCAGTCGTGACAAGGACGGCTATTTCTGGTTCGTCGGCCGGAGCGACGATGTTATTAATTCCAGTGGTTACCGAATTGGTAAGTCGAATAACCCCTAGGTGATTCAACAACATAAAAGACATGGGATTGCCCCTATATTGCCTTGCCTAGCCCAGCTAACCACCGCAACCCGTTCATTGTAGGTCCCTTCGAAGTCGAATCCACCCTCAAACTACACCCGGCGGTGGTCGAATCCGCCGTCGTGGCCTCGCCGGACCCGCAACGCGACGAGGTCGTCAAAGCATTCGTCGTACTAACTGACGCCGCCGCTTCAAAAGTCGCTTCGTCCAGCCAGGTTCACGACGCCCTCATCAAGGAGCTGCAGGAGTTTTGTAAGGAGAACGCCGCCCCCTACAAGTATCCGAGGAAAATCGAATTTGTGCCCGCCAGTTTCTTGCCAAAGACCATCAGTGGCAAGATCAAGAGGGCCGAGTTGAAGCAGTTGGAGAGAAAACGGTACAGAGAGAGCCAAGGGGCAAAATTGTAGATGAACATATATAACACATTCTATATTATATTTTTATACTCTGTGTACGAGATACTAGCAGTATCAAATTCATGTTTGCATACCTTTTTGAACATTTGTTTGCTTGCATACTAGTAGTACAAGTACCCACCCAAAGGTTCGATCAAGGCTGTCGTCATGCCGGAAGAGAGATTGGACTGGTGTTGTGGTTGGTTCGCCTCGAGATGTTCGCTTGGACCTTATCGGCAGCCTTGCATTGTCCATCCGGAGAAATGCGCCGCCACGGCCTAAGCCAACTTGAACACCAACACCAACACCAATGATGTTGATCATAGCAGTTGATGTCATGGCGTCGTTCGCGACTATTATGCTGATACGGAGTCGACGTCGACGTACAGGTAGCTCTTTAACTTCGGGTTTGTTTTCCCTGCTCGGGGATCCGAGGTAGTATAACCAGACCCTGGATTGTCTGGGAATACCATACCAGGACCTGGCGGAAGTACTGTCCTGCCGTTGTGGTAGGGAGAAGTCGGCTCACTCACTCACCCCTGGATGGATATATCGTGTAGAGACATTCCTCGAATCTTCAACACCATGATGGGAAACGCATTGTTATCGCATGCACAAGAACCAGAGCAAAGACCGCTTCTACTCCCAACCGCCACGTGCGGTCGGACACCGAATTCGCCAAACACCCAGGACAGTATCAAGAATCCTGAGCATGAGCACGGTCACGCCGCCTCGGAGCACTATGCCTTTTCGATACTCAGGCTCGTGGCCGTCATGTCGAATTTCCTGGTGTGTGGGGTCGTTGTGACAGGGATCGGTGTGAGTACCAGTCCAGTGTGCAACATGCCGTTTGTTGCTTTTTGATATCGTCTGGCTGACATGATATAAATAGGTACTATTGCCTGATGTGAGTCGGTTTTTCCTTTTCGCTATCATAGCCGAGTTCGTCCACCATTGCGCCGACATTTAACCATGCCTACGCGTACTAGATCAGCACATTCTACCATGTCAAGGATGGTACGACGGCACTCATCTTCCCCACCGGCGTGACAGGCTACGTGTGCGCAAGCGTCTTCGCCGACCACGTCCATGGCCACCTTGGTCGTCGAGGAATTGCATTTCTGTCGCCAGCATTCCGCTTTCTTGCCATGGGAATCCTGGCCACAGGGCCTCCGTTCAGCATCGCCCTGACGGGATACTTCTTGATGGGATTTGGCACGGGTCTGTCTGACGCCGGGTTCTGTGCCTGGGCAGCTAACGTGCCCTATGCCAGTGTTGTCCAGGGCTTCATGCACGGCTCGTACTCTGTCGGGTCGATTTTGGGTCCGGTGCTGGCGAATCTGATGTTGAAGAACGTCCATGAATGGTACGAATTCTATCGAATGACTGTAAGTTAAGTTGACCACCACCACCATCACAACAACAACCACAATCACCTCCACCTCCCACTGCATCTATTTGTTGACAGTTAAAAAGGGTGTCCTCCTCCTAGTGGAGCTCGTGGTCCTCGTCCTGGCGTTTCGTCTGGACCATGCCGTTCCAAGAAGCGAAAGCCCTAAGGAGCAGGAACTTGAACTCCAACAAACTGGCCATCTCAAAACCAACAATGCTCTGCGCCATCGAGCAACCTGGATTTGCGGAGCCTTTTGCTTCTTCTACGTCGGACTTGAAGGTAAGACCAAGACCAAGATCACTGTCAGCAGACGGATGCTGCACTTCATCACATCCCCCGAAACGAAGGATCAAAGATCATGTCATGTCATGTCATGTCATATCACTAACGTAGCACCCAGCTTGTTTCACCGACTGGATCGCCGTCTTCATGCAGCGCGCTCGACACACCGACCCCACCACCTCGTCGCTCGCCACATCCATGTTCTGGATCGGCATGGCATCCGGGCGATTCATTCTGGGCCCTCTGTCAGGATTCATCAGCATCAAACTGGCCGTGGCAGGCTACCTGGTAGTGTTGATGGTTCTACAAGTCCTGTTTCGAATCTTGACCACTGGGACCACACATGCCAATGTCACGGCTTCGCTCGTTCTTCTGGTCGGGAGCGGCCTCGTCTGTGGACCCATGTTCCCGTCGGCCATTTTGTTGTTGTCGTCCAAATTACCGGTACCACCCGCTGCACAGGTCGGGGCGGTGGCGGCCGTGTCGGCGTTGGGCCAGATCGGCGCGGGAATCGCCCCGTATGCAGTCGGCGTCGTGGCCGACAGGCTGGGCATTCAACAGTTGCTCAACGTCATTGGGGCACTGGCTGCGTTGACGCTGGTTGTGTGGGCTGTGTTTGCAACGTTGCCTGAGAAGGCCAACTTGAAGAAGCCTGATTCGGAGGTCCAAGTTCGTCGAAGCGGCTCGCCGGATCGTGAGTCGGCTGAAGACGAACTTGAAAGGAAACGTGTGTATCGGGCTGTATAGCACCAGGCTACCCTGGTACGCAAGCTAGAGGTACTACAGAAGTCAATCTTATCCAGTCCATTCGTGACAATGCTTCTTTTCATTGCGAGCATTGGCTCAGCTCCCTTTCTTTCTTCCCGTGTCCGTGCCCGTGCCCGTGTCCATACTCCATAGCATGCTACGTTTATTCCAAATCCCGTACTAGACCAATCTATCTACCAGTACACTAAGCATCTTCGACCCGTTACACGCCAACCTGGTACTGTCGCAGGATACATTGTTCTTACATTTTGCTTCAATGTTCTCTTCTTCTGAGATAGCCAATTGCCCTCTGTCCCCTACCACTCACGGTGACAATTCAACTGTCCAAGAGAAAACTCTGCAGTGCGGTTTGGTCCGGCCTGATCACAGCCTTGATCGATCGACACCTGACCCATGGGAGTGTGCAAAGTAGCCAAGACTGCCTATGCATCAAACGAGCGTAGATAGCCACCGACGCAACGACGAGATCGATTGCGGTGTTTCCAACGTTCGCTTCACTCCGCTCACTGCCCAGGTAATGTGTGACCGAGACTTCTCGTACTATTGCAAAGTAGACGGAAACCAAAACATCACCCACCAACCCACCACTGAGTCACTGACTGCATTGGATGGGAACAAAAAGGCCAATGAAGGATGCCATGATCATCGGAGCAAGGCTAATTTTGCTGTGCCTCCCTTAGGTCCCGCGCCCGGCACGTCAATTGGCAAAGATCGTGGCTTTTTGAAAGCGCGGGTTTAGAGTTGCTATCTTTTCAGTGGCATATGCAATCTCCCCCGCCTGAGTCTAGGGCATACACATGGTGTTATTCATCCTTGGCTCATGCCTTTGGATTGTTCCTCAAAAGCCTGCTTGTACCTGTCGACGACGTTGGCCAGACTCTTGATGACGGGGCCAAGCAGCTCCCTGACGACGTTGCCGCCGCCCTGAATGGCGCTGTGATCCAAACGATGTCTGCGTCCGGTCTTGCGGAACCGTTCTTCAAGACTGCGCTCCTGGGCTCGGATATGCTCCTGTCTCTCCTTCTCTGCATCATCGGCAATGATATTGATGCGGTCGAGCGCCCTGTTCAAGCTTTCAACTAGTGAAGCCACTTGGTTCGCGCGAGCTGGGTCGCCCGACAAGAATGCATTCCAGAATTGTCGCAGGAACTCGATGGTCGTGGCATGCGTCAGCGTCAGCCGGTCGTAGATGGCCGTGCTTAGTCCCGAGGCGATGGGGATCTGTTTCGTCTGGTCACGGTGTGCTTGGACCAGAGACATGATGTGCTTCATGGCAGCAGACGACCCTGATTCGGGCCGTGCCCCGGCAGAGTCTTCGTCCATCTCGTCATCGTCCGTGGCGTCGTTGGCCTCAATGGGGATCACGCCAGTTCCCGGCAGCGGGAAGTGGCTTGCGATGTCGTTGTAAACATTTTGAATGGCTGCGGTTGGGTTGAGGCCACGAAACGGGTTGTTGTCGTCCGTGGAAGATCGGTTGTTGTCAGAGAAGAAACGGCTTTGGTCCCGGATGTTCAGAATAATCCGATGTTGTTCTGGGTCGCCTGACAGATCGCGGAGGCGAAGCCTCTCGTACTCTGCTTCTGACATACCAATAGGGGCTGAGGCATCGACGTCCGCTGGCCGGACGGAGGCCATCAACTTCTCGCTCAAGGCGTTCAACTTACGAATGATAGGCGCCCTATCCAGCGCTGTGGGTCGAAGCTCGCCGTCCGGGCGATTGCCCTTGCGCTGACTGTGATTTTCTTCGTTCCCTTCCAAATCGATAAATTTGGGTATGTGCAGTTCGGTTGACGTCGGTCGAAGTCCGGTCAATTCGGGGTGGTTAAGAAACTCGTCCGTGTCGAGGTACTTGTCTCGAGATTCTTTTGTCGGATCGAACTTGAGACCGCGAAGTTTCATGTACAGCTGACTCTGGAAGAAGCGCGACCAGAATTCCGTGTCATCTTTGCATCGGTGGGGAACAACCCGATCGTAGATGGTCCTCATGACAGGATACTGCTCGAAGATGGCGCGCACATGATCTTGCGTCAAGCTGAGCTTGGTTCCTCCATCCTCGCGACGTAATTCGGAGAACACGTTGTATTTGCCTCGGCCTTGGCTTTGAGCAATGGCGTGGGCACGTAGAAGATGGACACGGGAGGACCAGAATTGTTGAGTGAACTGCGTCACCGATATCGACTCAGGCTTGAGGCTAAGAGCTTGAATGAATGTCCTCTGCAGGTTCGGGGCTTCCTGCATTAATGACTGCTGTAGTTTGACGTCTGTGATTAACCGCTCGTCATCCTCCCATGAGTTGCTGGTTCCCCCATTTGCTGAGGGAGGGGTCGCCGCCGCCGCAGTCTGAGCCGCCTTCTGTGCCTGGATGGAGCTTGCCAAAGCGTCTTTGATGGCGTTAGCCTCACCTCTAGCATTTTTGGGAGATGTAAATGTGAAGACGTGAGCCACCGGTTCCGCTTGACCGGGAAGCTGCGCGAATATCTTTAACATCACTTTGGCACTCGATTCAGGCGTCTGTTGGAGGTTGGTAATGTTCGCTGCGGATATCACCAACGCCGGAGCCGCGTCGGGTGGTTGTGCTGGAGTCCATGATACCGACTTGCGGTCTTTTGAGATGGCCAGTACGCCGGGTTGTTTCTTATAGGACGCTTGTCCCTGTGGCGGCGCCATAGTTGTCTACCTCTCCGAAACGTCTAGACTGGATGATGGCGACCCGCCCCAAAGACGGACCGAACTGAGACCAGATCCAGTTGACTAAAATTTGCATCGCGCTCACAATGTTTGGGTAGCTTGATCCGAGAGACTGGCCCTCATGCTGAGTGACAGTTCACAAAAAGCCGACGCTACAAATTTGACTGATATCTTTGTAATGCCTCTACAGCACCTTTGTCGCCGAAGTTCGTTGTGACGTGAATGTTGTAGCGCAGGTGAAGATGGCAGGTTTATTTAGTCTAGTAGAACTGAAGAATGATAGGCATCGTCGGGCGTCACCTTCAAGTTGAGCCTGCAGTGCAATGCCTGTTTGGGATGCAAGTGATGCAGCATTTCCGCCAAGTGTTTGGCACCTGCCAATGAAAAGGCGGACAATACGAGCAAGGCTGGCACGTGACAGCACTAGCGCGAGCCTTGCCTCCAGTCACATGTCAGGCTGTCTTGTTGCCTGCTGCATTCATCAACAAGAATCTAGGTACATACAAGTTGTACAGTACTAGTAGCGGCAGGCCGGAACGGTTGCGTCGCATCAGATAAGGGTCTCACCAGCATCATATGCATAAGTTACTGGCTCCTGTACTGTAGATCACAATGGTAATTCTGGCCGGTTCGGGCCACTCTTTTCCCCATCCTTGGATTGTACCGAGGTATGCATCTACACCCCCTTCCTGTAAGAGACTTTTCACAGATCAAAACGCCTACAAAACAAATCAACAAACAACAGTATTGCCATAGTTTCCTAGCTCCGCCCGCACATACAATAAGAATACACAGTATCAGATAGGACATTTAACTAGCCCTGCATTAACTAGCCCTCCACTTTTGCCGTTTCCCACCTCAGGGCACCCTCCATTGTGCACCAGTGCATAATCACAAACTTGAAGTACCCTTGAATGCTGAGCCTGGTGATATATCATGTCGGACTTATTTGTCGAACCGGAATTCTCCCTGGTCGCCCATGTTTTGGGCCTCCTGTTCCATGACACGCTCAATCTCACTCGCAACGCTGAGTACCCAATGGTCCCTTTCGGCGCGACTTCGACACTTGAAGACCATTCCACGGCCGGGGACGCCCAACTGCCCGACCCTACGTAGCTTGGCTCTCGTGTTTCCTCTGCTCCCTCCGGCGCTGTTCTTCGTGTTTGACTCGGTGGTAACGTCAACAGGGCCATCAGATTGTGGTTGGGACTGAGGCTGGGTTTGTTCTTCCGCAACCGCGGCTGCCGTTCGGAACCATCCCTTCTTCCGGTTCATCCAAACCACAAAACAAGTCATGACGTCGACGTCCGCGCTGGTCCATCCATCATCGAGATACACGCGTGGCAGGCTGGCCATACCAGGATGGTTGGCATCGAAGGTGGTGTTCTGATAAAGCAGGTCATCCTCGACAATCAAGCCACTGTAGACATAACAGTCCTTCAGGTCGACAACCTGCTGCTTCTCCTGATGGATGTGTCGCACTTGTGCGCCCGTGGACTTGCGCACGGTGGCCTGGTAAATGAGCAGTTTCCCACCACATAGAATGACCTGGCTGCGGTGGAAGGCCGCCCGGCGGTGCGGCTTCAGATACAGGGAACCAGACATCGTGATGCTCCGGCAGCTACTTATGCCGCACAGATTATAGAGTTCCGGACTTGCTTCGCTTCGGCTGACCTCCCACTTCTTGGCATACTGACCGATGATGGCTTCGAGTTCTTCGTCGATGTTGAGTTCCGCAAGGTTGGCCTTTCGCACTGCCTTGTATGTGTCCATTTCAGCGGCCATTCGCAATTTCCAGTACTTCACCAGCTTCTTCAATCGAGAAATCCATTCATCGCGGGTCTTCTTGGAATATGCTTGCAGACGAATAACCAATCCATTGTCCAGAAGTATCTCAAAGACACGATCGTCATCGATCTGTTTGGTAGCGCCATCCTCTCCCCGTGTGTCAGGGACATTTTGGTGGAAGTCAACGTCCGAGCTTGAACCCTCCTCAAGGTTGTCATCGGCAGGAGATGCTCCCCATTTAATGACACGGACCTGGCGTATGTAACACATGTTGATAAGGCCATCAGACTCCAAAACGTTTGCCACATTCCGTCGAGCTTCTTCAACAGCCTCACGGTCATGACTGCGGACGGTTGCAGGATTTCCGGATGATAGCCATGAGATTCCATCGTTATGCAGCTTATATGGCTCGATATCATACATCAACGGTGTCTTCTCAACGATTTCGCGGGCTGAAGGGACAGTGTTCCCGCCGATTGTCGCAAGACGCGGTGGATGGGGTGGTGTTGCCTTTGCAGGCCGGTTGAACATCAGGTACTGGCTGTGGGTCGAGAAATATAATCGCTTAAAAAATGCCTTGCCTAGCCGCTGATGAGCCCCTTTTTGTGAGGTCAGGCGAATCAAGAAGCCCTCGATGGGAGGCGGTTCCTCATGTAGCTTTCCCTTCCTGCCGCGGGCAGATGTCGGATAATGCTTTTTCGGACGAAGTTCGAGATCGTGGGAATGTTCCATAGCCATTGAACCGTACATTTTCTGCTCGTGGACTCCGTAGACCCATTCAAGTCGGTCGTATCTTTTCCAAGCCAGTCCCATTTTTGCGGTTTCCTGCCACAGCTTGATCACGCTGGACCATTCACGGTCGCGTCTTAGCATATTCATACATTGAGATATGATTTCACCAGCGACAGCCCTTTCCGCAGCAACGGTCCTAGCGATTGCCGTCTCCTCATCCGTGGCATTCAATCCAGCAGCCTCCAGGCCTTCAAACGGCTTTTCTAGCTTTAGCACGACATCCAGATCTGGTACGTTGACGTGCAACGTATCCGGCCTTTGCCATCCAAGAGCGTCTCGGAGGAATGTATACCATTCGACCGAATGCGCCGTTGAGATCGGTCTCATGACAAAGATTCTGGTACCTGCCTTGTACGGATGCCAGATGACCACTGTCTTGTCTAGTGATGAATACAAGTTCACGCGGGTGGTCTTTGGATCCAGCTTTACTTCATGTAGAGGCTTTTTCTTCGTCTTTTCATCTTCGATCTCCGGGATGACTCGCGTTTTGTAGATTTGGAGCCTGAAGTCGACATCATCCTGCTTCTTACTTTTTCTGGCAACGACAACGAATTCCCGCCACTTTTCGACCACCCTACTCTCAATTTTCAGACTTTCATTCTCATCGAATTCGTCCGGAACTTGGTTCTTGGTGATTTCGCATCTGACCAACATTCTTTCCATCTTGACAATGGTCCCTTCCCGCAGCATGTCCCGTCGAAGTCTTTTGACTCGATGTTTGGCCCGTGAAGCTTTAGTCTCAATCCGATGCCGTCTCTGGTGGACTTCTTCGGAGATTTTGAATCTAACGCCGGTATTCGACCTCACCAATTGATATGTACTCTCATCTTGGAGAGGGGCAGGGTCGTGTTGTTGAAGGGACCTATCATGAAGTCCCTCGCCCTCTGGAGCCAGCAAAGCTGTTCTGGAACTTGTCTCAATATCCTCCTGCGTGGCCCCAGACGGGTCAAAAGAGCCCCGGTTCGACGGCGGCTCTTCTGGATCGCTATCGGGGTCGGTGGGTTGATCTGGGTGCTCGTACCTGTGTAATGGAGTAACTGATTTGGAGGAGGAGCCTCCCAGATGCTCCTGTGCAGTCTTGAAAGAGTCTGGCTTGGGTGACCGTGCAAACCTGACTCCTCCCCTGTGCTCACTCGTCCCATCAAGTCCAGTGTCGGCGGGAATAGGCAGGGCTTTCGGTACCCGGTTACCTTCCTCGTCCTGGTCTTCAATCCCCACTATAAGAGGTATCTCGTTTGTCGAAATAGGCTCCACATTTCGTGCCTCATTGACTTGGGGTTCATCATCTACCTCCTCAGCGGCCGATGAGTCCTCAGCACTAGAAGCGGCATCATAGACGTCCTCTGGCTGAGGGAAGCTGAAGCTCATTCTCGCCGCGGTTGAGGGACCATCCAGACCAGTCAGGGTCCTGTGGTGAGCACCGCCATCTGCAGCAGCCCGGAAGCTTTGCTGTCTTGAGGAATATGAACTCAACTCCAACCTCCGCTTGTACCAAGACTTTCTGTTGCTGTTGAGCCATCCTTCAGGTATAGGACCAATGAAGAACCGGCGGGAGGTGAGATGCAAATGTTCGGGAAAGGCATGCTTGAGACGGTGGGCCGTGTACGAGTCCGGGTCGAGAGCATTGGCGTCATGGCCACGGGTGGTCGAGCTTCCCACGGGCATTACCCGAGAGGTGGACATGGTACGAAGGTAAAGGCGGCTGTCATAACATGGTGTCGCCGACCAAGTGCATGTCGAAACCCGGTTCAGTGCGACACGAGCTCAGCACTGCTGGTTTTCTGATATTGGTTCGACTGACTCCAGGAGTCCAGTTGCAACGCGTTGCCTGGCGCTGCAGAGCAGTGGCTGGTGTCAGTGCCTGCAAAGTTTCCCTGCCGCATGACGTCAACGGCCAAGGCTGGAAATTTTTGCACTGTTTTCCTTGTTTGCCCTGTTTGCGCTGCTGTCAACGAAGCCCCTCGACAGAAGAAACACCGTGACCCCCCCTAACACGGCAGGCATCTTTGTCTTTCCACTCTCTCCATAGCCACTGTGTCAGACATTCAAGTTCCTGATTGTACCTTCACTCTCAGACGATCCAGACTACTTGTGTAGCTTTCTCCCTGCAAACCCAAAATGTCCGCGTCTCAGATCCCTGCCGGCAAGACCTGGTTCGATACTCACAAAGTGCACTTCCAAGACGTGCCCATTGGCCCGGACGATGGCATCTCGACCACAGAGTTTCTCGACGCATCCGAGGCGACAACCACGCTCTTCGACCTCTTGGGCTCGGTAGCCTTCACCCCGGTCAAGAACGATATGACAGGGAACATAAACAAAGTCAGGGAGAGGCAGAAGGCCGCTCCTGAAGGGTCGCAAACGCTTCAATCCCTGGCGAAGAACGAGTTGGCCTCGAAATCCCACAAGGCCACGGAAGGACTACTATGGTTGGTGCGGGGGTTGGACTTCACAGCACAGGCTTTGAGGGCGGATCTCACCAACAATGCATCTGTTTCGGTCACAGAACAGAAGCCAGCAAAGGAGTTGGCCGATGGATTCAGAGCAAGCTACAAGAACACATTGGCTCCATACCATGGGTTTCTGGTGAAGCCGATTTTCAGTGCCGCTATGAGCGCAACACCATACAGAAAGGACTTTTATGCCCGGCTGACTGGCGAGGGGGCGGATCCAGAGGCGACCAAGCAGGCATTGGAAACGTGGGTCTCCGCGTTGGAACAGAGGGTGGTTATCTTGAAGACTTTCCTGGCCAGCAAGGATGCCAAGTGGTAGGCTTCAAGCATAGCTTGTACAGTGACTAATGCTGGAGGGTGTACGGTGGCCTGTATCTGAAAAAGAGCAAGCCGCGTGATGCCAGACAGGCCGCCCTTCTGACGATGAATTGCAAAGGGCCGTTGAAATAACAACAAACACGAAATTCATGAAACATAAAATGAGTTAAGTCCGTTTGGAATCAGATTATGATGCCGCTTCATCTGGGTAGAGAGCCTCAAACCTGCCTGCGCATCCGTAGATTCCAACAGTCTATCTGCATCCGTGTCGTCTGCCAGTAGTAAAACTAACATCTTGCTAGCTACGCCCAATTGCGTATACCCTTCAACGCCGGTCGCTATGCACTTCACAGTCCATCAATGCAAATCCATATGGTGATTGACAGAATTGTTTTCGTTCTATGCAGCGCCCAAGTTGAGGCACCCAGGACTGTCATTTCGGACATCTGCCGGTTCTTTCTTCTGTCTTTCAAGATACTCCTTGAGCTTCTTTTGCTTCAGCGACTGGTCACTGACTTGACCGTCATCTCCGGCTCCAGAAGGCTCGATGCTTCCTTTCAACGCCGGTGGAAGCGGCTTACCCTCCCTCGAGAGCCCGACCGCCTCAAACGCAGCCTCTAGTTCGTTGACCAGGCCTTGCGCGATCTCCCTGGAGTCGGGATTATCCTGTTCCAACTCGAACTTTGCATGGGCGTACATGGTCCGAAGCTTCTGGAATTTCTGCGAATCTCTCATGAGCGTGGGAAGCTCGTTTCTGTTCCTTCTGATTGCGGCCAACTCCCTTGCCGCCACACCATTGCTGAAGGCTTCGATCATGGTCTTCTTGTCCGGATCCACGGTTGCGTCGTGGACCACATCGTTCTCCACTCGTCCGCTCTTTTTGGCCGGATAATCGTGTTCTCTCCAGTTGACAACTGTGGGAGCATACCATGGACTGAGGACCATGGTGACGAATCCTATGACCAAATTCTGACTGATCGGCCCGTACCAGTTGGAGTCGATACTCTTGTCTCGATTATTGGCGTCGCCTTCGACCCAGATATGATTGTAGGGTATCACGACAGGTCCGTCGCCTCCCGGATATCCTGGAAGGGGCGTAACCCGGTCTCCCGGGACGCCGATGACTCGTTTCACCGCCAGCTTCTCGGGGTTGTGAGGTGCATAAAATACAATGATTTGGCCTCTTTGCAATTCGAACTTCGGGAGCCGGAGGCCGAACATGGGCCGGTTCTCAAACATGACCTTCTGCACCAGAATTGCGTCTGACGTCTGTGGCAGTTCGGGTGATAAGTTCACATTGAGAAGTGGTGACATGGACGGGCCAGTAACCCACATGACTTCGAGAGGGAACTCCAGAATAATAAATGCGACCGGAGGTACAATGTAGAAGAGGCGCCATATCCACCGTCGGGCGGAGGGTGAGATAAAGTCGAGAAACGGTTTGCGGCTGTCGTCTGTCTGTTTGTCCGACTGGTCTTGTTCAGGGTCCGAGTCGTGTTCCTTCTGCTTCGGTTCCGGCTCTTGTTCCAGTTTCTGACTCAGGTCTAACCTTTGCTGTGCAATTTCTCCTTTTCGAGCCTCGACCTGGCTTCTGTCAGGAAGGCCATAGCTAGGTCTGTTGTTTGTGGTCGCTCGCCGCAAGGGTGTGATGGGCGTTCGCGAGGCAGGCCGGATGCAGCGCAAAAACATGAGCCCTCTGGAGGTGGGAGGCATGGCAGGCTGTACTCGGAACGCACAGAAGCGCGCGCGACAAAACAAATTCAGAATTTACACCCGCGACTCGCTGTTATAATCGCATTTTGAGAGATCTGCTCATGCTTCTGCGACTATGGCAATCAACGAGCCGTGGGCGCGACACTGCGGAATTAGCATCGCATTGGAAATCGATTGTAACTGACTCGCCGCAAGGCAGGTTTGCCGAATTGACTTCATCTACACATTTAAGCGTGGCGTCTACATTCCAAGGTTTTTTGAATGAAGAACGGTGACACTGTAAGTGCAATATCCCTATAATAGGACTATTCGAACCCGGAGCAAGGCCATGCTGTCTGAACCAGTAGGTTCTGCCTGCATAGAGTGAAGGGGTGCTAGATCCACTCCCACCAACCCTCCAGTAGCTCTGGAGACGAAACACTGAGACAGACGGCTATGCATACACTATGCGGAAAAGGAAGTCAAGAACTCGAATGAGGGAATGTGCTCTATCGTTGGAATAGTAGAGGTTGGACAGGTTGGTCTGCGAGTGTACAAGTGTGTGAGCATTCGATGCCCATGATCCCTTGCTATCACGGCGGGCTCCCTGTGTAAGACCGGTGAGTCTCGTGATTCTGCCTCCCACGCACCGCCCCAAATCAAAGTGCAAAAAGTGATCGACCAAAAAAGAAAACCGCACTGACTGGGATTTGAACCCCAGTCCACGAAAAGGGCAAAAACTCATCTTCGAAGCTCATCTGCGGCTGATGAGCTTCGAAGCTGAGAAACCCCCGGTTGTTGAATGGGTTTTTTTCGGCTATCGTCAGGTTGACTCCTACCATAGGCCACTCACGGTTGAGGCGCATTTTCGGTAGGGACCTTCATCCTCCTCTGGAGTCTCACGCTGCCGCTACACCGGTAAGGTGAGGGGGAATGATTGACGCAGAGTCTGTCAGGTCAGGGGTCCGCCTCTAGGATTCACGGCTTTGCCCAAGATCAAGCTGTCTCATGGCTGGTGTGGACACCCTTACGCCTCAACTAGCTCGGCTCGAGCCGTACCGCTACGACTCTCACGGCCAAGGTTGGAACCCGGGATAGACATGAGATTGTTGGAAGGAATTTGGCTGGAATAACATGATATGTTTGTATTTTTTGGCGCTAATTAATGGTGGGTGCCTGTGATTGGCAGCCAGGGGCGAAGTCACGCCGGCAGTATTCACTGCAGTGCGGCGAGCCTTGGAGCCGCCAACGGCACGGGACTATTCACGTGCTTTGAGATTCTACGTGTGGTGTCTACGACAGCCCGCTCATCCTGCCAGGATTTACTGCACAGTGGACCAGAAGACATGGTGACGCCCCTACGAGCATTGTTTGAAGATCATCGCAGCGGAGGGCCACACTGAGTACTGAGGGTTGACTATGTTACGTTTCCTTCCTCCAGCGTCAAAATGCCAATTCATGGATCGGGGGCGTTATAAACGGCGACTGAGAACTGATCGGAACCAATACAAACGGAGTGGCACACCGTGACTTGAACAGATCTCCGATATTGTCTCTATCAGCAAGCATGATCCAATCCCAAGGTAGGCTGCTGGATTGGCAAAAAGGAAGTGCAGCTTGTGCTTCAAGCAATGAGACTGCTCCAAGATATTACCGCCGAAACCGGCTCTGTTGCAAGAATGCAGTCCTTCCGGTGAGACCACATGTCTACGGTCTGCCCATTTCTGGATCACCTTTGTGGCAGGCTTGGAAATCAAGCAAGTGTGGGCTTCTACCTTGGAATCTCCCTAGCAGGCTGCTAGTAGGCTGCTGTCCCCGATTTGTGCTTCTATTTTTCCGTGGAACGTTTGACACGAAACAGGGGCCCTGCGCTGGATCCAGGCTCGAAGATGTATTATACCAGCGTGTTAAGCAGAACACTCCCTCCTTGGTTCGCGGAATAACACGTCTCGAGCTTGGCCTACCGCTCATGCCCATCATCTATGCCTCCCATTGAAGGCACGGCTCCAAGCCTGAGACCGCTACGAGAAGAGCGGCCACGGCACCCGGTGGCGGCCAGCACGGCGCTATCTAGGAAGGCCAAGTCTACATAAGGCAGTTCTCCCTCGTTCGCCAGGCCTGTCAACCCAGCAAGTAATCGCCAATATCAGAAGTCTTTGTTACACGAAGCGAAGCCCCAGGGGAACAGTATTGTAATATCAGCATGGCGCAGTGTGCAACGCAGGTACAACTCCAGGAGCTGCCCTGCCCACCTGCATCCAGAGCGCGCACTTTCATCGCACAAAGAGTATCATAACGACGACAAAGACTGCTGTGTCTACGTCTACGGTGTCCATTAGGCCCCACGAACGATCTAGCCTCATCCTGTATATTTGAATTTCACGTTGACGAGCCTATCTGCTCGATGCCCAGACCCGTCGGGCTGGACCTTTGAATATGACGGGGCATGAATTGCCTCGTGTTGTCAGCGTGCAAAGATGAACACGCAAACAGTATAGAGAGGTGGCTCTCGGTTTGGCGATTAGCCCCTATCACACCAACTTAGAATCCGTTGTATGTACGTATGCATGTACACGAATGCCATATCCACCCCTATCGATACAGTCCGAACTTTATTTTCCATAAGCGATTCTCCGGATCCACCAGCACAAGCCGACAGGGGGCTCCACTTGTTCGCAACACCTGGCTTTGCATCCCCTTACTTTCTTTCCATACCCCCTTTCCTCCTTTCCTACCCCGAGTAGTGGTGTCGTGGCGTGTCGTGTCCCGTCCTGTCCTCATGTCTTCGCCACTCCCCAATTGAGACATCGATCGACCAGTCACCCAAGATGGGCCGATTCAGTCCCCTTTTCTTCACTTCTACCTCTACCTGAGTTACTCAGTTCAGGGCGAGGAAGAAAGAATGTGAGTAGTACGAGTCGAAGTATTAACAAGCTCACAAAGTGACTGTTCTCCTGTTCTCCCTCCATTCTACGATCTAAGCCTTACCAGGTGCAGAAAGAAGATCGAGTAAACAAAAATCCCCAAAGAGATGATAGATAATTTCCAATGTTTTTGTATATTCATCAAGCACTGCTGTGCTATACTAATGCTACTGTATATCGATGATGTAGATTCCGTATAAGGACACACACGTTCTATACCAGAACAACCGCGAAATTTTTGTTCCATCCATTCCATTCCATCCCGTTCCCATCTGACACCGGGAGTTTTACCCATGTCACAGTCGTATTAGTGCAGAAAGACAAGTCTGGAACTTTCAGACTTTCTGCCCTTGCCTTCCACCCGAACAAGTCTTCGTCCAAGAACGAAAAAAAAGAGTAAATGGGGAAAAATAAAGGGCACCAAGATATTCCCAATGTGCGTCATGCAAGTGGTGATTTGATCCTGGTGGCCGAGTGGGAAAAAGCCCACGGAAGTGAAAATGTTGTGACTCTGATGATCCTTACAACAGAGCAGCAACCACAACGGCAACAGCAGCACCGGCAACCTTGAAACCACCCGTGGGCATGGCAGCAGCGCCGGTGAAAGTGCTGACGACGGGAGCGGTAGAGGTGGTGGATGCAGGCGCGACCGACGTGATTGGAGCAGTAGTAGTGGGAGCCACCGAGGTCACTGGAGCAGCAGAGCTGGACCAGTCGTTCCAGACGGACGAGGCGGAGGCCGTCGAAGTCTCAATGGGAGCCACTGAAGTTGCCGAAGTCACGGGAGCAGCGGAGCTGGTCCAGTCGTTCCAAACGGTCGAGTTGGCAGGAGCCGTCGATGTCTCAATAGGAGCCACCGAGGTCGCTGCGGACGAGGTCCAGTCGTTCCAGACGGTGGAAGAAGTCTCCACCGGGGCCACCGAGGTGGCGGCGGAAGAAGTCCAGTCTGCCCAGGCGCTGGTTGTCTCGGCGGGAACAGGAGCGACCGAGGTTGTCTCCACGGGAGCTGAAGAAGTCCAGTCAGACCAATGTGTTGCTTCGGTGGTGGAGGTGGGAGCAGGAGCAGGGGAAATCTCAGAGGAAGAGGTCCAGTCGACCCAGTGGGATTCTGTGCTGGTTGTGGGAGCCGGAGCAGGGGAGATCTCGGATGATGA